CCAGCCCTACATAGGACTTTCTGATGTACATGGAGAGAGCCAGCCACTGTCTATAGAGATGAAAAAGAGAAAAGCAGTGTTGTGCCACACTGAGAAGTGGTGCTCACCTGCCCTCCTCCCACATCTCCTGCCTTGCAGCAGCGTGGGAGCAGATGCTTTCCTCCAGCACGAGCTCCCAGGGCTGCTTCACATGGTGCAGGGCAGAGCCTGCGGAGCTGCTGGCAAAGCTGCAAAGAGAATGAGTGAAAATATAAGCAAAGCATCAGTCCTGATTTGTTCTGCTGGTGGCACGCCGGGCACTTTCCTGCTGAGCCTGTGGGGCAACTTTCCCACCAGTGCTGTCACAGCTCCCACGTGTCCTCACTACTTTCTCATCCTCTCGCTATTTTTATTTCTCTGGAAATGCTCTGGGCAGCCAGGTGAGCTTTATTAAGATTGGGGCTTTTTATACTGCATGATTCCGCATTAACACACAGCTTTTTTCTTTGCTGAGCCATCCTGGAGAGGCTTCTGCTGCTCACCTGACATTGCAACATGTGAGCCAAGATGCGAAACAACTACTGGACCTGAAACTTGGCAGAGCATCAGGGCCTCTGGAATTAACAATAGTGGCTCTTGCCACCATATGCTTTGCATGGGGTGGGGAGAACCCTGACCACTAGGTTTAAATCCCACACTGGAATGGCTGTGGAAAACCACATTGAAACCTCATCTCTCTATGCTGCCACTGAGCAGTGCTATGGACAACTCTCTCACCTACAGCACACCAGGTCCAGTAATTACAAGCAAAATATTTGCACTCTTCACTCTCCTCCTGGGACAGCCCCTTCCCAAAGCACGGAGTGTTTTCACATCAATAAGCTCCTCTCTCAGGCCAAGAACAGGGAGCAGAGGGTTGGAGAAAATGGCTTTTCTCAAGTACCTGGTAGCTGAGGCAATTAAAAGAAAATTAAACTGACATTTCTAACTTGCAGCATAAAAGAGATGTGCAACAGTGAAATAATTAAAAGTTACTGCTGGGAACATCCTGTTCTCACCAGTTTGCTGAGAAGAACAAAAGGGCAAGAAGCAATTTTGGTGCTCCTTCTTTTGATTTATTTATTCCTCCTGTTTTGATAATTAATTATTAGTTATTGCTGTCTCCTCAAAAGCTGAAACCCAAGGGTTTTCCAAAGGGTAGCAGAGAGACATACTGGTCAATACCTGGTTTACCCAGCCCCACTAGTGACAAAAGCAGCCTTTTGCCAGCTAGGTCCCCAGCCCACAAAAGGCTTCAGAGCTCCATTTTCAGGTTTGCAGCACCTGCCTGCAAGATCTTTCCAGCAACAACCTGGGAGCAACTCCATGATGGAGCTGCAGCCCATTCCATGCTGTCTCTTGCCATCCAGCATCTTCCCAAGTCAGCTGCACCTGGGTATCTTGGGCACAGAAAGAGAGCCTCTGGTTGGAAATCAGCTTTGGAGCATCCACACTTGCTCCCCCCCAGAGCTCAGCTGGCCACATACAACAACATAAGAGAATTCCTGATGTTCTTCAAGCCAGAGCATCCCAGGATTCTACTCTCATGGACTTCAAGACTGAGTATACCCAGGGTTTATCACTGACCTTCTGGAAGTAAAGTACTCACTGCGGTTTTAGAATGAGCATCCCCTTGCCCTACACATAAGCAAGATGAAGCAGGGGGGGTATATACTTCTCCAGTGTCTGCATAGCACTGCTTCAGCCTGTCCAACCCCCTGCATACAAGTGCTTCTGGGAGGGACCTGGGGAACAGTCTGGAAGGAAAGCAAATGCTCAAATCACTGCTGGAGGTTGTGGTCATATTTTATACATCTGTACCCACTCATCCAGCAAATCTTTGCAATACATGACAGAAAAGTCACTATAAGCTCTTCCTCAATGGTGCTTCGTGGTGAGAGAAGCAAAAATGCAATTATAGCAATCCGTGTATTTAAAAGGAAGTCAGGTGAAAAGACAGGCAAGTGCACAATGCACTAAACAAGGTTCTGCATTGGAAACTGCTAGAAGCCCCCCTAAATTTGCTTCTCCTTTCTATGAATGTGAACTAAACAAATCAGGCCAGGCCTTTCCTTGCTCAGAGCTGGCTGTCTTCTGTCTCAACAGGGGCAAGAAAGCACATCAGTTTGTGGAGGCACACCAGAAGTGAGAGATGTCCTCGTTTCCAGTTTGCTTTGATTGGCTTTGTTAGCAGGTTGGGCCTCAACAACATTGCTGCCAGCATCACACACCCTCTGAGGCCACATCTCACTCGACTCAGATGCTGCTTCCAGATTTCTTACTCTGTTCTTCAGAGTGGGAAGAAAACCTGTGCAGAGGTGAGCCCTGGTCCTACCTGACTGTGCTACAACATTGCAGGCACATAAATTTATTTGTAAACAACATACAAATGTGCTTGTGTTGTGATAGTATCATAGCTGCTAAGGACTGGCCAGGCAGGGGGAAGCCTAGCTTTATTTTTCACTCTTGCAGTAATTACTGCGTGACCATTACCAAAGCTGTGTAACACTTGGAGAGCTGAGAAGAAAGTGATGTACTTAAAATTGAGGATATTATTTGTGTTTACACAGACTCCTCAATCCCCGAGCTATTTTAAAACTGTTGTTGTATTCTCAAGTGAATACACTGGGAATAAATACTCTGTCTACAGACCTAGTCGTGTATGCCATGAGCAGTTTAAAAGTCTCTTGTGCTTTTAACTCACATGCACTGCAGTGGTGTTGAACAGGTATCTGTACAGACACACAGCATACAACAGGTGTGCATCTGCATGCATCCAGAAGTGAGAAGGACCTGAGGTCTTGCATCCGTGCTGGCAGCTTGAATAGAAGCAGGTCTGCTTGGGAAAAATCACAATAAAAACACAGTTCTCCCTTCTATTTCCAACACTCCATCTCTGTATTTCTACATTCCGCTGCTCACCAACACCATCAGGTGATGAGAATTACCTGCAACGAGAGAGGGTCAGATGACTTCCAAACCCTTGTACTAAAGCTTGGAAGCACAGAAATGATGATCCCCAGGCTAAATTAAGTTGCAATGGACTTCCCACAGCTCGTGCAGGAGTTTGTGGAAGTTTCTTTGCTGAGGGTTCAACAGGTTTTTCCCAGAAATCATCGCACATTTTAATTACTCCCTTCACACATCTGAGCACTTGATATCCAAGTTAACCTTCCAGGCAAGTATCTTTTTAATAAGCTTTCAGTTAAGCCTAGCAGTTTCCATTTCACCAGCCATTTACTTTCCCCATTAAACAGGCCTTTGTTCAAAACACTTTCACCATTATGCTTTTACAGGTACAAATTGCACTGGCTGCTAACCCCGATGAGCAGAATAACTGGATGTTCCTAATTACCACAACTGCCTAAGCAGAACAGTCAAACAGCATAAAGCTGTGCATACTGGTGCAGTTTAATTAGATATCAAACCCCCCTACAGCAAGAGCACAGCATACCAAGGGAAAGCAAGATGCTGAAAAAGGGGAGACTGTGGCTGACAACTCAATGTGGGTTTAGAGGAGGACGTATGCTTAATGTATGACAGCTCCTGGGATGGCTTTGCACCTTGCTGTCCTCCCCCTCTGGGTCACTTCAGAATAAGACGCAGTCCCTACAGAACAGCACCTCTCTCAGCAGGTCATTTACCCATCGTTTCCTTTTAGCCAGAACTCTTTCCATTGAAGATCTTTCCTTACAGAGATGAAGCAGCCCTCAGATGAGGCCCTTTGCTGACTGTTTCTGAAAAGCGTTTCAGTATTGGCACTGCCTGCAGGGGGTAGCTTGGAGAAGTCTCATTCACTGCTTTAGTAAATGTACATGGTATGCAGAGCCTTGATCCGTCCTGGCACAGGTATCTGCATTACATCATTTCAGAGACAACACAACAGGAATTCCTAAGAACAGGAATGCAGATCTGATCCCTGATCCAGAAACTCCTTTGATGAATCAAATCAAAGCAATCCACTAGTGAGACTGGGGGAATTAGTCTCCTTTCTGCAGTCAAGCTAAAGTGCTGCTGAGGACAGTGGTTCAGCTCTATCTGAGCCAAGGACCTCACATCAAACGCTGCACCGAGCATGAGTGCAGCACGCCTGCTGAGCAGCCATCACATTCAGCCCAAGTTCTCATACACAGAGCCTTGGGACTTCACATCTGCACAGAAACACAGGAGAATACAAGCCATTTCTACCCCGCGAAAGATGCAGACAAATGGCACAACCACTACTTTACATTAAATAGTCTGGTAGTAAATGCAAAGGTACATTACCCTGAAGTTTTACTTTCACTCTGCTGCACAGCCTCCTGCTGAAAAGGCAGAATGCATTAGACAGAAACTAGTGAAATCACAGCAGCTGGCAGGCAAAGGAAGCAAAGCTTTCTGACAGAAAGCAAATCTGGGCTGGCGCTTAAGGGCAAACTGGATGCTCCTACCACAGTAGTTAACAAGAGGCTATTGTAAGCATCATGATTATGTTTCAAAGCTACAAACCCCATTGCCATCACGGTGGCAATACGTACCTTTTCCACTCATGGAGAATTTGGCAACATCTGCCTGAACCTGCAGTCACAGTAGACAGTTTTCCTCACTGATCACCTGCACCTAGATGAAAGCGAAGAGTCTAGCAGCCACTCTGAGTAGTACACAGACATGTCACAGAGCACAAAACTTGGTTTAGTTAGGAGAAGCTTCCTTAATTCCCAAAAGGTTTAAATGAAGAAGGCTCCCATGCAACAAGCAGCAAAGGTGGCTTAAGCTGGGTGTTTCTCCTGCCCTCTGCATTTTGTGTTCTCCAACTACTGCAGTACTCAGTTGGACAGATTTTGAGTGCACGGTTCCATCATAAACATGAATGTATTCAAATTCCTCACCTCAGGAATGTGCACCATCACAGCAAAAACAAAGCTCTTACTAACAGTCCATTAACAAATAACATAATGATGTGTAAGGAACGGGTATTCCTTTAGATAGAAACATTTATGCAATACAGCTGACAACTGTCGCGTTTATTAAGGAATTGTTTTGTGGGTGGCTTGTTTTTCGTTTTGTTTTTAAATAACAAACATTTTACTTCTCTTCCAAATAAAAACACATAATGGAAAGAAAACCTCAACAGAATGTAAGAACAGATACATGGATGACTGTGGACTGTTCTGACTTTAAGACCTGCAACAACAGATCTCCAAAGCCATTGCCAACCAGTCATCACACTCCAGAGGGCAGAGCCAATTAGTCCAGCAACCAGGACTGCAGAGAGAAGTCTCATAGCCCCTGCATCCCTGCAAAAAGCTCAAGCAGATGCACCTCCCATTCACAGTGGTGACACAATGCTAGCACATGTGAGCTATTTCAGTCTTCACAAGTCTCACATTTCATTACTCAGTGGTAATTCAGTAAATTATTCACACAAAGGCAGTTTAAAACCAGCAAAGTGCAAGCTCTACCAGCACAAGTTCCTGCGCTTCCCACTGCTGGGACGTGGGTCTGGATTGGTTGTAGTGCATGCGGTGGAGTGCTTTTCTCAAGCCTCTTCAGGTAAGAACCTGAGAGCCCACAATCACAAAGAGTTAAGATTTGTCCAACTTGTGCGTGCGCTCATGCCTCCGTAGGGTACCTGACTCGGTGAAGGAATGCCCACAGTAATCACAAGAGTAGGGCTTCTCTCCGGTGTGGATGCGCTGATGGCGCTGGAGCGAGGCCAGCCTTGTGAACGTCCCTCCACACTCCTCACAATAGAAGGGACGCACCCCAGAGTGAGTCTGCTGGTGTCTTTTCAGCCTGAGCAGCTGGACGAACGCCATGCCGCATTCCTGACACTTATAGGGCTTTTCCTGCCGGTGGATCACTTTGTGTTTGGAAAGCAGGTTTGGTTTATCGAAACCTTTGCCACACGTTGGGCAGGCGTAAGGCTTACAGTCTTCTTCCTCAGCCTTGTGGTTATCTGCACAAGGCTGATCGGTGTACTCAACAGTGTGCTGGTTACGGTGCACTATCGACCACGGGTTCCTAGCCATGCCATTTCCTAAGATCACCATGGAGCGCTCTATCTTGTGCACATTGCGGAGGTGCCTCCAGACGTCAGCCGTGCGAATGAAACCCTTGTCACACTCTGGACACTTGTGTGGCCTGTCACTGTTATGAATGAGCTTGTGCATGCGTAAGTTTGCTGCACGGAAGAACTCTTTGGCACAGACAGGACAGCGGTATGAGTTTTCCACGAGGTGAGTCCGTTTATGCTGCTGCAGCTCACTTGTCCCCTGGAAAGAGGCACCACACTTCTTGCACTGATAGGACAAAGCCTTCCCAGGTGCAGGCTCTGCAGCAAACACACCATCAAGAAGGGCATTTTCATTATCACCACGTGCTCTTCTCCGTGATCTCCTGGAGTGCTCAGAGGAACCACGCTGTGAGGTTTTATCTTCACACTGCAGGTCCAAGTTGGTACTGGAGGGGACAAATATCCCAGCTGTACTCTCACCCTGTTTCTGGTAATAGGTCTGATAGATTTCTTTATCTTCATGCTGCAACTCTGTAGAAAGTTCCTGTTTATCTGATGGTCCTGCAGTGTTGCGACAAGGACTGAGCGTCTGTGAGTAATTCATGCCCACCTCCTCCTGGAGGCAAGACTTGTAGCCCACCTCCTTAGTGCTCTTTCTGGAATCATTTGACAGCTCCTCACCTGTATCACAAGTGCTATTTTCGGAGTCCCAGTCCACCTCCGCATCCATCCTCTGATGTGTGTGCTGTGTTTATCTGCAGCTCACTGATGATGTATATAGCGAGAGCATCAAGTCTTTTGTAGTGAATCCATCTCATCCTCAGCTCACTTTACAGGCCCTTCCTATAAAATAAAACAAGTATTTCATCAGTGATTTCCTGATATTTACAGATAAAATTAATGCAGTAGAATGTTTTTAATTATTACGAAAATGAAGGGACAGGCCATTATTTATGCAGAAAGAGAAACAAGATCACCTACGTCGTAGATGTAGATTACATATTCAACGTATAGAATACACACAAACTACGTTGAAAAAGGTTAAATCTTCTGTCATAATTCAGCCTCCTCACCGTGAACTGTTTAATAACATGCACTTTAAACTCACTTAAAGACAAGAAATCTTCAGAGCTCTAGGATGCAAACACGTTAGACAAAGTCCTGCACGTATCTCCCCACTAGTCTTCATCCAAAGACTCACATTCATTTTTACCTTGCTAAATCAGAAACAGTTACAAGGTGCTGCCTTTCAGTAACTGGTTAAGGAACACAAGACCAAGGGATGGTGTCAAACTGCCAAGTTTGGCAGCAATGGAAGGAAGCACTGGAAAGCCTAAGGAAGGAACCTTACATCAGTGCAGAAGGTGGGTTTAGGAAGTTCTGGAACACCTTTGGTCTACCATCCTGTTACAGCACTCTCATAATCATCCTGAGGATGTTTGGGATACTATCAGCTGGTATCATGCAGAAAAGACAGCATATGGAGCAGCAGCACAGAGAGAAAGGCCCTAACAGAGCTGTCCAGAAAGCTTCCTAATTATCTTCCTGGCCTTCAGAGCACCACAAGCAATCCTCCAGAACTGGCACGCTGCAGCAGCTTCAAATTCTCTGGGTAAACAGCCTTTGCTGGTAGAAAAAACGAGCAATGGTAACTGGTCTGAAACACTTGTTTGAGTCACAGACTTTCTTCTGAGGAAGCTGCTTTCATTTATGTCATACCAAGGTGTGGATTTACAAACGATTTCTAGGTTTGTCCCAGTGGCCTTTACTGACAGCAGCTCCACAGGGAGCTTTCAATCACCTGGCTTAAAAACACACTGAATAGCTAATCTAGCCTCAGAAAGTACATTTTTCCCCCATCTTGACAGTAGTCTTGTGTGCTCCTCATACCCCTACTTTCTCTTTAAAATCCATTTTTCATATTCCCTTTACTCCCCCCCATTTCTTCAGTTCCTCATGACTGCTTTGGTGTGGATAAGACCTCTTTGCACATGTATATAAGCACATGTATATCCACCCAAATGCATGTAAGCATGTAAATACAGAATTATTTATGTGCATACATGTGAATATAATGCTCATCTATTTAGTTTATGTTTAAGTAGTTATAAAGGCAGTATAGTTACACGCTTTAAGTGAAAGGCCCCATTCACATCTCAGAAAGGCTGGTTTCATTTGAGACACAAACTGTGCTTTCTTCTGCTACGAACACAGAAAACAAGCCTGAATTGATCTTTAATCACTGCCTGGAACAGAATGGCTCAAGTCACCCATCAGCATCAACTGTTCTTGCTAGCTTAGTAATGCCTGCATGAAAACTGACTTACTCCTGCAAGGCATGAGCACCACCAGCAGCACACCTGCAGCAAATCTGAAATCAGAAGTGAGTGGGGCTCTTCACAAGAGCACTATTTCCATCATTGTAATGGCAGCCCTTTGGTACATTGTAAAATTCCATTTGTCTTCTTAAAAGCCACAGGAGGATAGCAGTCTGCAGGCGTTTTCAGGCTCCTTTCCTCCATCCCTTACAGCCCATTCACAAGCCACCAATCTGAAGCAAGAACTTTCAACACCTGTTCTAATGTTCATCATGTTCTAATAGACTTATTTTTTGGAAGCTCTGCAGCCCTCCCTCCTGTCTGTATTCCATGTCAGCACATCTTACTCCCACTAGCCCATTCTTACTGTACTATTCAACACAAGGAGTCCAAACTCCAGACCCCATGAAGCCCCATCACAAACCTCCCAAAATCTTCTCTTCCACAACCAGCAGCAGTCCCTGACCCAGCTCCCCCAGCTATTATGCATTCATCCCCTACTTACTGTACTGACCAGCACCGTGCTCCCTGCAGTCATAATCACTCTCCAGCATCATCAGGTAATCTTGCAGAGATCACTGCTGCTTTCAATGTTATTCTGCACACTGGTCAGCCACTTCAGTGTATTTTCTTAACAGAGCTTACAGGTTTCCAAAATGGGTATCTACAATTAACAACAGATACAGAACTCAAATTAAAAACAATCAAGAATGTACATTATATGCCATATTTGCATGCTAGTAAGTTTTGCCATCTAGAAGAGTCTCATGAAACCAGAAACTATTCTTCTAGGATGCAAAGGCAAGGAAAAGAAATCTAACCACTTTCCTCACATTCAAAAAGTCATCTACTTTTGTACACACAAGTGATTGTTTTATTTCTTTAGGCTAGGCACTTAAAACAAAAACTGGCAACTTTCCCTTAATAATGCTTCTTGAATCCATGAGAAACTCACATGCTGCATAACATGGAGAATCTTGCAGAGAAAGAGCTGCCATTCCAACTCCTGTGACGAGGAAGACGCTTGTATTTTATTTTTTAATTGGCCTTTTTTCTGAATTTGAACTCTTAAACATTTCTTACTGTAATGCAGCAGTTGGGCAGCAAAGACATTCTTTACCTAGGCCCAGGACACACAAACTTTCATACCTCCTCCCCATGCCTAAGACAAGCACACAACTTTGCTCATCAGCGCTGATACAGAAAACTCTAACAATATATACACACGAGAGCAACTTTTCTACAGACAAGCATGTCTGCGTGGGATGCAGATAATATATGGTCACTTCTTAAAACAAAATAAAAAAAAAAACAAAAAACATACACCAAAAATCATGGCTTATTACAACTAATGCATTTAAACGTGGAAGGAAGCATGGATGGATGAGTTATTCTGGCCAAGCAAGCTGAGCGGTGACTCTTCTGCAAATCAGAGGATGGTGATAACTTAGACAACTTACAGACCATGCATGCACATCAACCAGAAAATGCTGGTCTTTCTTGCAATGCTCATGGAGTCCTTGAAGAACAGCTAGTCACTAGGCTAGAGTTATACTAGTCATTCTTGGAGACACCTGCGTGAACATCCCCCCACACTCCTTGCAGTAGAATGCGTCTGCTGGTGTCATTTCAACTGGACAAAGGACTTTCCAACTGACATTCATGAGGTTTCTCTTGCCAGTGGATCACCTTGTGTTTGGAAAACAGGTTAGGCTTACAAAAGCCTTTGCCACATGTTGGACAGACGTATGGTTTACACTCTTCTTTAGGTTTATGGTCATCTGAGCACTGCTGATAAACGTTGTTCTCACCGTACTGTGTGCTTGAGACGATGGATTCCTAGCCATGCAACTTCCTAAAATCTTTAACACTCTACCTTATGCATATTTCTTAAGTGCCTCCAGGTATCAGCTGTGCAAATGAAACCCATGTAACACTCTGGATGGCTGCGTGGCCTGTCACTAGAATTAATACACAGATTTGCCACATGAAAGAACTCTATGACACAGATAAGACATCAACATGGGTTTTCCACAAGGTGAGTTTGCTTGTGTTCCCACAAATGACTTGCATCCTGCAAACAGACATCACATTTATTGGTTCTCTAAGTCAAAGCATCTCCACCTTCCAGGCCCTACTTCAAAGAAGCATTAAGAAGAATGACCACTCTTGCTTACCCCTCCTTGAGGTTCTTCAAAGTAACAGCACTCTAAATGTTCATATTCACAATGCAGGTCGGAAGGTGACAAAAAAACCCCAGGAGTGGTTGAATCATACTTCCAGTTGTAGGTTTCTAAGGTCAATTCCATCAGTTCTATGAGAATTTCTTCTCAAGCTGAAGGTTCAGCAGGAAAGCACCTAGGAGCAGATAGCAGTCCATCATCTCTGATATTTGTTTGGAATTATTCAAGTGTTCCTCACCTGTTTGAGAATGGTCATTAATGGAAACCAAGTCCATCTCCAACCTATGGTATCACATAGAACTTACTTGTTAGTAATTGTGGAAACAGGCAGTACAAATTCCTCCGACCCTTCATAGTTGGTTTCTTTCACATCAGCTTCCTTAGAAAAGAAACAAGAATTCCATTAAGATGCTAATTTAATTGAAAATACTTTTGAAGTGTTATGACCTAGGAATTATTACTAATCATAATTAATAGGTTAGATTGAAGACTGAGGACAACTCTATCCAGTAGACTATTTTTCCTGCTCTTAGTCTGATAAGACAGAAAAGGACTTCTATGTCAGGTAATACAAGCAGCATGTACACACCCCAACACTTACACCCACAGAAATATCAATATGCTCAAACAATTCATAAGCACAATCCTGATACTAGCCTCTTGTTTTCAGTAATGAATAGCAGGCCTATCTGCTAATGTTTCCCTTTAAATCTAAAGCAAAAAGAACAACATGAAATCCAGAGGTCTTATCACGTGCATACTGGTCTTCAGACTAATATGCTTGGCTCTACCAAGTTCTTATTTTTATATTTTACTCCTCAATAATGGAGTAAAATATAACGAGGTATTTAAAATACCTCGATAATGAGGTATTTTAAAACACAGCTTGCCTCCTACTTCACATGCTCTATTTACGAGCACGTGATTTCATTAAATTCCACATTCCAAGCATTTTCCATCAGCCTTGATACTATTCCAGCACAAATAAATAAGCCCTAATCAAGGGGAAGGGGGCAGATCTCCTACCAAAGCCGATTATAACACATGCAACACGCTCCAACCACAGAAAGGGACAGAGAGCAGTACCCTGCTGGGAGCACGGTTCAAAGAAGGTTCAAGAGGCGATGCTGTCCTCTCTCCAATCCCAGGCACTACCTACAGCCTGCTATTACAAGATGCTTTTCCACAAAGCTCTCTCTTCGGGATCTTCCAGGTCTTCTTTGGGTCCCGCTCAACCGGCATCTCACAAACGAGGCATCCAGATGAGAGAATACAAGGAGAAAACAAGCCCTAAGCACAGCCAGCGTCAGGCACTGTTATGAGACCATAGAACGGCTTAGTTTAGAAGGAACCTTAATGACCCCCCCACGGGCTGGGGACCAACTCAGGCTGCCCAGGGCCAACCCACGGCCTGGGGCACCTGCAGGGACGGAGCACCACAGCTCTTGCTGTAAGTCTCGGATTATCTTGGCGGCTCAGATCTCCAGTGAGCACGAAGGCTTTTCTCTGCGCAGTCCCGTTAACCACACGCAGGACGCTTCGAGCCGTGCCCTCAGCAAAACACGCATTCTGCAACTTTGGTGGGTCTGTCGGTCCATTTCTAAAATTTATTTATATATATATACATATTTTGCTTTAAGAGAGCCCTGCAGGCGCATCCCTGCCCTCAGCTGCTCCACCCGAGCCCAGCACCGAGGCAGCCCGCAGCCCTTTGTTCCCCGCCGCCCGCCCTCTCCCCTGGCCAGCGTGGCCACGCACAGCCGGAGCGCTCTCCCCGCCCTCTGCCCGGCCCGCACCACCCCTTCGCCCGCAGCATCCCCTCACCGTGAGGCGGAGGGCCGGGCCGGACGCTGTCCCCGGCGGCCTCGGCCCCGCGGGCGGAACGAGGGCAGCGGCACTCAAGGTCCGGCCCGGCCGGCGGCCGCCATGTTGCGCCGGGACCATCGGCGGCGAGCGGGGAACGGCCCGCCGTCGCTGGGTGAGCGTCGATGTCCCGCCCTTTTTCTGACGGACCAATCGCCGGCCGCACATCGGTTGACTGGCAGCGCTAGCCACCAATCGCTGCGCAAAGGGGTGGGGGCCGGTCGCTTCTCTTATCGCTTTGACTGACACAGCCCTGTCACACCTCCAGAGTGACTGACACTGCCAAAAACATCTCCTGCGTGACCGCCCTGTGACACCCTCATGGGACGGGCACTGACAGGGACCAGCCTCTGTCCCAAGCCCAGTGTGAATGGCACAGTCACAGACCAGCCCGTCACCTCCAAAGCGTGACTGAAATCCCGAGATCGGTCTCTGTTACACCCCCAGCGTGGCTGACACAGCCCCAAAACACCCCCAACGTGACTGACACTGGAGGGACCGCCCCTCAGCGTGATTGATCCAGGCATGGGCCACCCCCATCACACCCTTCAGTGTGACTGACACAGGCAGAGACCACCCCCAGTGTCACTGAGGCAGGCAGAGCCCGCCCCCATCACACCCCCAGTGTGACTGACACAGGCAGGGACCAGCCTTGCTCCTCTCTCGGCATCACCTGAGACAGGTGCCCATCACACACACCTGTGAGATGGAACAGCCAGAGCCCAGCCTCTGCTCCAGTCCTCAGCGTGACTGACGCAGCGACCACCCTTGCCCCCTGACCCATCTCACTGCCATGCATCTGATAGAGAGAAGCCCTGTGCAACCCCTCCAGGCTCACTGACAGCTCCTTATCGCTCCTGCAAGGCCAGAGAGGCCAGCTCTGCATGCAACCCTTCAGAGTGAATGACACACAGCTGCAGCTACACTGTCACCCAGGACAACCATCAGCCCAAACCTGATGGCAGGAATACCCCCACCTCTCTGCCTAACAGGGATCAGGCAACTGTCACAGCCCTTTATAGCCACAATGTCCCCTTCTGAAACAGCTGGTGGCACAGTCACTCAACCAGCCCGTGGCCCTCATCGCAGCCGAGAAAGCTAGAGAGCAGCTGGGGTCACACCAAGCATCAAAATCCACAGCAGGGGACAGCAGCACCATGCTCACAGAAGGAGCAGAGTGTTCTTTAACACACATGTAATAATCCAGGATGGCTGGATGCATCATGCACCAGCAACCCCAGAAGCAGATCCCCCCCAGCAGGGTCAGCCACGTGCCACGATTTATGCACAACCACCTGCACTGCCCACAGAATGGAGAAATGACGCTGCGAGAGAGTGCGAGAGCACTGTGTGTATATGAGCAATCCCCTAAATATACTGACTGAATGGGAGAAGCCTCCAGATCCAGGACTCTTTGCTAAATCAAGTCAGGGGTATGATGCCTGTGCTATGCAGATGAGCTGTCATATTGTCTCCCACACAAGACCGTCTCCAAAGGAACCTACACCTACTGCAAATATCCTGCAGCATATGGACATTTATAGGTCAACCTGGAAAAAAGTGAGAATAATGACTGTCCAAAAAAAGCAGGAGCCCAAATAATTTTCCAGTGTTATTTTGGAAAATGCAGACGAGGAACAGGGTGAATTATGCATACCTGAGAGCCATTAGAAAATGTCAGATTGCCTCTAAAGCACATTAGAAGGAAAAATGACTCCAGCTTTCTTGTGCAATAAAGGAATGCAGTCAGTAAAAAGATTCCCTGAGAAAAATCAGTACTGGAGTGGCTTTGAAAATATACCTTAACCATCTGTTGTGGTGTGGATGGAGTCTGGGGCCGTACCTTAGAAGCCAGGAGCACCACAGGGCTGAAACTCAGGCACTTTCACTGCAGGAACAACCATGATGTATAACCCAGGATCTCCTTTCATAACAATTTCCGAGCAAACCCAGAATGTTTGTTACCCTTCTCTATATGGAGCTAGAAAAAAAGAATAACTTCTGGTGCCAACTCTGTGAAAACAACACATGTGTCTTGACAGCAGAGTGTTAGATGATTTTAAAATGAAGACTGATCAACAATGCAATATTCTGGGTATTGTGGGAGAAAGGGAGCTGGCAGCTCCCCAGGTCTGTTTGCATTTCCAAATTCCCCTCTAGTGCATACCTGCTACACGTCCCAGTTGTATGCACCACCTTCAGCCTATTTTTCCAAAGCTTCAGCCTCTGAAAAGAGCTGAACTTCCCGTTGACTAATGCATCTGCTGGAGAGCTGAGATTTCTATAATTAGCAGCAGAGAGAATACGGGGAGGAAGGTGGATTTTCTGGGGGGTAAATTTGGATGTCGCACATTTAAAAACAAAACACTTTACTTAAACATCAGCACATCGGTTCATAATTGCAGAGCAGGGAAGAAGAGCACGTCAGCAGTTGGAGAAACATTGAATTTGCGGGGAAGCGACTGAAGCATTTGCACAGAAGGGGGCAAATGGAGATAAGACAGGCTGTCTTCTGCTCGCATTCCGCTGTCAGGAAATTTGCACAGCAGAGATTTATCCTTTTTAAAGGAGCATGGAGGAGAAAAGGAAAGCTATAGAAACACCTGCTTTCCCTTCTCTCCTGTCTGTATGCATCTCTTGGGCCACAGGTTCATTGGGCCTGACGGTTTACACCAGGATGAATCCCACTGGGATTTGCAAATCCACTTGCAGGATTGTGCTGAGATCCACACTTACAAAGGATGCATTGTTCAAGGGGGAGAATCCCTCTGCCTCACACACTGTGCTAGCTGTCAGGATGACCAAGGTGTCAGGGTTTGCACATTTTTATGAATGTCTTTCCCTAGAACCATAGAATCATTAAGGCTGGAAAGACTAAGATCATCTAGTCCAACCATCAACCCGCCACCATGCCACTAAATCATGTCACTCAATGTGACATCTACCATTTTATGAACACCCCCAGCAGTGGTGACTCCACCACCTGCCTGTGCAGCCTGTTCCAATGCTTCCCCAAAAGTGAGTCAAGACATACCGACTCCTTGGCCAGCTGTTGAGCCAAAAGTGGATGTTTTTTAACTGCTGCTGTCTGCCATCTTCCATAAAAGAGAAATTTGAAGTTGTAAGGGTCTAGGCACACTTGGGGCAGTAGAGAATCTTCTTCACAATACATTGCCTCCACTAAGCAAGAGGTGAACCTGTGCTGTCTCATGTACAAGGTGGGCATTGAAGCACTGGCAAGCTTTGTGCAGCATCACAGCTTTCCAGGCTGGATTGTTCCAGCATAATGCCCTCATACTGCCCACGGCATGTTATCAACAAGACAAAGAGGACACCCAGCTGTGTGTGAAATGCACAAGCGTCACAGCAAAACCCTTCTTGCCTGTGAGGGGCTGAAGGTCTGGTTTGGTTTGTACTTGGCTACCATCCCAACTTCAGGTATAACAAACTCAGTATCGTCTCCTTATACCTGGGAGACAGCACAAAACACCCGAAATAAAGGCATCAATTCTCCATGTGCTGGGGAAGCAAGCCTAGCTTTTAAAACTGTCTGCAAGATGGGAGCAAATGAAGTCCTGAATGGGTGCACAAGGGAACAGAACATAATAAAAACGAGACAGGTAATCGCTGATAGATTATCTGGAGACACAGCCTAATACAAAACAAACCAGGGGAGATTGCTTAAAAATATCTGATAAGTGAAGCTCTGCTCTGGTGCTGAGTGCAACAGTGCTCTTGACATCTTCATATTTGCTAACTGGGAACACTGCAATTATTCACATTTAAAAAGCATCACTTACACGAATCCAACTTCGCATTATTTTGCACATCTGTCCTATACAGATGCCTCTGTGACTTTGCATGGAAAGAAAACCTTACTTGATGTAAAATAATCCACTTGCCAAGTGAAATTCAAGTTATCCAACATACTTTAGAGCTTTTTTCCTTCTCAGAGAACTGAAACACAAGCTAATGAATCAGAAAACCTCTAGAAAAGAGGTCAAAATGGTCACTCTTGCTCAGCTGAAGAATCCACTGGTTATCTGCCCTAGATTCAATTAGTGAAAACCACAAGGACTGCCTGGCTCAGCGCGAAGTTTCTGACCTGAGCCAATTTCATATTTGACAGGATAAAATACCACTTACTTAGAAGAACAAGCTGCATAACATCGACTAAGCACGCATGCTGATGAGCCATCAGAGGGGCAATGGCTGCACAAAACCAGCCCCATTTGGATGAAACATATTTGAGAGATCCAACCAGCAGAGCACAGCCTGCAGGCACATGGCTTTCAGATACCAGGGCTTCCCCAGTGCACAGTTCTGCCTGCTGTGTCCTTTGGGGTGACTTTGAAACCGAAGGATCACGGGTAACGCAAAGCAGCCAACATAATCAAAGCCACTGTCATAAATTCCAGATTCCCAAACTGCTTATAAATACATGGTAGCCACATAAAAATTAATGACCCATTGATTGCAAACAGCAAAGTACAAGGCAGAAACAGCTTTGTTGATGTATCTATTTGCCATTCTCTGCCCGTCTTCACACTAAAAATGTTTCTGGTTACGGTTACTGTTAATTGCTTTTTATCTCAGCAGCAGAGCTAAGAGATTTCAGCTGAGATGGGGTTTCACTCTCTTAGGCAATTACACAACCAGCCAGATGCACAGAAAATCCCTGCTTTGTAATCCTGGCGAGGCAGAGCACAGCAAGGTGTGTCAGGCCTGAAGAGAGGTTTCTGATGTAGAAAAAAAACACATCTGGTTGACCAAGGAAGCATCCGGGGAGGTAAAAAACTGAATTACTCCTCCTCGTGCTTCATCTGCCACAGCTCGTGGGTTAAGAACCCAGCCACGGTTGCCTGAATTTTAGCTCATCAACAGCAAGACACATGGTATTTTCAGACACACCACGTCTTCCAAAGACGTTCCTCCTAAGGAGGGCTTCCTCATGCGGTGTCATTATCTCCGACAGATTTGCTTTGGAAATTTCCTCTCGGGGCTCCTCCGAGCTGACAAGTGAATTCTCTGCATCGGAAATATTTGTTCAGAGGCTGCCAGGCTCATCAGTCACTTCCCGGAGGAGGAGGCGGTCCAGGGGGGATTCTGCTCTTCCCGTTCCTATTGCCCCTGTAAAATGACTTCATTGAGTCAACCACGTGCCTGGGCCACTTGTCTCCCCTGCCAACAGCCACCCACTGACACAAGGATGATTATTTTAGTCCTATCCAGGAAGAAGGGCAGAACAAAGGACCTCCCAGCATAGGACTGCTCGACACACACCTTTAGTCTGATGTTAATTCTTCATGAACTGTAGACGTGATTTATGACATCTCCGTAGAGCATCACAGGTGGACAAGGAGAGGATGACCCAATCTCAGGAGGGTGGGTTGCCAAAGGCCTCTGGCAGCTCCTGATCTACTTAACGAAAAGCTCCTTCTTACAGTTCTGACTACTTCTTCATCAGTCATCGTTAACGAAGCACTTAGGTATCTTATCTCTGAATGGCAAGATTCCTCATGTACCCATCAATCAGCCTCTCTCCAGCGAGAAAGCTCCATCTTCACCTTGCCAGCTCTTTCTGAAAGCAAAGGCCCTTCCACAAGAAAGAAAAATACCCTTCCTGTTTCCCTTCTCAGACATGCCACGCCACTCTCTTCCCTTTCATAGCTTATTTGTTATTTTTCATACCGTGTTCGCCAATTATTAAAGCGATTTTGCTTAGACAGAGACAAGCAGAGCACAGTGTAGCTTCTTCCTCTTTCTTTTTCATCTCTTATGTTTTTGTCACACGAGTGGAAATTTGATTTGTTCTCTTTGAAAGATGGCTGAGGACTCATTTGTCATGATTATTCCACTTTTAAGCTTGTGCTGCTCTGCTACACGGCTGAAACCAGGCAAACCAGTGGTGAACATAGCAGGTTATGAGAAAAATGGTTGTCAGCTCTTCCTGCTACCAAAGGTATCGTGCTGGATTTTCAGCCTTGCCACTGCTGCTGCGTCCATGGTTTCTAAAGCCAAAAAGATGAAGATTCATTAATTAACAAAAGAAGCTGGCAGATAACTTCATGATTAAGGCACTGGAGTGGGACCTGGGAAAAGTGGGTTGATTTCCCAGTCCTGGGCTGGTTGCTATGTGATCTTATTCAAATCAGCGCGTGGAGATAAACGCTCAACGTTGGCATTGCCTGCTCCCCATCAGCTGCAAGTGCTATGGGTAGGGGCTGCTGCACATTATTTTTCTCATTATTACCAGCTGAAGTCTCTCCGTTCTGCTGGAAGACAAATGGAAATAACCCCCAAACTCTCCTTGCATTTCATGTTAATCAATCGGCCTTCCCTCAAGGTTGTCATTTTTTCCAGAATCTCCCGTGATTGACTAAATAACTGCTTTTAATGTGTGGTTTTTTTTCCCCTTTCTTCTGTTTCCTAGTGAATGCCTTTACCTTCTGTCTGTTGCAAATGTGAACGGTTTTAATCAGGTGCTGTTGAAATGTCTTTTGCAGCTTGGCATCCTGTTCGGTTTCGCTCCTCTCGTTCTCTTTGCAGTTCTGTTCCTTCCCACATTGCTTATGTTTTCTTGTTTGTGGACTCTTCTTTATATGCATAATTCAATCGTACTGCACTTTAATTTCATCTCTAATAAGCATAAATAGGGAAGAGGACAGATAAAGCCCATCTCTCCAGATGCTCCTCAAGTATTCCTCTTTTCCTATGGCATATCCTTCTAATGTTTCAGGGCTTCCAGCTGGATTCAAACACAAAACACCTCAGCCACTCAGCTCAGTGGATTTGCTGTGCTTTCAATTATCTTCTTAAATGACATCTTTCTTTTTCCCCACAACTTCACAGAACGTACTAAGCCTTTGAGTAAGGTCCAGAAAAACAGGGAACTGCTCAACTAACTTGTCAAAGAACCATTAAAGCTATTCCTTCATCCCCTCCCATTCCTGTTCTAGAGTTGATGAGCTCTGGAATTCTGGTTTTGCTAACCCTTAAATGAGGTCAGGGAGGGGTGGATCCTGGCTCCAGCTCTTCTGGTCACTCAGGTTCATTGCACACACCTGAGCTCCCCTGGGTTGGCCCTGCCTTCCCACCAGGTGCTCAATCGCTGCTTCAGGCCATGACTTAGTGTTTCTGCTACATCTACTTACATCCAGCTTGTCTGGGGAAGTCAGTAATTTCAATTAAGCTGTACCATGCATTTACTTCCAGGCTTATAAGTGAAAACAGAGTTTCACTTTTTTACTTCCTGACCTCCAGCAGCAATACTGCAAAAAACATATGAAGTAGGGATGAAGTGTGACAGTCTGGCAGCTCACCTCTCCAGCACTAGGACACAGTCAACTCCACACCAACCCAGCCCAGAAGGAGGTGCTCCGCACACAAACCTTTTGGAGCCTCTCACACAAGCTGTTCTAGCGTGTATGCTAAACCTTTCATGACCACGTTTCCTTTCCTCACCCCATTGTGTTCCTACTGCATATGCTCTGCTATCATGCAAGCCTACAGCTTCTTCTCCCACCCAGAGCACGTGCAGCGGATATGAATTTAAAAGCATGCAGTCTGCAAACAGATCTCCCTGCTTACAGTCTTATATTCTCCTCTCTGCTGGCCTCAGCCAATCCTTTTAGCAGAGGAGCAGCAGGAAACATGCCCTCTGAGCAGCCTACGTTGGGCCTGAAGTCAGCTCCCCCAAGAAACAGGCATCTGAAGAGCCAGGATTAGCATGCTCCAGACTGTAAGAAAGGGCATGGTAAGATGAATTTTATGATAAGTGACAAACATGGAGCCAATCTTGAAGACATTTTGTTCTAATGTTAGCACTGGTCAAAAGACAAAGAACACTGCTTGGCTTTAGGGTGTCCACACCACCCTTGGAGGTGCTCTGAGGAGGGTTTATCCTTGGGAAGCACACAGGCATGCCCCTTCTTTCATGTCTTCATGGAAGCCCCAGCATAGCTGGCCAGTGAGAGTTTCTGCTCTAATGCTTCCCAGCACAGGTGAGTCTGTCTTTTCTACTTTGTCTCATAGAGGAAAATGAGGACACACAGTGTCCCCAGTGAATGGTACCTCATTCCTCCAGTGCTCCTAGCTCCGTCCCCAGGGGATGCCTGTTGAATTTCATTCCCTTCTGCTCTTAAGCACCTATTGGAAAAGCAGCAGCCAAGCACTGCAAGCTTAGAGATCTGTCCTGGGCTGCCTGTAAAAAGGAAATGGGTTAACAAGTAATATTTCAGCTGCAGCAATGAAATCCATGTCCTAAAATTCTATTCCTTCAGCTGTATTTCTTAGGAGGATAGAAAGCCTTAATCTGACCTGTGGCTTGGGTCTTTATTTCACATGTCCTTTCTGTTCCAGGTGCCAAGGCACCAGATGTGGCTCTGAGAATGGGGTGGTTCAGGCAGGAGCAGAAGACTTTGTGAAACCCCTTTCTCCACAGCTTCCTGCTCAACTTTTCAAGCACAGCACTGAGGTGACCTCCAGCATCACCCAGCACGTTGTTTACCTGAAGCCACCTCTGACACATTGCAGGTTTGCTCATGCTTAAATGAAGTAAGAGAAGCCCTGGATAACTTGGCTCTGACAGGTGCCCTGACATTTTCTTTCTAGTAGAGGAAACCTCAAAGACGTTCATGCTTGACGAGGTCTGACTGTTTCCATGGTTCACATTTACAAAGGAAATAGGTAAAAGTACCCACAACTGGAGGGGAAGAAAAGGAAGCCTTTGTTCTGCAAGTAGTGGAAGCCCTTGCTTCAAGAATTAAAGCAGTTAGAATTACTGGTTGCTTTTCCAAGTCCTGGCCAAACAGCTGCTGTTTGACGTTTGTGCGCAAAGTCACCATACAAAGAGGATGTGTTTGGAAGCAGAGCTAGAGCTGCATGCAGGAGAAAACACATGGCTCCTTCCAGCCCGGATTGTGTCACGTACTGCATGTCTGGGTGGTAGAGCTGAAAGCATCACATTTGATGTGCTCGCTGGCTGTGGGAAGGCAGCTGGGGCAAGGCAGGTCATAGAATCAGAATCATTAAGGTTGGAAGAGATCACTGAGATCAAGTCCAACCATCAGCCCACCCCCACCATGCCTACCGAGCATGCCTCCCAGTGCCTCAACTACTCAGTTCTTAAATACCTCCAGGGATGGTGTTGTAGAGAGGTGTAGAAAAATTGGTTGTGTTAATATCGTCGGCAGGCTCAGCCTGAGCAATTTTGTGGTCAACTCCTGCAAAGGAAAGCTCAAAAGAGGATGCTGGGCAACGTGTGCTTAGTTTTTCCTGATCCTAGGTCAAATCAAGACCTTGTGGTAGATCTGCACAGCATCACTGTTGTATTTGCATCAGTGGAGATGCAAAGAGTGAGTTCTGGTCTGGTGAAATGACAGGCTGCCTAGAGAAGTTGTGGGTGCCCCATGTGTGGATGTATTCAAGGCCAGGTTAGATGGTGCTCTGCACAGCATCATCTGGTGTATGATCTAGTGGGTAGCAACCCTGCACATGGCAGGGGGTTGGAACTAGATGATCTTTGAGATGTCCAACATGGGTTGGACTCCTCTTGGACCACCCGCAGCCCATGCATGGTAGCCTCACGCTCCTTCCCCATGCAGCATGCCCAGCTGGCAGCGAGGAACCAGACACCGCCAGCTCCTCAGCTTCATCAATATTTCAATAGATATTGGTTTTTACTGTAAGAGACATCACTTCTTGTTAATTTGAGTGCTAGAATGGCACTGGCAGGCAGAATACTTTGGCTCCAAACAAACCCCGAGGGAAAACGGGAAATATATTCTTAAGAACAACAATTGGAAAGAATCTAATTCAATAATAGATTTGGTTTGGTATCGTTCTGGCACCAGCAGTCGTCTTCTTGTTATTTTTAGGTTCCGATGACGCCAATAGGTTTTGATTTTTTAATTTATTTTTTTTTTTAAATTGTTGCTGTTAAGCAAAAAAAAAAAAAATTCCATAGTTTAATCACATTGAATGAAACTGTAATTATTTTTAGAATTTAAGACTTTGTACCTCTAGATCTTCAGCAAAACATGCAGAGGTTTGCCTGAGCCCAGAGAGAAGGATAAGGCTGCTTCTTTGGCTTTTGGAGACGAGGACAGAAAACAAATATGTTTTTCTAGCAAGAGACTAACAGGGTTTTAGATGAAGCATATTACACAGCCCAAGAGGCAGAATTTATGTTTATAAACACAAAACAAACATCAAAATCATCTCTTTTCATGTGACAGCTCCTTTCATTGTGTTTTATCCTTCCAAGAAATTAGTCACAGAGGTATTTATTTGGGATATTAGCTGCAATAGCTACACAAACAGGCACCAAACATTACGAATGCTTGGCCCCATATTGTTTGTGACTTCCACTAGGTCGTGAAATACTTGATCTGTGGAAAAAAAAAAAAAAAAAAAAAAAGCCTGTTTTGAAGAGAGTTTCCCCACGACTTCCTTTGCTTTGTGCATCACGAAGGCATTGTTTGTGCACTATGCAGCAGAGCAGTGACTGCAAACCCAAACTAAGTCAGGAGTGCTCAGGAGAGACAGGGCAAGGGAAGTACATCAGCATCAGCCCCACTCTTGGGGTGCAGCAATGGAGAGGAGCTGTTCCTCTTGTACCACAAACCAACCTCAAGCACAGCCAATAGAAGAGGTCTGATGAAGGGGTTGCTCACCAAAGGGATGCTCACCTCGCTCCAGGTCCAACCCAGCTGATGTCTACGGTTCCCAGAAAGAGGACGGAGATTTCTCACTCATCAATGGAAATGCCTTCTCTCGTGTTTCATTTCACTGCTGTTTTGGGAAAAGGATGAGAACAATCCCATTATTGGTCTTAATGCTAAACTTGAGAGGAAGATCTACCAAAAAAACAATGCCAAAGCAGAGTGAAGAGCAAAGAGGGAGGGATCTCTCTGAATGCACCCATCTCTCCCCAGGATACGTTGGCCAAGGGAAGAGCAGTAGGGAAACAAACCCACCAACTCTTGGGAGCTCTGTGCCCTCATTCAGTGATGACAACCTCCAGACCAAAAAACGACATCATCATCCTGAGCCACCCAAATTGACAGTGAAACTCTCCCAAAAACCATTTGTGTTGCTGTAGGCTTGGCCATACCCATCATCCTGCGAAGGCTCATGGATACAACAATGACAGAGGCACACCAAACCCTCACAAATAAAGTAATTTGTACTTTGGGTCAGCACGCTCCGAATCTCCTTGTGGGATTTACTGCCAGGCTTGAGGCATTTTCTGTTCTTGCTCGAGCACTTGGGATGAAGAGACATTGGTTACAAATCTGCTTGCCTATGAGGAATGAGATGCAAACCATAAACTCCTGTTTTGAAGAGTTTGTTCAGCTTAGATGTCACTTCTAGGTTCTGAGTTATACAAGATCTCATTTTTCAAAGGTTAAAAAGAAAGGACTCCTGAACTCTTTCTAGTTTCTGCTTCTTTTTTCCTGTTTTTCTCTCTTTTTAAAAAAATAATTTACAATTACAAAAGGTATTTGCAAAACATTTTTTTTTTTCCAGATAGCTTCTGGCTGCTTTCATGCTGAAATTTGGCAGTCAGCACGCATTTCTTATTCAAGAACAGACATAGATTCTGCACTTTAAAACTTGAGGTGGGTACAGACCCAAGAGATTTTTTTTCCCTTTTCAAACCTGCTTTAAAAATTGTGCACAGCCCCTTTTTTTTTTCCCCTCCTCGTTGTTGTTTTTAAAGAAAAAGCTCCAAGGACGTGTATTAACAACAGCCAATTAGCCACACATTGCCTGGGCAGCTCCTGCAGAAAGCGTTTTTTTAAATCAATAACAAAATCCTGAAAGATGATGAATTTTTACAGTGGGCCATTTTAATAGTGAGGAATGAAATGGCCTCGGATGTAGGATGGGCTCTGTGTGTCTGCTGGGCACCCGATCAAGGCCAGCCCTACCTGGGGCTGCACTGCTTGCTTAGGGGCTGGTGATGGTGCTGTAGGGTGAAGGATCTGGGAGAGGGAACAGAGAACTCCTGGACTGATCCTGCTTTCACGTCTATCCATCACCTTTCTCCCTGGAGCTACAGGGAGACGCACACATCTAATTGTACATTTGAAGTGGTAGAAATGGTGGCTGCTCTTTCCGCTTCCCCACAACAAACATCTCTGCACATTGTAAATCCTACACCCCCCAGGAGCTGGTTTGATATGCACAGCTTCTTAGCGCTTGCTCGGACCGGTGCCTTTGGGTAGCTTTGAAAAATATGAAAAATTAACATTTGAAAAGGTATTCCCACACACTCTTTGAGCAGGAAATGTGGCTTCCTTCTCCACCCACTTTATCGCTAAGCAGCTTGGAGATGCATAATGGAGACTTTCACGGCCATTGTGGTTTAAAACCATCAGCCAGGCTGGGATAATCTCTTGAGCATGGCTTTGCTGAGGGAGAAAACTGGATGGGGAACAGCACCTAGATACCCAGGGATTGTTTCTACCACTGCGGAGGGCTTTCTATAGAGCTGTGCTTCACACATACATCCTTGGGTCCTCGCATGTAACCAAGCTATGGGCAGATTGAAGCTGCCTCCTGGACAGGACAGCTTGCTTTCCATTGCTGCCCCTTAGGGCATCATCACATGAACGTGCCTGGTTTGGGTCTAGGACCCACGTTAACCCTCCTTCTTGTGCTGACAGGCAGCTTGTTTGGAGCTAAGCTGGAGTAGCATGGGGAAGGGACCAGCAAGATCTTGAGACAAAAAAATCCAGGAAAGGGCTGTTATCATAGGAACATTAGGGTTGGAAAAGATCACTAAAATCATCCCATTCAACCATCAATCCATCACCATCAAAGCTTTATGGGCAAAAAGCCAGCAAATGTTTTAGATGTTCTACCACGCTGAACACAGATGCAAAATTTCAACTATGAGAGCACAAAAATCTGTGAGCCAAACCTCTACTGAAGGACACATTTCAATTTCAGATATAACCTGGTACCTCCCTGAGGAAAAAAAAAAAAAAAACAAAACAAAAAAAACAGGCCCAGTTTGCCATCCAGGCCTCAGCGTTTCCTTGCCCATTTTCTCATGTGCACCAATCTGCCAAGCCAGATGTACAAATGTTTTGTGTGGGCAAACAGGCACTCGTATGGGCAAACATTGCCCTGATGCATGCGTTCTCATGGGCATGAAATCAGGCAGTGCACAGAGGCAACAAGCAGCAATGGGGCTGGGGGGACACACACCACAACCTTGTGCTCCCAGCAAGCTGAACCTTGCTGGCATTGCCACGCAGTTGATTAGGAGAAATGCCTTTTCTGAAAGAGCAGAGGTGCGCTGGCATAGGCTGCCCAGGGAGGTGATGGGGTCACTGTCCTTGGAGGTGTTACAGAACCGTGGGGATGTGACACTGAGGGACTGAACTGCTGTGGTTATTGGGCACGAGGGGGGTGGTTTGGGGTTGCACTTGGGGATCCGAGATGTCTTCTCCAACCTTAGTCATTCTATGCCCTCCATAAAAGCTGTGCATCGCATCCCTGTGGCCTGGTGGTGGAAAAAGTGCTCTGTTCATCTTGGTTGTGTGAATTCGTGCCCTCCCCAGCCTAGGGAAGGGCACAGCCAAGAACCAGAGTGCTATAACACCCTAATATCACACACATAATGGCTTATCTTTCACCATCTATGAATAACCTTGTACAAGCCATTAAAAACAGGTGTGAAGTAATGCATTTGCTATGCTTTCACAAGCTAATTGGGAGTATTACAACAAATGACTAGGTAATTAACCAGTGTTTCAACTCCAGTAATCACATATTGTAATTCTAGCAGAGCCACAAAGGCTCTAATATCAGCTTGGTTTGGGAAGAAAGCAACATTAAGTTATATTCTGAATGCCTGTTCTTAAGACAAATACCATTCCCCCAGGAAGAGCAGTGGGAAGGGAGTGCTTTCCATGCTTGGAAGGACCTAGCAATCCCCACATTTCAGCCCTGCCACCTACACTGGAGCAGCCCTAGTGCGAGCAGCGTTCAGCTTGGGCTCATCTCAGCCTCCTTTCCCACCAGCAGGGCAGAACCGAGGGATCCAAGCACAGGGATACCTCTGCCAAGGCAGCTGAAGCAGCTCCCTGTGCCCAACCCAAATCTCATCCATCCTTCACGGATCTCTGTTCTCTCCTTCCTCCCAGGCAGTGAAGCAAAAGGGAAAACAGGGGCTCTGCTACGAGCAGCACCTGTTTCCATAGAGATTTGCTTAGAAAACATGTGAGGCAGAGATGGAAGTTAGTGAGGAAAGCACCATGGCTTGTCCTTGTGCATCACAGACTCTCGCCCGCCAGCTATCCCGCTGCTCCAGCATCTAAAGATGGAGATGAAGAGTTTCCTCGGCCCTGCAGAATGCAGGGTTTTCTGATTCTTCTGGCAAACCTCGGTGCCTCGGGAGGAGATAAAAGCACGGATGCAATTAGAGTCTCTCCTATTTGCCTTTAATCAGCTCTCCAAAGAAACAGAGGTTTCTTAGAAAATCACTGCAAACTCTTGATTGCTTCCACAGCCTTCCAGAAGAAGGGAAGAATAACCAAGACAAGCAGGGCAGAAAGAAAAGATGGTGGGAAAGGGCAGAGGGTGCTGCCCTGGTTTCCATCACCAGTGTGCCACACTGGCTTGAAGTGGCCATCCCCAGGGGAGTACATCAGGAGGTGCCATCAAGACACATATTAGAAAAGAGGGTTTGTTAAACGATGGGATGGCATCTCGAGAGAAGACAAGGCAGGTCAGGCTGGGAGCACCTGGACATGAGCAAAGTGGCCACATTGTCACTGACACCATATCTGGGGAGAGAAGTGTCACCCAGGAACCATGGCCATTGGGCTCCTTGTTTGATGGAGCTACTCCTGCCTCCATGAAATAGGATCTGCTTTTCCCACGCCAAGCTGACTTGCTTTGAGGAACTATTGCCCCTCTGCCCCCAGCAGCCCTGTCTCTGCAGTGAGGTTGCGGGCTGCTCGGTGTGAAGGAGCAGCTGCCAGGCAGTCATTCCCTCTGATTTTCTCTAGGAGCTGCTCAGCCTTGCTCCCCATTTCTTAGGGCAATCTGCACAGGCATCTGCAGCCCTGCTGCTCTCCCCACTCCACGCATTTTAACGCAAGGTGAAATCTAAGCCTGCGACGCAGCCTATTGAACCAAAGAAACCAAGCCAGGCTGAGCTTCAAATTAATGGAGCAAAACCCACTACAAAAATGCAGCCAGCTGGTCCAGCCCCCAGCTCCCCAAGCCACTGGTTGGAGAGCCAGGACAGCTATCATGCTGCCAACCAACAGATTGCCCCAGTGGGTCAGCGGCTCACAGCCATTTAGCGCATCCACTGCTGAGCACACTGCAAGGCAGGAGTTCCTGCCAGAGCTCTGGAAATGCAAATTAAAACGTGGCACTTCCAGAGAGGTTTCACCATTCCCCGGCTGTGCCCAGAGCTGCTTCTCACATCTGCCCCCACGTGCTGCAGGAATTCGGTCAAAGGGTTCCTGTGATCAACAGAGGCAGAAGCACAGAGAAACGGGAGCTTGTGGAAAAATACAAACACCAAACAAGCTCCCCAAGCCCCTGCTTTATATTCAGGCTTTATATATCCAGCCATTCATTTGTCAGGAATGGAGGGTGCAGCGTTCTCCATCTGCAATGTCTCCTTATGGCAGCGCTGGTAAAAACCAAAAGCTCGTTCTGTTCACAGCTGTGCACATCAACCTGAGAAGTCTGTCCAGCCCTCCCTGCCTCTCATTTCCCAGCTGAAATCAGACTGTGCTGCTAAGAGAGGGGCCAGAGCCCCCTGATCGATCCTGCTTGCAGGGCAGCCTCTTGCCAGCCACAGCACCCACTGTTTTTCTGCCCTCATTGCAGTTAAGAGAGATGATTGCAGACCATCACTTCTCTATGTCCTCCCCAGGCTGAAACCTGACCCATTCCTACAGCCAGTAATAACATCTCAGAGTTAATTCACTGGAGTTATACTCATTTGTGGCCAAAAATAGTGCTTAATACTCTTCCCTCAGCACAGAGACTGGTCTGAGTGGTCAGCCCCACAGGCACAGCACCAACGGCCAGCTAAGCAAGGCAATGAATTGCTTTGTGCAAGGGAAAGCATTAGGGAGCAACAGCTCACACCCAGCAGAGCACCACCCACCCCCCAGGAAATGCAGCTTCACCCCCATACCTCAGTTTTCCCAGCTGTGAGCAGGAACAGCAATGCCACACACCCATCCAGACAAAGAGACAACCCCACACCTGCTTCCTCTCCAGGGAAAAACAGGGAGAGCTGCTCAGGGCTGTTTAAGAGGCTCATGCCACACACCTGTAGTGCACTCGTCCTGTGCAGCTGGGAGCAGGCACCAAGCTGGGGGCCAGCACTGAGAACCTCTCCTTCCCCAACACAGAGAGGTGACAAAATGCAGGAAGCCTGAGAGCAGCATGTTGTTTTCTCCTGGAAATGCTCTTCTTTTGCAATATCAACTCTTTGCAACCCACCCAGTTCCAGGTCTCTGCCCTTTAGATGGCCACCCCGTTGCACCCCTCTGCTCTCACTCCTGCTGCGAGGTGCAAGACGCTGCTCCCCAGGGGTGAAGGAGGGGGGGTTGCTGATTGGCAGTGCCTCTGCACAGCTCCTGCTGACTTCCAGACGTGCTGCAAGCTGTGAAAGGAGGTGAGATGTGCTGCTGGGGTGTAACATCACATGCCGAAGGAGCAGGAGCTCAAGCTGGGACGGGTGCTCCAAAAATTACATCTGCGTCCATGAAGCTCATCCTCTGAAAAAGTATTTTAAACAGTGTGATGGCACTGTGTTTTAAGCTTCTTTTATACCTGGATTATCAGGCTGTGTGAAAGGCCGTGCTGACACTTCTGCAGCCCAGGCACCAAGCTCTGCCTGCAGGACTGAACAGAGGGCTGAACTCCATCAGGAGGTAAAGCCGTTGGATTATTTCCTTCCTCTACTCCTCCCATTTTGGAAAGGCAAAAAAACACATCACTCACGATGCTCGTGAAGCAGATCTGTGAAAATCAATCTGCAAATCGCATCATCTATGGCAGATTGCTCCATAAATTGACTGACTGGGTCCCGAGGGGGGCGGGGGGGGAACGTGGGAGGGAGCACTCATACGGAGCATCTGGATCGGGTCCGGCTCCAGCAAATCCCTGCACATCCACCACCCTTCTGCTACCCCAATGGTACCAGTACCTTTGGTGCTGGCAGCATCGTGCCCATGTCCTCAGTGCAGCTCAGCCAGGAAGATGCCAGCTGGAAAGGGGAGCAATTAATGTGTTATGCATTCATTTATAAGGATTTTGTTATTAATACTTCACTGAGGCAATGCAAGCCCATAGGAGAGGTGGCTCCCATCCTCCCTCTCTCCCACTGCCACCTATAATGCCCAAGCTGACCCAAAAGGGGCTCCCAAAGTGTTTCCAGCAGGCATTGTGTACCAGAAACCAATTCCCAGGGTAGCCTGTCGTATTTTGCCTGCTCACGTGGGATCTGGCATAAATACATCAAACAAATGAAAAAAGAGAGGTGCTGAACCAGGCTGGGCACTTCAAAGAAGGAGCAGCAATTGCATGTGCTCGTCATGGAAGATGCTTACACACGGGTGGGATGCTCACCCATGGAGGGGAGTGCCTGCCTATGAAGGGGGATGCTCACCCATGCAGGAATGCTCACCCAAGGAGCCACCAGCACTGCCATCCTGCCATGCCACGTGGCTCTCAGCATGAGTAAGCGCAGCCCCACTTCAAATCCCACACACATCCTCAACACCCGAAGAGCACACTTGTAAGTGCCATCAGAGGAACAAAAAGGGAAGGGGGGGGATGAGAACCACCCCCGGCATCTCCCCTCCAAGCTGCTTGGGAAAAGCTCGCTGCAGCTCACAAAGCACCAGCAAGCAGGGCAGTCAGGGACAGGCATGCCATGATGCTCAGAGACATCCCTGCCAGCAGGACAGGGCTCTGGTGCACTGAGAGATGCACCCAGCTCTTTCCTTTGGCTTTGCAGGGTGGAGGACAGCACCCAGAGGTCACATTTCATTTCCCGTAGTGTCTGTGTCCCCACATCCCTGCAAGGAGGAGCACCCCCAGCTCCCCCACCAGTTCCCAATTTATCCCCCGTCTCCCGGAGCTATTCTCAGCAGGTACAATCTGCATTGCCATTGTTATTCAGATGATGTACAGATAATTTTAACCTTTCTGTTCCATTTGTCAAGGTTTTTTTTTAGCCTCCACGCCTGCCAGGCAGAGCACTGCCTCCCTAGCAGCAGAGGCTCCTGCTTTGCAGCACTAGGTTCCCTTGCTAGGGCTGAGCTCCGCTTCCCCTCATTGCTTTAGTTGAGGTCGGCTCACGTTGAGGTGGCCCAGCTGAGCACAGCAGTTGCCCCAATCCTTCCCTGAGCCCTTCTTGGTGCAGCATCCACAATAAAACAAGAGCCCTGCTGCAAAGCCACGCAGCACAGCCATCACCCACAGCCAGCCTGCAGCTTGCCGCAGGCTGCTGACAGCCTGGAAACTTGGTGCGCTCCCAACAGCTCTATGCAGGAGAAGCACAAGCCCTGACTTCAGCATCTTTCCTTGACAACTCACCCGGAGGCTTTGGACCAGGCCAACAGTACCTGCGTGAGAAAGAGCCAAAGCACGGGGCGGTTCTTTACAACAAGGTTTTATTTTTTCTTTCCTTTTGACAAAAAACATGGAAGTTGTACATGGCCGCCCGTCGGCTCGGCTCCACGGCGGGTCTGAGCGAGCACACTGCAGTCCAGCATCCCGCCCCCTCCCACTGGCTCAGGCCTCCCAACACCTTTTTTGGGGGAACCTCCTGTCTCCCCTCCTACGCTCACAACAAACACTGACGGCAGATCTGGAGTCTTGGAGGAGAAAGGAACGTTCAAAAAGCCAGGGAAGGGAGACATTGTGCGGCAGCAACGTGAGTCCAGTGACTTCGGAAGAGAGATGCTGCAGTGGTGCACGGGGGCTGTTCCTCACCCCCTTGGTGCAGTCCTTCCCGCAGCCCTGCCAGGGTTGGTTTTGGTTTTGCAGCCTCCATGGCCCCACAGTCCCTGCCTGCTGTGGGAGCTGCTATGGGAAAGGCCAGATAGGGGCATTTTTGTGCTGCCCCCTAAGAAAGAAAACCAGGCTGCTTTGCTTGTACAAACATATCCCACATGTCAATAAAACAGAGGTCATAGGCAGCAAAGCTTGAGTTCAGCCCGTCGATGCCTCAGCACCCATTGGTGTGATGCCGTGTCCTCGTCCCCTTCTTCTTGGCTCTGCCACCAGCAGTCACAGCAGCACGCATCCCCACCCCCTGGCCCCATAAGCTCTGTGTTGCAAAAGCCTGCTTTGTTTTACATGGTTTGCTAGGAAACTGCAAAGCATCGCTACGCATCAGCCCCATTCTGGGGTCCCATTCTGGGTCTGAGAAATGCAAATGCCCAAATCCCCAAATCCATCCTTTCACCCAATGAAGACACAAAGAGCTGCCACCTCCCCAGCCCTGGGGCTGCTCTGTGGGACACCCTGCTGCATCTGGGAGGAGACAATGCCGGTGCCTAAACTTAGAGGACATACAGCAGCTGGAGCTGTCGGCTCAGAAGCAAAGAGGCTTGCGTGGGGCCAGCAGGACTGGTAGGAGGTTTGGTTCCATCAGTGGAACCTATTTCTAAGGGCAAGCATTAGCCATTAGAAAAAGGGTTTTGGTTCATGACAGAGCCTGAGCCTTTGGAGCTGGCAGGATTTGCTCTGGGGGAGCTCTGTGAGCAGTCGGGCAGGGGCTGATCTGCACATGCAGGAGCGGGGCTGCGTGTGCCCATAGCATCTATCAGTGGGGAGCAGTGGGTTACCGGTTTGCCAGACCACCTCTAAGGCAGAAAATGCAATTCCCACTGCTGTGAATGCCATGGGGACAGGGGGATGTCCCTGCTTCTCCGTTGCATCCAGCAAACCCCGCCGGGGCTTGGTCAGATGACTAAAACAAATCCATGTATGTGTATATCTTTATATATACAGCATATAAATATATATACACACACATACCGTATATACACGCACAGGCACACCTAGAGTTCTCCTTATAGAAATACAGCTATATCAATGCAAGACGGGGTACATCGGCTGCACTGAGCCCCCCTTCGCTGCTTCCACCCACCCCAGAACAAACCAGTTGGCTTTGGCTTGGCCCCCTGGGAAGGCAGAGCTGCTGCTATCTGCCCTGTGCCCCCCCAGACCCCACACCTCACCCCTTCCCTGGGCCAGCATGACACCATTAGGGAGGGAAACTCAAAGCCGGGGCAGCACGAACCCAAGCACAGAACCCCCGTGCTGGGATGCTCTGGCCATGGGGAGCACAAAAGCAGCATCATGAGCACTGCCAGGTCCTGCTCAGGGGCATCCCCGAGCGCCTCTCACTGCAGCTGGGTGCTCTCATTGCCCCCAGCCAAGGCCTCTCCACCTCTGGCCAAATGCTTCTCTGTGCAGAAAAAAAAAAAGTGATCGTAATAAATGAAAGTCGACAGGTTTTAATTTTTTTTTTTTTTTTTTTTTTTTTTGCACAAAGACTTTTTTTCTTTTTTTTCTGTTTCCCCATTCTGGTCAGTTGAGTTTTCTTCTTCTTCTTCTTCTTTTTTTTTGTTGTGTTTTTTGTGTTTGCGTTTTTGTTGTTTTTTTGTGTGTTTTTGTTTTTTTTTTTTTAACTTCCCCCTTTGCGTTTGGTTTTGGTTTCGTTTCATTCCCAGGCGTGGCGAAGAGCATGCATTGGAGAGGGCAGGGCGGCGGGGCGGCAGCGGCGGGGACGCAACCTCTAGCACTTGTCATCTTCCTCAGTGTCACTGAGCACGTCGATGCTGGCCCCGCACATCACGCCTTGCCCGGCCCCTCGCCTCCTCCTCCTGTAGTGCCCGTTGGGCATCTGCCAGCTGTGCCGCAGAGGTGGAGCTGAGCCAATGGTGTTGGAACGACCCAGGCTGGTGGCCACGGCCGCCTCGAAGGTGAGCGTTTCCTCCTCGCCGCAGTCCGAGGCGTGCGAGTCGTCGTGCAGGGCCAGGTAGGGCTCTGAGATGTAACGCTGCGGGGTGGACGGCCGGCTCGGCTTCCCCGCTGGGGAGCTGGAAGACTCGGTCAGGCCGGCGGCGTTGGGCTCCTTGGAGAGGAGCGGGGACCCCCCTTCGGTCTCGTCGGGAGGTGGTGAGGCGTCTCCGGCAGCGTGCCGCAGCATGGAGGCGTAGGAGAGGAGGGGACGCGGTTTTGGGGGCACCGGTGGGAGCTGGCGGCGGCCTCGCCGGGGTGTGCTGGTGTCCGAGATGGAGGGGATGGAGCTTTCACTCAGGGAGCCCGTTCCCTGCAAAGACACACAGGGTCTGAGCTCTGCTTGTGGTGGCAACACGCAAAAAGCTTTTTGTGTAAGGTGACCAACCAGAGCAGGGCACTGCAAGCTCGCAGTGCGAAGAGCTAAGTGCTCTTTAGCTGACGCTCTCTTCACTGGTAGCATATCTTTGAGCGCTGGCATCTCCAGCTTGTGCAGCTGGGACTCCTCAGCTTCAGCAGGGAGCAGGTGCCGTGGTGGTGAAACCAGCTCCAGAGGCACCAGAACCTACGTGGTGACCTCCCTTCTCTCCAAAGACACTGTGAGGTGCAGCAGGCACCATCAAGCCAACACAATGCTATTCTCATTCTCACTGGGGACAAGAAGAGATGTCACCTGCATGGGAACTCTGAGTCAGGGCCTGAACCACTGATTGATCACCTGAAGCAAGCACTGAGTCAGCTGCAGGAGCACAGGTGAAGGCAATTCAGCTTTGTGACTGGAAGGGGTGAAGCCTGGCTCCATCTCTCCTAGACCCCATTGAAGGGCTGACTGCCACTTGGAAAGGATCTCTTTCTGGAGATCCCTCCTTTTGGAGTTTTCTTCTGAGGCCTAGGACACGGGTGAGCATTTCGTTTATCTTTGATTATCGCTTTCTACCACGATAATATTTCTAATTACACAACCTGTAGAATATCATCTTAACCACGCCACTCTGCTAACTACATTTGTTGATTGTACGCACCACTGGGAGAAGAGCCATTGCAGAGCCCCCAGCATGGAATCATAGAACCATTATGGTTGGAAAAGACCTCTAAGATCACCAAGTCCAACCCCAGCCCACCACCACCACTGCCCACATCCCTCAGTGCCACATCTCCACGGTTCTGCAACACCTCCAGGGACAGTGACTCCACCACTCCCTGGGCAGCCAGCGCCCTGCTGCTCTTTCTGAAAAGAACCTTTTCTTAATACTCAACCTGAACATCCCCCCGCAATGGCACAACTTGAGGCCATTACCAAGCATCCCTTTGCACTTAAGAAAGACTTTTCCACCCACCTGCCTGTTGGGCGTTTGTGACCTGCCCTCGCTGGGGGACCGGGACTCACGCCGCCGCTCTGGAGACTCATCGTGTGCCTGGGGACTCCTCTCCTCTGAGTTGCAGCGGGAGATGTCAGGGGACAGCAAGTGCTTGCGCTCTTTGGATCGGCCCCGCTCCCTGCCACCCGAGCGGTGCCCCTCGGACCTGTGGCCTGCAGCAAAGCCCATTGGTCCCTTGTTCCACGTCCCCGCGGTGGCGACAAGGAAGGATAACAACATCGGGTTGATTTTTAGAGACGGGAAGGGATTCTCATTCACCTGAGTCAGCGTTGAGGCGCCGGGCAGAGAGCTGGAGCGAGGAATGGTAGCTGCGCCGGCGGGACTTGTAGGTGTTGTCGCTGCTGCGCTCCATGGAGAACTCATCCAGCCAGGAGGTGTTGGTGCGTTTGTCTCGGATGGTGGAAAACGACCGCCTCATCGAGCTGGTGTCCGTCACCACCTGCAACGGCCCGGCCAGACGGTGATGGGGTGAGCACAGGATGCTCCAGCCACAGCCCCATCGCTGCTCCCGCCACGAGCTCCTTAGCACCATGAGGTTTAGGGGTGGTCAACCTGGGCACACCCCCCTAAATGATCTCACCACGAATCAGGGGCAGAAAGAAAGTGGGTCTGGCTGAAGAGTGCTGCTAGCAAAGTGCCTGAGCATGACTCAAAGCTCTGGGAGCCAGAGGAGGAGCAGCTGCATCCTGCCCATGGCACAGTGATAGTGTGGGTACTGAACCATGGCCCCCAGGCTGCCACAGCATCCCTCCCACCTTGGGAATGGGACCAGCAGAGCAAATGGGGGCACTACAGGAGAAATCATGATGAGAGAGTAGGGAATACCCCAACTCTCCAGTGCTCCTCACTCAATGGTTATTTTCACAGCATTCTCAGACCCCTGTCCTGTTCTCTCTTTTATCCTCATGTCCCCTTTTCCCTCCATTCAGTCCCTCTCTCCCTGCTCACACTGCCATTGTATCACTCCTCTTCCTTACTCCTCCTTCCTACCTTCTCCATTCCTTCCAGCTTGTGATCTCGTATGCTTTTTGGAAAACATCATCCCCTTGATAGAATCACTGAATGGTTGGGTTGGAAGGGACCCTAAAAGCCCTGCCAGCTCCCCCCTGCCATGAGCTGGCTGCACTCAGCTCAGACTGCCCAGGGCCCATCCATGGCCTGGAGCACCTCCAGGGATGGGGCACCCACAGTTCTGGGTGGCAGTGCTGGCAACTTCCCCACCCTTAGTGAAGAATTTCCTCCTAACATCTCACCTAAATCTCCCCTCTTTTAGTTTAAAGCAATTCCCGCTTGTCCTATCACTATCAGACCACATAGGAACTCAGTCCCCTCCTGCTTATAAGCTCCTTTCAAGTACTGGAAGGCCACAATGAGGTCTCCCTGGAGCCTTATCATCTCCAGGCTGAACAAGATGAGCTCCTTCAGCTTAGGAGAGGTGCTCCAGCCCTCTGACCATCTTATGAATTTCCCTCCACTTTACTTTAGCAGCTTTTTGCCTCTCCAGCCTCAGGTCCTTCTCCCATCTCCTCTCCTCCCTTATTCCCAACCATCTCCCAAACAGTTGAATTCCATGAGGCAAAGCTTCCCTTCCCCTTGGCGCTCCCCAAAGCACCCTGCACTGGTGCCAGGCTGCACCAGCACCCCTGTGAGGAACCAGACCTGGAGACTTCAGAGGGATGGATTGTGAAATCAAATCCCAGAAAACCTTCTGCGTCTCAGTTGAGGCTGAATACAAGACAGAACAACAGAGAAACCAGCCAGACAAACGAGGTGAAATGTGACCTGGGCTCGCCCGGACAGACTGTCCACAGACACATGCGGACAAGCACATGTGATGGGACAAGGGGGCACAAGGAGAAGGTGTTTCATTCTCTGGGACATCACTTTGCATCCGAGCAGGGACTCCTTACATCTCAGCCAATCTCAGGGCTGGAGGAAAGGAGGTTGTCCTATTATATCGGTTCCCTGCGGTGTCCCAGCACGATCCTGCTCCAAGAGCAAGTGAGCAATTCCTTTGGCTGCTCTGCACTGCTGGTCCCCACCACGCAGGGGACAGCAGCTCTCCTCCTTGTGGAACACCCCACTGGTGCTCCGGGGAGCTGTGGAGCTCAGAAGGTTTTATCACCAGTGTTACCTGGTAGGCTTTGCTTGGACCCGGCACCCGTGGGGGCTTTGCTTGGTTTTACCTGGGGATCCACAGTGAGACGAGGCATGGAGGAGGCCCTCCCAGAGACAGCGTGGTCCTGAGTGTCCACAGGAAGGTAGCTGCCACGGTTAGAGGGTTGCACTCTTTGAAACTCCCTAACCTCTGGCTCCTGGAAACAAACACACAGCCACGCTCTTGGGATGGGGTTGGGGCACGGTTGGGCACTACTCCTCATAGGGGACAGGCAGCCTGAGGTGGGTTTTAAGTGGGCCAACGGGGAAGTCTGGGAGAGATCACAGCCTTGTAGCCACTCAAATTGACCTCCATTTTGCAGACCAGGCGAACTCAGGTGTGGGACTTCAGGCTCACTCTATGTCCAAGTCCACCTCACACCTCATTCCTTCAGTGCTGGCAGTGCAAACATTGCCTGGATTGGCCCAGCCACTTAGGCTTGACTTCCTTTCCCAATCTCTGATTTAGGGGAATCGTGTCAGATTGAGGGAGGGTTGGCAGAAGGGACAGGGACTGCACATGTGTGTGGTACACAGCTCACGGAGTGTGACAGAGCACAGGGACGCAGACCGGGCTGGAGACGCACGGTGGTACCCAACAGGCACTGTGGCAGTGCGTGGCTGCACACACACAGACACGGAGAGAGAAATACGTGTAAAGATGCACACACACACACGGACACTGCTGCTGGCATGTGTGCGAGGCTGGAGGGGTGCACCCTGTGGTGATGGTTTGGGTTGGGGACACCAGCACCGACAACAAAATGGACACGAATCCAAAAACATTAGATACCATCGCTCAGCACGGGGTAACACACCGAAATGAGCGCTCAGGGGGAAATAAAAGAGCAGCCTGCAAAAAGAAGGATGTTTTACTGCAGGGCATCAGACCGTGCTCGCAGCCTTGTCTGCAAGAGCTGAGGGGCCAGATTCAAACACAACGATGGTCCCACACCTCCCCGCGCCCACCAGCATCCTTCTGGGAGCACAGGCAGTGCCCGGCAGGCAGCGTGTGGCTTTACCAGAGACTGGTGCTCCTGGAACTGCCCCTGGGCTGGATCCATGCACGCCAGCTGGAAGATCTCCTGTGGTGAGAGCGGGCTCAGCGAGGGGAACCCACTTCGGCTGCTCCTGCAATAATGGTCTGGCTTCAGGGTGGGCACAGCTCGGGTGCTGCCATCACTTGGAGAGGGTCCCCATGCTCAGCCCCAATACAGAGATCCCCAATACAACCACCACGCTCCTTGGAGAGCTGAAGCAGTGCCCATTCCCCCTTCCAGAAATAGAGAAGCTGCAGGAAAACCTCACCCCTTGTTGAGGTAATACTCACAGCCCCGTGAGGGTGTCCTGCTGGAGGTAAGGCAGAGCCTTTGCATTGGAGATGATTTCCTGTGGCAAAGAGGATGGCTCCATGCGCTGGAACATGGGCGCGTTTTTCTGAGGGGAACAAATGAAGAAGCTGAGCCTGCATGAAACACAGTCCAGCTCTTTAACTAGAAAGCTTGGGAAGGTGAGGGTGTGCTTGTATTCACTGTCAGAGGCTGAGGACGCACGTCTGTAGCCAACAAAACCCGACATGCACCAAGGGATGGGCAGCACCTGTTGAAAGCCAGCACCACACGAGCCAAGAGCCCCTTGGACATCCTCAATTTGGCTCCCCAGCCAGCTCGGGGCTGGACAGGTGTCAGGTCAGGATGTGACATGAAGCATGCTGTCCCTGTGAGGGTGCTCCAAAAAAAACCCATCCTGAGCACCACAGGCCCTCCCTGAGCCTCACCTGCTCCTCCAGCTGCTGCCTCTGTTTCTTCGCCTTGCTCTGCTTGTAGTAATCCATAATCATCATGGCTGCATATATTTTGCCAACAGTCAGGTCAGAAGCTGAGGGCATGAGAAGAGAAGGAAAAAGGGATGCTTTTGTGTCAAAAAAAATAGCAGATCTGAAGGCACCAGCACTGATATCAGGAAGAACCCAGCTGTGGAATGCCATGATCACCCACAAACTTCTCACCACTGGGGCAGTGAAAGAGTTGAACATTTAGGTACATGGGCGGAGATGAAATGGATGGAGGTGGCAGGCACCATAATAAACCACCAAAATGCACATCCTCATCACATCAACAGACTAATGGTGCCTGTGAGCAATTAAGTTGAACCAGGTGACCTCCAGAGGTCCTTTCCAACCTCAACCGTTCTGTGATTCTGTGAAATGATGCTCAGCTTGCTGCTCCCGTACGCTCCAGAATGACTTACAGGAGACCTTCTCTGTGAACTGGGTGTTTCCCCAAACATGAGCAAGCCTTGTAGCAGCACAAACCCTCTTCCCAGCTCTTTCCCAACAGGGTTGTGTCTGACTGGTCCCCATCTCCCAACAGGAAGACGCTGCTGGAGGTGCACTGAAAATGTGGCAGTGGTCATGGTCCATACAGAGACTCACTTTTTGGCATGGGTACCAACAGGTCGAGCATCTTCTGGGACAGGTGAGGCCAAATGGTCAGGATCTCCTTTTGAAGCTCAGAGTCTAACTGCTGCCAATCTGCACCACCTTGAACAGCAAGGAAAAAAGCAGCCTGTGTACATCAAGGCCTGGCACCCATCCAAAGGCACCACTTCAGTGAGGTTCACTCCCAGAGATGAGCAGCGCCCAGCTCTCGGGGCTGGGAGAGCCACGTTCCGTCATGCAGCCTGCTCTCCTGCTCTTGCAGGGAAACCTTCCCACCATTCCCTCCATATGTGCCACCATCTCCCATCCCCTGCCCTCCCACTCAAAGCTGCCATCTTCGAGCTCTCCTTGGGTCCGTCTCTGCCGCTCCAATCCTACTCCAGCCCACACACACCTGCTGCTGCCCCACTTTCTTTTTGCTGGGGAGCAGATCATGTGCTGGTGGAAGAGCAGCTCTGCTTGGCTGAAGTCCTTGTAGCAGAGCAGAGCTCTTTGGCCAGCAGTGAAGGGATCTGCTGAGCTGTGGAAGAACCAGGCTCAAAGTAAGCCATTAACACACGCCAAACAGAGGCTTGGGTGCCTCTGGGCAAGGGAATTTGGCCAGCTTCAAATCTCTGCTTTATCCAGAAAGGGCTCAAACCTGATGTTTCATGATGCAGGCAGCGCCGGGCTCCTGCTGATCTTGCCTGGGTTGGGCTTTCTGAACTCTTCCCAGGGGACAATTTGAAAGTGGCATGTTTCTGCAGAAAGCTTTTGATCTGATGAATCAGAGTGTTTCCAGCAACACAACAACAAAAAAAAAACACCCTGTTTTTTCAGCTCTGAACATGTTGTGCTCGCTGCGAGATAGATTTCTGCTCCTCAGTCTTTGGAGCCAGGCACACGTGATGTGTCTCCCTCCTTGGTTTGTCTTTCTGCTTCAGGAGGAAGGGATGCTTGACAGTGGATGTCAAGCAGGTTTTGCTCTAGGAGCAGCTTCTAGAGGAAAACTGGCTACATAAATGCAATTCTGCTCCTTACGAGCGGCAGAAATTTGCTTGCTTGGATCAGTCACTTCCATCCACACGCCAGACTCAACCCCTAGTTCGGCTACGATGCCAAAAGGACTGCTCCAAAACCTTCCTGCTCTGCCCATCCCCAACCCCAGAGCCATTACCTTTGGCAATTTTGATGTCCAGGGCGGTGCGTATCAGCGCCATCAGGGTGGAGGTGAAATGGACCGTCATGTCCTCAGCCACGGGCATGTTCATCAGCACCAATCTCTGCGCAAGAGAGAGAAGAAAACAGCGGACGGAAAACAATATCGAAAAACACATCGACCAGGCTGGAGGAAAAGAAATTAAATGTTAAATAAAAGGAAAAAAATAAATAAATCAAAATAAAATAAAATAAAAAGCAACAAAGAGTGTCAAAACAGCACAGCCAAAAAAGAAGGGCAAGGATCACTCCCGCCACCCCCCCCGGCTCCTTCCACCCCAGGACACCGGCTCACTGCCTTCCAGGGCTCCTCCTGCACCCCAGGAACGGCCCCTGGGCCCCCTCCCCAAAAAAGCCATGACAATGGGCCACCTCCCAGCACTTTGTGGATGCCTGATCCGTCAGGGGAATGGCAGGTGCTGGGGAGGGGGAGAGGGGGCTCAAGTCTCCGTTCCTGGGTGGTTTGGCTTTCCAGCTCTCAACCCTTCCCACCTGGGGCAGGGGAGAGGAGGGTCCCTAACCTTCAGGGACTTCAGATCGGCTCGATTCCTCTAGCATGCTACATCCTGGCGCCCCTTTTTGCGTCTTTCAGAGATGAAGTTTGCCAGCACATGCACAGGGTCCGAATTATCCAAGGGTGGGGAAGGGAAGGAGGGGGAGAAAAAAGTGCAGAAGGAAAGAGAGGAGGGCAACCAAGGCAGGTTAGACACGCCATGCTCCTTCCCCACCCTGGGCAGGCGGGGTGCAAACCAAAGTGACCAGATCCACTTTCCAGAGAGTATATTTTGCTTTGTGAACTCCTGGGCTCATCCCTTCCCTGCCCAGTCCCTTTGCCTCCAGCTTCTCATGTCCTCTCCCTGCCTTCAATCCTATGGTGGGCGTATGCATGTGAAAGCATACACACAAGCGCTGCAGTGCTTGCAAGCACACAAACACCCCCCCCTCTTATTGCTAGCCCCTTTGCCAGTGTTGCTGAAAGGACAGCAACCAGCTACCAAGGGAAGGCCCAGCTCTCTCCAGTCTGGGCAGCACATTGCTCCATCTCTCATCCTAGCTGTTCCCAACCCACATCCTTCAGGGCTCTCTGGGCATCCTGTACAGCTGCTTATTGGAGGCACCTGGGTATCCTTATAACATGAGATGTCCCTGGGATGTCTCAAGCCAATGTGCTGCAGAGATGCTCCTGCAGGATGCATCCTTGCTGCCCACCTGCTTCCCATCTCTGCGGGGTTTAGTTGGCTGGGACAAGGGTGGCTGCAAGCTCAGGGGTCAAACTCCTGGGCTAGAGGTCTTAGAGACATGCCACCCTCCTGAGAGTGCTATGGACCTGCTCCTCACCTTGTCTCCAGCCCTCCCACCTCCACACTTGCCCTACCACTGCCCCCTCTCCTTGCCCTTCCTCAGGAGTCTTCCACCCCAGAGCTCTCCAAGTTTGCAAGTGACAAGGGGAGCAGAGACCTGCCAGTGTGGCCAGCACCCTTTTGGGCACACCATGGGTTGGAAGCCTCCAGCAAACCCCAGGTCCCCCAGCCCCACCACCCACCAGCTCCTGCTCGGCCCTAAGCCCCCATAGAAGGAAGGGTTGATCTACCTTATAGGCCACTTTGGAAGGACATCTCTTGCCGAGGCCTAGCGGTGGTGACATAAGAGTCAGCATTTCATACATCTCAGTGTAATGGATTCGGCCACTGCTCATGGAGGGGGAAGGGGAGGGAGGGAGATGCAGAGAGAGAGGAGGCATTCCCAGAGAGCAGAAAAAACGTACGAACAAAATAGTACAGGAAAACAGGAGAGAAAAAACAAACGGACAAACAGGAAAAGAACAGGAAACCCATTAATCAAGGCAAATCATACACGAGAGACTGTCCTGATGTGGATTTATAGCACTGCTCACACAGACCCAGGAATGCTGGCAGAAAAGCGACTCACCCCGCTCTGCTGCTGGCCTCAAGCGCCCACCTCGCCAGCAGCCCGGGAGTCCTCCTCCTGCCTCACCCCCGTCCCTACGGCCCTCCAGGAGCCCCCGCCTCGTCCCACAAGGTTCCAGGGCTGTGTGCGAGTGGTATAAATCAGATACACGGCACTCGAGCCATGGGTTATTGGAGGTCGGGTGGTTTGCACCACGGCGACTCAACGCGCACAGTGGCCTGCGTCGTGTTCTTCCCTCCCTTGGGCCTGGGGGTTGCTTTGTGTGGCCACCTAACCCATAGCCGGAAGGCTGTGTATCCCCATCTCATAAGGTCTATGCAATTGGGAGGCAGCGTCTTGCATAGAAGGCAGTGGGCCAGGGTCACTTGTCAAAGGAAGATGCCCAGTTGCTTCCGTCTGGCTCTGCGGATGGACCGCTTTCCCACCATGCACCAGTGCAAAAGGCATGCTGAATCGGCTGAAAAAATAAAATCAGGAGGAAAAAGTTGTGCATGCCATGCTCCCGCCCTGGCTCTCTCCCGCATGCGGCTGCAAGTTCCACCAGGTTGGAGTTTAAAGAGTCTCAGCAGAGGCAGCTGTTTGGGCCTTCCAACATTGGGGTTCATTTGGGTTTCCCATGGGGGGCAGCTAGGACGGGCCCCACTTCTCACTTCTCCTCTTTACCAGGGCCAGCCTAGGGTCACTGTCACCAGAAACACCCTGTGCCGGGCTCTGCACACCCAGGAGGATGCCTACATGCATTTCCCAGATATGCTGGGCTTGACCACCTCTTCTTCCCCTCATGCCAAGCTGTCGATCTGCTCCATTGGGGGGTGGCTGAGGGAGAAGGGCAATAGTAGCATGGGGCCATCACAGCAAGGACAGGAGGAGGATGGAGAGGAACCCAGCTCAGACAGCTGGCTGGGGAGAGAAGGATGCCACTGGGATGCTGGCTGTTTCCCAATCCCACTGGTGAGAGGAAAAGCGAGGAGGTATCTCCTCTTCTCAGGGGCATCAGCCGCTGTGGAAGCAGCCCCAGGCCAAAGAGGTCCTCGCTAGGTTAGTTCTGATGTTTCTGATATGATCACTTGCAGTGGGCTGCTGGTGGGACAAGCTGTCCCTTTGCGGAACGGACGTATCTAAAAGGCCTGGAGAGAGGATGATAATAATGCAGGGATGGGATGGGCAAGAGAAAATACCCAGATCCAGGAGTCCATAAGCAGCGCCATGGCAGAGCTGGTTGTACGCTGCTTTGAGGTGTCTGAGGGTGAGATGCTGACTTTAGAATTCACATGCTCAAAGCTTTGTGCAACAAGGGAGCAAGACAGTGACCTTGAACCCGTCCTTCCTGGCAGAGTGGATTTTAGCACTCCCAGCATATGTCAGACTTCACCTTTTGTACTGAGAGGAATGGATTTCCATGAAAGCAAGAGTTTGCATCAAAAGCCAGCAGATATTGCACAAGAACTGTGCTGCTCTTACATACAGACTGCATACATTGCATCTGCTCAGAGCAGAGATCTTATATCATCTTGCTCAGCACAGCTGTGCCCAGAAGCACATCCCCATGAAGCCCAAGCATGTAAAATGCTGTCCATCTGGACAGGATGGCTCCCAGAGCTGTTTCCAGCATAGGCTGCCAGAAGTAGAAGGGGATGAAGAAAGGCAGTGAGAGCCCCAGGGAGCAGAGCTGACTGTCAGGGTGCATTCCCAGTGAGGTGCAATTACAAGGTGCTCTCCCCAGCACAAGGACAGAGCTTGCTGGATTTCCATGGGCAGGCTTTTTGCATCTTGTGAGCCCACCTGCAGATGGCCCAGCAGACAAGCTTCCCTACCATACCATGCTGCACCCCTACACAGCATCCTGAAGTTGCCGGACCACCACATTCATAGCATCCTGTCTCCCACTCCATAAACTTCCTTGCCATGTTTCTGCAAGTATTTGTTGTTAAATTGCCTGGTGATGAAAGGCTGCAGTCTTGCTCTCATACATCACTTTGAAAATGATGGCTCCTGACGCCTCCAGGAAGGTGAACCTTTTGTGATGTGTCGGGCAGACTCCCCAAGCTGCAAGATGGTTGACATTTGGTGATCTGGACCATGGTGGCAAAACACAATGACCATGTGGACTTTCTTTCTTCACCAGTTGTCTTCTTGGAACCATCCCAGGCTGGGAGGAATCCCAGGAAATCTCTCATGTCCTTGAAATGCCCCGTACCCAGGGAGGAGACGATGGTGCACAATGAAGAGAAGGCCAGCAGGATATCTACTCACCACCTCCACTGCTCTGTGCATCCCGCAGAGCCAGCAGAAAGCCCAGACAGCTGCAAATCTCCCTCCTATGAGGAGTCATCACAGGTACCCCTGCAAGCACCAGGTGCTCTGGCTTAGGAGAGCAGAATGGAGAAAGGCCAGAATTTCATCCTGCAGGCACCTTTTTTTGCAGGACCAAAGTATTTTGCCAGGAATGCAACAGAAAAGTGTGCAAAGGCTGTGGACTGTCTCCTTGAAGGGATGAGCTGTCCGAGATTCTTGCAAGAAAACCCTCAACCACCTCTTCATAAACAAGCTGACTGAGTGCCCGAGGCTTGTCTGGCTTCCTCTGCTTTGCTCCTGGTTTTAACCTTCCAGATGTGTGCATCATCCCTATGGGCAGCTGCAGAGGGTGACAAACCCACTTCGGGGATGCTGGAGGAAACACAGCAGAGAGGATGCAGAGGAATCTCTTCCCTTGCAGGATAAAGACTGGGGAGCATACCTCAGATGCTATGAGGGATGAAGAGGGAAGACAGAGTGCTGTGGTTCATCCTCTTCTGCCACAGACACAGACATGGCTGTTGTGGCACTTTGGAGAAGGCAGTGGTGTGGGGATATGCTCAGTTGCCATTCTAAGAATCAATCTAAAAGAAGGTGCACAGGTGCACAAGGAAGTCAGATCACTCCTTTGGGCTTACAGCTGAAAAGCTGCCTCAAGCAGAAGGATGGCTGAGCTCCAGGAACCAGGAATGAGCACGGGTGGCTGCTGTCCCTGGCTGGGGTGGCCACCACAGAGCCAGCCTGGCCCTAGAAGATGCCTGATGCCACCTTCTTCTGGCAGCTCCGGCAAACAAAGGGGAAGATGAGCAAGAGAAGAGCTCCCCTGATCACTGAGATCTGAACTGTGACTTCTGAACGTCACGCTTAGAGCACGGTGTGTCAGGCTCAGCACCGTGTTCCCAGGTGTCCTACAGGGAGTGGGGTCACTCTGGTCTCCCAGTCCTCCCTCTCCAAAGCAACTGAGCCCCTGACACCCTTCTGCCTTCAGCCATCTCTCCATCCCCAGCAGTAAACCACACCTGAGCCCCCAGCAGGGGAGAGAAAAAGCCCTGCTCCCACAGATGCTACCTGGAGGAGCCAAGTGGGGGACGGTGGCACACGTCCACCGAGCTGAGGCTCTGAGCTGATGGGGCAGGGGGGATTGGCACAATTTGTCAAAACCCACCCCGGGAGGCTCTGGGCCCCCCCGGAGGGGACAGCTGCTGGCTCTGGGAGGCCATGGACCTCTTTAAACTCAAAGGAAAGCAACGTGAGGGTTCCCTCGGGAGGCGCGGTGGTGGCGGAGCGGGGGGAAGGAGGGGTGGATGGTGCGTCCCGTGGCCAGGTTGTGGCGGAGGACTGGGAGGCAAACCTTGCACGCCACCCTGTAGGGGCAGTTCTCTCCTAGGCCCAGAGGAGGCGAGATCACCCGTACTAATTTGTACATATCCTTATACGAGATCCTGCCGCTGCAAAGGAAGCACAGGTGGGTTAATAGGACACTGAAAGGGTGGAGAGCTTCACCAGGGGGCTAGGACCGGCTGTGGGGTAAGACCCCCAGGGTGCATGGCTCTTCTCCTTCTGGCTCTGTCAGACCCAGAGAGGGGGAGTGGTGAGCTCCAGCTGCTGCCCTCTCCATCGTGAGTCAGCTCGCACCTCCTCACCCTGACCCACACTGACCCTGGAGAAATATGGTGTAAGCAGTGGGCACCACCCCATCACCCATCCTTATTGTGCCCCTGGCTATCTATAGTTGATGGGAGAGGGCTGGGGTTCTAGAAGGGAGATATTGGTTGGGTTCTAGCAACCATAAGCCCTTCTGGTGGAGCTGCATCTCCCACATCAGAACCCTCTGGTCCTTCCAGAGTGGTTGGCAGCTGAGTCAATTGCATCTCCAGTATCTGGGGAACATGAGACAGGGAGAGATAATGTGACCAGCTGGTGGCCAGTGGCTCTGGCACTGACACCTAGGTCTCTGGTGGTCTGTTCCTGTGCTCTGATCACCAGACCACGCTCTGCCAAGGGTACACATTATTAGAAGCAAACCCTCCCACACACACACACCCTTCTCTCCCAAACCCAGACCCAGCAGTAGCAGTGGCAGGATACAGCCCATATCCCTCCATCACTGCTGAAATAAGGAAGCAGTCGAGGTGGGGAGCTGGCAGGGCAGAGCGCAGGGATGCTGAGCTCTTCGCCCCTCTCCAGCTCAGAGCCCTTTGGGAAGCAGGACTGTGGGGTGGATGTGCTGAGGTGCAGCGTGCTGCAGCCTCCTGGGCATCCTTGGACAAGCTTGGAGGGAAACCATACAGGGAGGCAAAGAGCAGCATTACCACCCTACCCTGTGCCTTTGCCTCAGGTTTCTCCTTCAACTTCTCTTGTCCCATCTCCATCGCTGGCCAGAGCTAAGCCAACCATGTGGGCAAAACCAGTCCCTGAGCCTCCCTAGTGTAAGACTTGTACAGTCTCCCCTAAGACCCTTCCTGAAACGTTCCTAGTGTCAGGGTGCAGAGCTGTGCCCCACGCAGGTGGTGGGACCCACTGGGATGTACTCACCTGTTCTTCACCCCACAATGAGGGGCAGGGCTGCCCCAGTGGGCCCAACACCACCATCTGCTCACAGCCCCTACCCACCAGCTACGTATCATGACAAAGAGCATGCTTTGCTCAGAAATCAGAGAAGGGCTTTTGCAGCAACTGCCCTTGGAACCCAAACACTGATATGGGGGTGAGAGTGGCTGGCGTGAAGAAATCCTTTCCCATATCCATAGGTGAGGAACCCCACACCAACTCCTCTGGATATCTGCTCACCCATGCTCACCTTCCCAAAGGCACAGCTACCTGCTCACAAGCCAACTCACCTGCCCATGCAACAGCACTGGGCACTGGTGGGAGGCCATGTGGGAGGAATCTGGCCAGCTCTGAACTGAACCGGGCTGGAGACAAATGGTGCAGGAAACTGTGCCAGGAGGTGATATTAGGCTTATAAAACCTCCTGGTTTCTCAAGAGGCAGATTAGCAGAAGAGGTGATGCTTCCCCTAAGGAGCATGTGCATCGGCCAAGGGTCCTGAGTTAAGAGCACCCAGGCACAGTGTTGGGATGTGGCTCCAAAAAGGGTGTCCCTAGGCTGCAGGAGGAAGGGGCCACACAAGACACCTTCATAGTGTTCTCTGCTCTGCTGAGGGCTGCACACAGCTCTTGAGATGCTCCAATCATCATGGGAGGAGCAGCATAGAGCTGCATCAAAGCAAAAGCCTGACCAACCAGTGTGGCTCATCCCATTGCCGAGAACAGGGTGCTGCCTACAAACAGGAGCCTTGCTCACTGGGGTCCTCATCAGCAAAGCTATAAGTGTAGGAAACAAAGTGCATCCATCTCCTGAAGGGTGGGTGCATAAGAACGAGCCTGTCCCCAGCCTACACAACTCCCTGGTGACCTAGCAGGACCCCAGCAGACACTCAGCATCTCCTCAGGTTGGGGACAAGCCACCCTCCACTCCACCTTGATGGGAGCTGTGGGTGCTGGGGACCAGGCTCTGGAGCCCAACTTGGGCAGAGACCAGGAAGGATGCCTGCCTGTGGCATGGTGGAGGAGGAGAGGGACAGCAGGAACCATGGTAAACACCATGGGTAAACACCGTGAGCATCTTCAGGATATCCCCTAAGGTGCCTGTGCCACCAGGCACTGTAAGAACCAGCTGCTGCCCTTGTAATGTCTGTGAATGAGAGCAGTCCTGCCGTGACATCCCAGGCATCCCATTCCAACAGCAGAAAGCAGAGACACCTACTTAAAACTAGACTGGAGAGGTTGCTTGGGAGAGTAGGAGCTGGCTACATACCACGCTGCTCTGTCATACTCTGCCCAGATCCGGACAAATTCATCTAGATGGTGAGGTCCCAGGATGGAGGAATCTCGTGTCAGGTACTCAAAATTGTCCATGATGACTGCCACAAACAGGTTGAGCATCTAAGTGAAAAGGAGAAAGGCAGAGAGAAAGGGAAGTGGGGGAAAGGGAGCAGAAAAGGAAGTCGTGGGAAGACGGAATTAAAGAAGGAATTGAGACATACAGCAGGTGCTGTTTTGGAGGAGCAGGTGCACCAGGATTGAGGCTATCTTGGTTGTAATGGGATGCAGGGCACAGTGCGCTCTACGTGCTAACCCCAAAGCCTTAGGGAAGGTGCTGGGTGGCTGCGGGGCTGCACCCCAGGGAAGGTGGGATGAAGGCATCCAGGGTGACCCCATGTCCAGGTAGAGGAACTCACCAGGAACGAGCAGAAGAAGATGAAGGAGACAAAATAGACGTAGGCCAGGTCGGTGCCACAGCGCTCGTTCTCATTCTGCCCGGATGTCGCCGTTGTGTCTGGCTCGCAGCCTTTGCCCTCCAGGCAGGAGAGCATGATCTCCTGCCATGCCTCACCAGTGGCACTCCTGCACCAACACAGCCACGCTCAGCAGCAGGGAAGGATGCAGTAGGGAAGGATGTAGAGCCCTGAACCCCCAACCTGTAGCTGCTTACCTGAAGAGAAGCATGAGGGAGCCCAGGAAGCTGCGGAAGTTGTTGTGCCGGTTAATGTGGCTTTCCTCATCTAGTTTGATGTTGCCAAAAACCTACGGGGGGGAAAAAGGGTTCAGGCAACACCAGTTCTGCCCCAGACCAGAAAGTCTCCAGGGCCACGAGGGGTGACAAAGCCCCAAATCCAGGCAACATCCTACCAACAACCCACCGCCAAGGCCACGATAGGATGCGGTGAATGTTCACAAAGTGCCTTAAATTGGAAAAATGTGCTGTTATTACTGTTAAATATTTATTCCACTTTTCCTGAGCCTAAAAATACTCTAACTGCAAGAGTATTTCTTCCCCTGTACGGGTTTTTTGGAATGCGTAATTGTGGAATATTTTCTGCCTCCAGCTATTTTGCTCAAATAACGCCCACAGACTTTACTGCTTGGGGATTTGTTCACAATGATGTTAAAAAAAAATAATAATAATAAATCCAATACTACCACACGGCAGGGAGGGGGCTGAGTCAGATGGCAATTGCTTAGCATGGAGAACACCTGGAGCCGTTGCTGAGATGTGTGGGATGGAGAGGCCAAAACCAACCCAGAAACTCTTGGGGAAGGATGAGACCACACAGCAGTGCTGCCAAGCAGCGAGCGATGCGCTACCTGCTCTGAAATTCTGCTTCACCCCCCTCCCTAACAGCGAGCAGCAGGAGATTGCTTTTGTTATCACAGAGGCTTGCTCATCGGGCAGCTGAAGATCCTGAGTGCTAATAGAGATGCTTTGTGAGATCCTCAGCATGGATGTTAGTCACTGTGCTGCTGAGCCAGTGCCGCGAGCACGTGTTGGAGTGAGAGCAGTGCTCACGTGCCTGTGCTGGAGCCTGGGAAGCCCACGTCTCCCTGTGCTATGCAGACCCCCACTTTGCTAAGGGCTGCAGGTCCCTGAGCTCAAGATCCCGACCAGTGTGGCCACCACTGTATGCAAGGATGGGCTGCAGGGGACCGTGTGGCGATGCATCTGTTGGGATGGGAAGCGATGCTCACCGCATCCTTCCTACCAGGGAGACAGGGATTGGGTATGATTTTGAAAACCTGTGGAATGAAGAGGGAGTGACTGGGAAGCGGCTGCGGCACAGGCTGCCCAGCTGAGTCCCTGCATCCCCCATTGGGTACAAGCAGGGAGGAAGCAGGGAGCTCAGCGCACGCAGTGATGTGGCTCCTAAGCAAGCTCTGCTGCCCTTGGGACGTTCCTGGGCGCCCAGAGCGGTGAAGCAGTGACAGACTGGCTGCTGTGCAGGGTTGTAACGCTGAGGATGTGCCTCTCCAGCTTGTCTGTGCCCAAGGAAGCATGCTGAGCTGTCTGTGCTCACCTGCATCCCAATGATGGCATAGATGAAGAAAAGCATCGCGATTAGGAGGCAGACATAGGGGAGAGCCTGCAAGAGAAGCACGAATCATCTCCTTACACAGCTTCAGCTCTGGAGGCACACACCTCTCCAGGCCCATCCACCTCTCCTACGAGCCAAGGAGCAGCATGCCAACACCAAGGCCCAAGAGGAGCCCAGTGTGTGTAGTCCTCACCTTGAAGGACTGCACAAATGTCCACAGCAGGATGCGGATGGTGTAACCCTGGCGCAGCAGCTTGATGAGCCGAGCCGCCCGGAAGAGCTTCAGGAAACTCATGTTGAAGCTGCTGGTGTTTACCAGCTGAGAGGAAAGAGAGAAGAGGGTCAGGGAGGAGGCAGCAGCACCTCAGCCCCCACAACAGGGGCATGTGGCACCCAGTCTGCCCAGTCACCTTGGTGTCTGTCAGGATGATCTCTGTGATGCTGCCAATGACGGTGATGAAGTCAAAGATATTCCAGGTGTCCCGGAAATAATTCTGTGGGAAGAAGGAGAGGGGTTGAGGCTGGGACAGCCAGTCTCGATGGTGCTGGGACACACATAGACCCCTCCAGGCTGGCCTGGCACCAGGAAGCCCAGCCTGACCATAGTCCAGGGTGCTGAGCTTTGCAAGTTGGACTGATCCATATGGACACACACTCCATGTCCAACAGCAGTGCTGGCAGCTGGCTTGGGAAGCTCAGAAGGTCTCTCTCGACCTTCCAGACTAGATCCAAAGGAACAATTCCAACCACCAGCTTCCAAGCAGCTCTCAGGATGAGACCCAGAATAGATAGCATCGATCTCACATTATTAACACCTTCCCTCTGTAAATCGGAGAGCTGAAACGTGCTGTCAAAGTCTAAATTAACACCTTTGCTGAGAATGGGATCAGATACTTACCAGAAAGCCAAAAGCAATGATCTTAAGGACGCACTCCAAAGAGAACACCATGGTGAAAGCGATGTTCAGGTACTTCAGGGCCAGCTCATAGGTGTATGGAGCAGAGTAGTACTAATGGAGACAGAGAGACATTGCCCTTGGCTGATGTCTGTCCCTGGGAGGACCTGTGATGGCCATGATCCTTGCCCCCGATGCCTCAAGATCACCTCATAGAATCATAGAATGGCTTAGGTTGGAGGGGATCTTAAAGATCATCTAGTTCCAACCCTCCTGCCATAGGCAGGGTTAGCAGACACCAGACCTGTCTACCCAGGACCCCATCCAACCTGTCCTTGAATGCCTCCAGAGAGAGGGCACCCACAACCCCTGTGGGCAAACTGTTCCAGCGCCTCACCACCCTCTGAGTAAAAAATTTCTGCCTAATATCTAATCTAACACCTCCTTATTCCCTTTCTTCTCCTCTCCGCCCCTCTCCCAGGACAGCAGGCCCTGCTTCTGAGGAGGAAGCATTTCACAGAAATAACCCAAATACCCTCTGGTCCCATCCCAACTGATGCTTCTACTCCTCGCCACACTAACCAAGCCCACCCTGACCTGCTCACCTTCATCATCAGCACCACAGTGTTCAAAGCAATCATGGCCATGATGGTATACTCAAAGGATGGGGAGACCACAAAATGCCAGACCCGGTACTGGAAGGTGTGCCGGTTCTGGGGCATGTAGCGTGTGAGAGGCTTGGCACTGATGGCAAAGTCAATACAGGCCCTCTGGAAGAAAAAAAAGTTACCTGGCTGATGGTAACATAGAGAACAGTGGCCAGACTTCTTAACATCTGGGGAGCTCCAGGCTCCTGAACTCCATGTAGCAATCCCATAGAAACATCCTTCTTCCTCCCCAGACTGTACCTCATTCTTCTCCAGACTGCACTCCTCCATCATTTTGTCTCCTTGCTCTTGGAATGTGATGATGATGAGAGCCACAAAAATGTTGACGAAGAAGAAAGGGAAGACCACAAAATAGACGACGTAAAAAATGGACATCTCCATGCGGTTACTGCGGCTGGGCCCACGGTCCTCCTCCGTCACATCCACCGAATGCTGCAGCACCCTGTGGGCAGACAGGTGGAGGAAAGCAACGGGAAGTATGTCCATCAGGATCGGGACTGCCACCACCCAGCACTTCTCATGGGACCTCCCTTCCATGTCCATCTCCATCCATCCACACTCAGTAAGATAAAACTGCTTTAACCAGCTTTACAAGGACAACCCTTCCAAGCGGCTTCAGCTTGTTTCACAGTGCTTTGCCCATGTCCCTGATGGAAAATGGATTTTCCAGTGCTTCACACAGAGAAAAAGGTTTCCCAGTCTCTCACGAGCACGGAGAGAGCACTAGCCCTATAGTCATTTCTAAAACTGACCTAAAATGAATGTACCTCCATGAGGGAGCAGGGATAATCCATCACTCAATTTCGGATGAAGAAGTTAACCACAGCCACGTCCCCAGTCTCATCTAGGGAATAAAGCTCTTTTGTCCTGACCTAATTTCTCAGCCTTCCTCTCCTTCCCACTGTGCAGTTTCTCTCTCCATCCAGCTGGGATATAGCCAGTTATTAACCCAACTAAGGCAATGGGGTCATGCCCAACCTATCCAAGGAAAGAGGACGGAGCAAATACTCACTGTGGCCAACCCTCGCCAGTGGAGACTGTGAACAAGGTGAGCAACGCCCAGATTATATTGTCATAGTGAAACTCATGTCGTTTCCACTCCCGGCACTTCACCTCCATCTTGTTCTTCTCATGGTCCACGTAGTTCCCTCTGCAAGGTTGGAAGAGAGCAGTAGCTTTGCTAGTGTCAAGCTACAGGAAGGTTGTTCTATACCTGGGGCAGAGTGTGTGCTGGGGGGGGGACACCTCTGCTCCTGTGGGGCTGAAGAAATGGGGAGAGGCTCAATGACAGATAGGGGGAGCAGAGACATGGAGAGAGGAGAAAAGAAAGAGCAGGAAGAAAATACTGGGCTCTACATCATTGCTGATACAAAGCAATGGGATAGGACTCAGCCCAAGCTGTCCATCCCCAGAAACTACATCCAAGAGCAAGTCATGACCAAGGGCTGTACTGGGAACCCAAAGGCAACACTGCCCAGCACCCTGCCTTTCCCAGAGCTGTCAGCAGCACTGGACCCACGGGGCACATACATGCAGTCCTTCTCTGTGTCCTTAGAGCTGTCAGTGCAGTAGAAAAACTTCCCCTTGAATAGCTGGACAGCAATGACAGCAAAGATGAACATGAAGAGCTTGTAGACAATGAGGATGTTGAAAACGTTCTTGAGGGACGTCACAACGCAGTCGAAGACAGCCTGCAGGAGAGGACATAGCTCACCATGGGGAACAACAGGGCAGAACCAGACCCTCCTCAACACTACTGTGTGGAAAGATGCTTCCCACTCCTGGTAGGGAAATGAGGAAAGAGCTTATCTCTGTCCCAAGCAAAGGAATGTCTGGTAGATGACACCCAGCATAGCCGCAGTGATGGATATTTATATCTTCCAATACTTTCTGCAACCAGAGCAGCAGACAGGGACTGTCCCAAAGATGCAATTAGCGCTCAAGACCAATTAGTCAATACTCCTTTTTCAGCATCATCCCAGACAGTGAGGCAGACTGAATACCCCTGCCTGCAATAGCAGCAGTTTCCGAAGCCTCAGAGGCTGTGCTCACAGCCCCTTGCTTTGTGGCAGAGTGTCCAGAAATGAACTAAAGTAAGCCAGTGTCCAACCACCGGTCAGGAGAAAAGAATGAGATGAAAACCTGTGTATCTGGGGTGCCATCCTGGGCTTTATCCATAAGTCAAATACCTCCTTGTGAGGATGGCTCAGGGCTCCCTTGGTCTCTTAGACATTTCTGGCTCCATAACCCATAGGCTCAAGCAGGGAAATGCATGATTCTACCTCCACTACACAAATAATCCCTCTATTCAGCTGGGAAATCCCCTTCTGCTGTAACACGAGGACAGTACAACACAAAAACGGAGTTGTTTGCAAGCTGCTCTGGTGGGAAAGATAATGAACTTTGGATAGAGATCTGAGCTTTCCCAAAGCCAGGGCTATGTACTCTACTGCTGCCTGGTTCTACACCAGCCCCAGTATCCCTAGCAGAGGAATCAGCTCGGATCTACCCACAGCTGGGCTTGCTTTGAATAACTCTGCACACCCCGATGTGCAGCAGTCTGAAAGGAGCCGTGTTTGAAAACAGGGCTCCTAAAATTCAGCAAATGCTTGGAAAACGGCTTGTTCATCGCTTGGGAGCAAACTGATGCTAATGCTGGAGGAGGCAGATGTCAAGCCTATGTAGAGTAGTTACCTTGAGCTTCGGCAGCCTCTTGATGGTTTTCAGGGGCCTCAAGACCCGCAGCACACGGAGAGACTTGATGGTCTTGATATCCCGACCCTTGTTGGTCCTGCCACGTGGGAGGGAGGCACAGGCACCCAAAGATGGAACAGAGAGACAATAACCTTCCAGCTCCAGGGCTGGATGTTATACTCCCAGCACGGGGAGGGGAACGTGGGGCCATGCTCTGCAGTGAGGGCCAGCTCTGTGACTCTAATTTATTGAATGTGGTGATCAGTCCCACCCACAATGTTGGTTTTTTTTCTGGTTTTCTAACCAAAGCCCGTGGGCTGGAGCCCAAGGTGGAGCAGAACAATCCTGGTGAAGGTGGCATAGCTTAAAAACCATCAAAGAAACATTTTACAACAACATACACCCTGAGCTACACAGCTCTTTTGCAAGGGTTAATGCTACAGGGAGCCCATAATGGGCTTAATCATTAAAAGATGTAAACAAAGCCACTAATTAATACTCTAGAAAGTGACTGTACTAACAGCCCTAGGACCCACACTTCCACCTTTAACACGCAGAGCAAACGAGCTCAGATCCCAGGAACTGTGGTTGGGAACGCAGCTAAGGGTCAGCACAGATGTCAGACAGATAGACAGACACCTGCCCACCCCCCATGCCCCCCCGTGGACACTCAGACAGCATAGTTACCCCAAAGCATTCCTGTTGGCAATCCAGCCCACGCCACCGAACAGCGTGAATAGAACGGAAAAGAGAGGAGAGAGAAAGAAAGTAAGGAAAGCATTTTGGGATCGCGTGGGATGGCGACAGCCTCCAGCAGCACAGCCAGGCTGGGGACCTGAGGCAGGAGGACATCCATCATGTCCACCCATAGGCATGGCTTGCGTCCAGCGGTGCAAGGAAAAGCACAGAGGAGGAGGAGGCAGCTCTGCAGGGTGCTTCTGACCTTGCACACCAGGTGAGACAGAGAGGGCCGTGCTCTGAGCACCGCTCAACCTTTCCTCCCATTGCAAACCCACAAGCCAGGTCTTACCACAGCTCTCAGAGCTGCATGCTAATGCCTCTTCCGAGGGTGCAACGGGAGGCAAAAGCGAGCAGGGTCTTTAGTTATGGTGCTGGTTATTCCAGCTAATTTAATTACAGCTCTTTGGAGATTTACAGTGGTATGTCAGGCTTTTTATTTAGGCTGCATTTGGGTTGATGTATTAGCTTTCCAAGCTGAGAGCTGCGGACTAGAGGCAGGCATAGGCGGCCTCTCACTTGGAAAGTGCGTGCACTGAGTGGGCAGCAGATAAACAGCAACATCACCCGGAGATGTGGCTTTACAGGCAGACACGTGGGCATTGTTTTTTACTGTGGGATGGCACTGATGGCTGCAGGGTGAGAGGGCACCACAAACCAGCTCAGAGAGCTCCTGCCATGCCTGTGGGGAAACCCAAACCTCCATGGGTGTGCAAAAGACCCCTCGAAATTCAGTGGCCCCATGTCAAAGGGGATCTCTCTGTCCCCCAAGAGGCTGGGGACAGGGAAAAGGCACAATGCTGACAGTGCAAAGGATGTGGGCACAACCCCTGCTGACCACATCCCTGTCCCCAAAGGGCTATGGGGTGATGTCCACTCTCAGAGCAGAGGGAAAGCCACCAGCTGGAGAGCACAACTTCCAGCTCAGATGCATTCAGAGAGCAGCTCCACCACACAGAGTGCTGCCTCTGCTGGTTTTGTGCACCCTGGAGTGCATTGCAGGTGTACAACTCCAGCTCTGGCACTCTTTGTTCTCATCTATCTAACAAGTCCCTGAAGCTGCACAGCTTTCGGCCATCGGAGATACAGTTGGGCTTCACACACAGCGGTAAGAAGCTATTCTCAGAGCACAAAATCACAGAGAACTTCCCCCTAGATCGTGGTCTTGCAGCTATAACGCACGGTCACATCCTCCCTCCTCCCAGCCAAGCAGAGCCCACAGGGCCGACAGCCACTCACGCCAAGGCGAAGGCCACCAGAGCTCCCACCACCACGATGAAATCTAGGATGTTCCAGAGGTCTCGGAAGTAGGAGCCATCCTGCAGGATCAATCCCTGATCGATCATCTGGGGGGATAAAAACAGGCAGGAGGGCAGCAGCTCGGCCACAGAGCTAAAGCTGTCCAGCTACCCAGCCGGGGGAAGGTTGGGATCCAGAAGCATTGCGTTTCAAGGGGTCTGGATGCTGATGTAAGCAGTACTGAGTTCTCTCATCCTACTGCTAAGAACCAGGCTTTCAAATTTCTATCAAACAAATTCAGGACCAGGGTGGAAAACCTAAGCTATTTCCCACGCAAGACGCTTGCTCCACTCACCACCAGCAGCACAACCAGCTGTCTTACCTTGATAACCATCTCGAAGGTGAACACACCAGTGAAAACATAGTCAAAATACCTCAGCACCTGCAGAGAGAGGGCATGGGTGCTCTGCAGCAGCTTGCCAGAAAAAGGGCTCACCGAGGCTCCTCCGGAGCAGCCACGAGACAAGCCCCATTTTAGAGGTATACAGAAAGGGGATTTGCAATCACTTTGTTACGGTCGGAGTTGGTGAGGACGGGATCCTCAGCCGCGAGGGCGATGCTGCTGGCGGCGATGACCAGCAGGATGCACATCTCGAAGTAGCGCAGGTTCACAATGTAGTGGCAGGCTCTGCGCACCCTACGGCGAGATAGTCCCCATCTGTTACAGCCACCCCACGCGTGCAAAGGCCGTGAATTGTTCCAGGCTCTCAGGCCTGAGCCATCACCAAGGGAGAGCAGGTTGGGTATTAGGAAAAAGTTCTCAGAAAGAGTGGCGTGCATTGGCACAGTCTGCGCAGGGAGGTGGTGGGGCCACTGTCCCTGGAGGTATTACAGAGCCATGGAGATGTGGTACTGAGGGATGTGGGCAGTGGACATGGTGGAGGTGGGCTGTACAAAAGCCAAAAAAAAAGAAAATCTCACGGGTTTGTGGTGCTGAAGATGAACATGGAGCTGTGTGGCACCATCGCTTTGCCTGTCTCGCTCTTCTCCTTCTTCCGCTTCTTCTTCTCCATCTCCTCCTCATCCTCTTTGCTCTCAGCCTCCTTCAAGGGGCTGGCTTCTCCATCGGTCTTGTTGCTAACTGCAGAGAAACGAGAGCCTTTGCCTGCAGCCAAGTGGGGTGAAGGGCAGCTTCTGCCCCAGACCTGCCCCACTCCCTGCTGTGGGGACACTGGGAGGGACAACATGGGATGATGAGATGGACACCCCCACCCACCCCATGGATATGGATGGGGAAAGCCATGTGAGCAGCCTTCCGCTCCCCCCTGCGTGTGCTCAGGAAAGAGAGAGGGGTCCTCACTCTGTACCACAGTGGAGTCTTGGACATCAATCATGATGGTGGTGCTCTCAGTGGCCTTTTCGGTGTTGGCGGTGACGGAGGACAGGTCAGGCTCACTGCGGCTGACAGTGCGGCTGGCCCCCAGTGCCGCCCCCCCTAGCAGGGCCTGCTCACTGGTGTCTGGGCTGCTGCAGTCCTGCTCACCCAGGCTGCCTTCCATCCCCCGGGGGGGCTCAGGGGCTGATGCTGGAATGCTTCCCTCCTCGGTTGGAGCCCCATTGGTCCTGTGGGACAAAAAAGTGAGAGAAAATAAGTGGAAGGCAATGATACAAGGAGTCACAACGATTGCAAAATGTCCCCCAGTGACCAACCTGGTGGGGTCCCCGCTCGCCTCCGGCTCGCCCTGAATCAGGTCCAGTGCTGCAGCAGCATCCCCACGCCGCTCCCCATCCTGCATCCCCTCTGCGGGGCAGGGCTCTTCCAGCCCCATCTCCTGGCTGCCCGCACGGCTCTCCAGGGCTCCAGTCGGCTCCTTCCCCTCCATCCTGGCTTTCCGATGCCGGCTGCGCCGCTGGCTCTGCCTCATCCGCGCCCTCTCCTCAATGCCACCTCCTGCCCCTTCCTCACCCGGCTCGCAGTTCCCGTGGCACGCTTTGTGTTGCCACATCTCCTTGTCCCTCCTGGAGCGGGGCGATGGGCTCCTCCTGTCCTCCCCACCGCCTGGGTTGGTCCCTGGGGCCGGCTGCTCGGTACCCTCAGCCGGCGGCCGCTCTCCCTTGCCACCTTGCTCCTCATCGCACTTCTCCAAGGCAACGCCGTCCCCTGGTTTCTTGCGGCGGAAGATGCTGGCGTGTGGGTTGATGAGAGGTGGCTCATCCTTATTGATGCCCTCCTGGCTGGACATCTGCATGTGCCGGCGCAGCTGGCTGGTGCGCTGCTCCCACACCGACATGTGGTGCCTCCGGCGCCGCTCCCGCCTGCAGCAGGGATAATCATGTCACCAATGTTCCCCACCAGTGCTGGCATGTCACCCTGTCCCATCCCTGCTGCATGCACCCACAGCCCCCGTGACAAGACATGGGGGTGCACACAAGTCACCAGACACGGAGTTTGGGGACACAAACACCCGCCCAGCCCCAAAGACTTAGTTCCCAGCCTTTGGGCATCCTTCTGGTGCTGGCAGGGGCTGGCAATTTGGCTGAGCCTGACCACCTGCTCCTTCAAAAGACTGCAGGATGTAGGAGGAACGGACCCACACCTGTCCCATGCCAACTAGGTGGTGACCAACCATAATTGTCTTGCTTGCCTGACGACATCACTTTCAATCATAGAATCATAGAATGGTCTGGGTCGGAAAGGACCTCAAAGCCCATTTAGTTCCACCCCACTCTGCCAAGGGAAGGGACACCACCCAGCAGCTCAGGCTGCCCAAGATCCATCCATAGCACCTGCAGGGATGGGGCACCCACAGCTCTGGGCAGCGCTGCCAGTGCCTCCCCACTCTGAGAGAACAATTTCCTCCTAACATCTCATCTAAATCTCCCCTCTTTTAGTTTAAAGCCATTCCCTCTCATTCTATCACTGTCACCATGTAAAAAGTGAGCCTCCATTCCTTTTTTATAATCTCTCTTTAAGCGCTGAAAGGTTGCAGTGAGGTCTCTCCAAAGGAACAGGGACAAAGTCCTATTGCTGCAGCACTGGGAGTGCCCTTGCTTCTCCAGCTCCTTGGAGCCAGGCTCCTTTTGGGAGCAACACTGCCCTAATGATGACCGTGCTTGTGTGGCAATGCTGATAGGATGAAGATGGGGAGTAAAAAAGGATAAGATGTCAGGTCCAAGAGCAGCCTTTCTCTATGGGAGATGGCCCTTGCTGCTGAGACGTGTGCGATGGAGTGCATCACCAGGTACAGGAACCCCTCTCCGCCTGCACAGCTGGGCTAACACATGCCATGGGAGGACTGCACAGAGGATTTGAGGCTGCAGCTGTTGGCTTCCTGCATAGCCAGAGCTCCTCAGTATTCTGCCTTCTAGGATCCCTGACACCTCCATAAACACAAACACCCTGCAGAGGACAAACGTTCCCCTTCCCAACACACCGAGGCACACAGAAACACACACGTGCACACGCGTACGCCGCTCTCCCCCGGAGCACACGCTGTACACACCCCACCCACGGGTACACCAACACACAGATGCACAGAGCCACGAACGCACGCAGGGACACGGGTGCAGGGGAGCACCCCAAGCACTCCACACACGGGCAGGAGCTGCCCCCAACAGCACAGGAGCCATAGACGACACGCGACCCACGTACAGGTGGCTGCTGCGCGGCTCCCACATCGACATGTGGTGTCTCCTGCGCCTGTCTCTTCTGGGGAGGAAAAACAAACCCGTTCAATCCCCACCAGCCCTCCTCCATCACAGCAGGCTGCGCACAGTGGTGCCCGAGGGTGCATGGATGCTGGAGCAAGGAGCTACTAGCAAACTGCTACCTGTCTGTGCTTGCACACCAGCAACAAGCTCTGTATGTGCCCACACACGTGTGCCCCGTTTGGACATCCCACCAGGACACACGGACTGCTCGCCAAAGGGACACACGCTGCAGTGCCTGTGCTAGGGCTGCAGAGCTGGGCTGGGGAGAAAGGAAGATGTGACCAAACAAGCTGCCTCAAAGTCTTGGTCCTTGGATACTCCAAGCGGAAAAAGCTATTCACTTCTAGTAACACACAGCATTTTTACAGAGGAGGTGATGTGTCGGGCTGGCCCTGTGATGCTCAGAGCATCACCATGTGTTAATGCAGCCATGTGTGAGACCACAGTGTGGGGCACACAGCTGATATATGCAAATATGCATACACTGATTTACATTTTTTGCTTTTTGCAAACGCCGTATCCGTGTAAGAACGCACAACCAAACTCACCCTCAGGTGCACGCAGAGCTCGTGTCTGCAAGGTTCTGTGCATCACAGAATTATACAGTAGTTCAGCTTGGAAAAGAAGATCACCCATGCTGCAGGCAAGGTTGTCAACTGCTAGAACAAGCACTAGATCAGGTTGCCCAGAGCCCCGTCAAACCCTGCCTTGGGCATTTCCAGGGATGGGGCAGCTGCTTTCTCCATGGGCACCGACAGCCCCCAACACAGTCCCATTGCCATGCCAGGGCCACATCACAGCCCCACACACAGGGACAGCCCAGTTCCATGCTCAGGGCACATGGCTCAGGTATGGCTGTCGTTCCCACAGCAAGTGGCGTCCGCACAGCGCTCTGGGCACCGGCACATTGCAGCACCCGCATGCGTCTGTCCATCAGGCCTCCCACTCACCGAGCAGCCTGAGCCATCTGCACCACGGGCACCCGTGTGCACACACAATGCTCCAATCTGCACCGCAGCCACCCACACCACCAGCATGGCCACGTGGGAGCACTCCTCCCAACCACAATCGGACCTCTCTGCCGGCACCAATGCGCGCACCCAACCTGACCGCACCGCGTACCCACGTAGGAATTGAGCCATCTGTGTCTGTGCACACCCAAACACCGAGAGCAGTTCTACTGCACCGTTGCAGCCCTATGGCACCAGCTCTGCTCCTGCTTGCCCCTTCCTGCAATTTCCTCACCATGTTCCCCTGCCAGCTGCTGGCATCAGTGGGACATCCAAATCAATCCTGGAAAACGTCACCCCCGCACCACTGCAACCCTTGAAACTATCCATCCCTAGCGGGGGGAGGAATAGGGAAAAAGAGCTGCAGATATCCATATCTCCAATTTAAATGCCAGTGGAGCAACAACATTAAGGTTAAGAAAATCTGCTTTCCCAACCAGCTGTATTTGACAACAACTGTAAGACTAGTAAGGATGTGCAGAGCAGATAAATCCTTTGGTGTCCCCACATATTCCATCTCCCACCTCTTCCTCTCCATTCTCCATCTCTTTCCATCCTCTATTTTTCTCCATTCTCCAGCCCAAATTTCTGTCTTCTCTCACTTTACACAGCGCATTCAGGTGGGCAGCTAGAGCTCATCACAACACACAAGCTCTGCCATCTTGCCCATAAACCCCCAAATCCTGCTTGTATGGATTTCTCTATTACGATGAATATCCCTTCATTCTCAGGCATGTCTTACAGGTACATGACCTCAAAACCAGCAGGCACGCATTCAGGACAGGGAATCATCACATCCCACTGCTGCAAATCCAAGGAGCCAGGGACCTTGGACAGATCCCAAATGTCTAAGATGAATCTCACCACTTCCTCCAACACTGTGCATTGGAGCTTGCCTAGATTTCTCTCAGCAGATTTGCTGGAGACTCTGCCGTGTGCGAACCTGGCTTGTTTTCAAAGCATGATGAAACCTAAAATTCCCTGGGAAGGGATTCTATAAAAAAAAAAAAAATTAAAAAATGAATCCTTTCAGCCATACTGAAATGTACTGTTTTGGGAAACAAATCAAAACGCCTCGTTCCAATGTTGACTTTGAAAGTTTTATATGATTTAGACCATATGACACGGCAAAATAAAGAGGGAAAAAAAAGGTGTCTAGGAAGGAAAAACAACTTTCTGCTGCTGAATCGCAGACGCAGGGCTCTTTAACACTGTGTTAGGGGTTTTATGTGGTTTTGGGTTTTTCCTTCCCCAAATGACATTTCTGCACAATGAAACGTGATTTTGCAAACCTGCTCCATCTCATGTAACTGCATTATAGCCAGGAAAGGAGCCCAGGGAGGTTTGGATCTGGTGGTGATCACCAGCATTCTCCTCATCTCTGACTTCATTTCTTACCCTTAGCTGCATTTTCAAGTACCCAGCCTTTATGTTTTGGGACAGAAAGCCACTCTGGGGAGATTTCTGCCATGTGAGGCTCTGCTTGGGGGCAGCCCAGGGCCTGTTGGTGAGCTGGTCTCTGCTCCATGGGGAGCACATATCCATCTCCACCCATCCCAAGGGATGGGCTTGGGAAGCAAAGGAAGGCTCAGGGTGAATGGGGTCACTCACTCAATAGCAGGCATGTTGGGGGCAGACATGGGGCTGACTTCCTTGGCTTTCTGAAGGGCATGCTTCTGGTTAAAGGCCTCTTCTTCCTCCTGCTCGTCCTACAAAGGAAACAGAGGAGTTGCTTAGTGTGAGGCCAGCAGTTCAAGGGAATGTGGACCCATTAGAGGGGTCAAGAGAAAGGGGGAACATGCAGAGACTGCCTTCATTTGTCTCACATTATGGGGACACTGCTTTGCCACTACACCAGTTCTTGGCGATAGTCCAAGCTGCCATCATCATCTGCTCCCACCATGGGAGGACAGGGACAATGGGGGACCCCGGGCTCTGCCATGCCATTTCATTTACTGGGAACGGGTTAGATTTACATCTACGTGGAGGCTGCTCAGTGAGCCTACAGAAGCTGAGGAATAGGCATGAGTTCTGCAAAAGCAGGCAGCATGGGGTAGCTGGTCACGTTTGAAGAGCAGCAATGACCCCTGCAGCTCTCACCTCCTTGCCTTTGCCCAAACGATGCCCCAACATTTAGCCTTCCTCAAATATTTCCCAGCACGGTCTTAAAAGCAGTCAAGCCCAATAAGTTTCTCAAGAGCCATCCTAAATTGCATTCTAAATCACTCCACTGCCCTGCAGGCAGATGTGGAGTAAATAGCGACACCGCTGGAAAGCGCTTCCCTGCCACATCTCCAGCAAATAACAACCCACACCAGATAGATGAGAGTTATCTCAGTGTGACTGGGGGCAAACAAAGCTAGGGAACTTATATGGAGAAATGGTTAGGCCACACTTGATGTGAAGTGTGAGCGCTCAGGAGAGCCACAAGAGCAGCAGGTTGGGATACTTCCCCAAACCAAGGTCCAGTGATAGGGGTTGGTATCTCACAGGAGAGTTCCCTGTGAGCCCTCCTGGAGGAAGAACCCCACATCCACTTTGAGATGACCTCTTTGCAAGTTGAGCTGAGCTAAGGGGCAAAGGGGTCACAGGTACTGCTCCTGGTGCCATCCCCTCTCACCCACCCTTTCCATCAGTAAGAAGAAAAAGGAGCAACTGGAACTTACCTTGGTGAGCTCCTGAGCGTTAGCCAGGTTGTCCACTGCAATGGCCAAGAAGACATTCAGCAGAGTATCTGTGAGCAGCTAAGGATGCATAAGCCACGTGTTAAGGACATGGGCATCTGCAGCCACCGAGGGAGGTTGGCCCTGATGGCTCCTCACAGCTTAGTGAGAAGCAACCACGAGGACAAACGCCTCACCCATCCCATCTGAACCACCCACAGTGCATCTCCAGACAGCTCCTTATCCGTGTTTGGGACATCCAAGACTGCCCCACGTGTGATGGGTCTCCCTCGATGGGTAAAGGAGGAAGGAGCAGTGGTGGGGAGAGTGGCTGCCCCAAAGAGGGAGATGAGATGGGTTTATTTCTGCAATAAGCACAGTGTTCAGGTGGATACAATTCCCAAACAAGGTGAGGACGATGAAATAGATGGAGGACCACATGCCAGAGCGAACACCTCCCTGGGAGCGGATGCCGTTGTACATCACCTCGTTCCAGTCCTCACCCGTCAAGATCTGCAGAAAGAAAGCCAGCAGATCTGTCACCAGCCACCTTCTCACCACCTGGACAGTCCCATCAACCTATTCCAGACAGAGCAAGAGCTCAGTATGAAGACCTGTTCTACAGGCACAGTCTTGAGGGAGTGAATATCAGACTGCTGAGGGACCGGGTCTCCTCAGAAGTGTTCTGAAACTCTTGTATCGTATATAATGACAAAGAGAGCCATCTGCAAGTTACGTTCTAGCAGATGATGGAGGGAGACTTGCTTGGTTTAGAACCCTGTCCAGTCAGGTGCAGTGAGCAGACAGCCCCAAACCCATCTGGCTTTTTCCCCTCGCAGCCCAGCTCCTACCTGGAACACTGTCATGATGGCCGCAGGGAAAGTGTCAAAGTTGGCTGATGGTGTCCCATCAATGAAATTAAACCTGGAAGTGGAACCAGAAGGACACAAGCAAGCTGGAGCAAAGAGGTCATCAAAACATAGGCTGCTTATTCATACTTATAGGACTTTCACCGACTCTAGGGAAGATCTGCTGGTCATGTAATGCCAAAACACAGAATAAATGTATCATGGCCAGGAGGACTCCCATAGCCCTGAGGCACTTCACAAGCAAGGACTTTTGTGTGGGAAAGTTGCCACTGGTAGCAACAGGCTGAGGAGCACGGCTGCAGAATTCCTGGCACCCACAAGGGTATAATCTCTCAGCTTCAAAATCACCCAGCAAAGCTGTTTCCCCAAGACCTGCAACAACCTACCCCCCTCCAAACAGCTGCATTCCCAGCAGGGCAAAGACTACAATAAAGAGGAAGAGCAAGAAGAGCAGGCTGATAATAGACTTCATGGAGCTCATCAGCGAGACCACCAAGTTCCTCAAGGATGCCCAGTACCTAGAAAACAGAGACAGTGCTGAGCGCTTGCAGCAATGCCAGCAAGAGTGACTGCACCTGGGCTGCAGCCACAGCCCAAGGTGGAGGGTGACAGGCACAAATGGTTGGTACACACTTGGTTATTTTAAATATTCGCAGGAGGCGAAGGGCTCGTAGGACACTGATCCCAAAAGAGGTCCCTGGTCGGAAGATGGCCCAAACCACTTCAAAGATGCTTCCCACTGTGACCTGAGAAACAGACATGGCCAAGATGAGCTCAAGACAGGCTGCTGCAGGAAGCTTCCCCATTCTTGAGAGCAAAGCACCCACCACCCTGCCCCAAAACCTGGTGTTTCAGTTGGTTGTCCTGGCCCCTTCAAGGATCGTGTCCTTGTTGGTCCCTTGCTCTGTAGACAACCCTAAACATATTCCCCGGTCTGCAGCATCCCTGGAGCCACCTACCCCACAGTCAAAGCAGTTGAATGAAGAATGGAAGTAGAGGCGTGGCCCCATCCCATACATCTTCAAGGACATCTCCAGGAGGAAGAGCCCAAGAAACAGGAACTCTGCATAGTCTGAAAGCAAAAACCCAGATGTGCTACCCATGGGGCACAAAGCAGCATGCATGCACCCACCAGAGGCCCACACAGCAACGTCACAGAGGTGGGACGAGTCAAGGAGCACACTGCTTCCCCAAGGTATGGAATTTGGAAGCAAGTATGCAAGGAGCTAAACGTGAATAACAGAGCACCAGTCCCACAGTGTTAATCTTTCAGGGTAGATGCATTGGTTCCCCAGGGGGTACTGAGGACCAGTGAGGGCTATCGTGGAGCAAAGCAGTTTCTTAACATTATATGACAATTGTTGGAGCATCCTCCAAGATGTTAACCACGCTGCCCTGTAAGGGAATATTAGCAGTTTGGAGCCAAATCATTGCACAACTGGAACTTGGCCAGGGTAACTAAGCCAAACAGCCACACAGGGTAACTAAGCCACAGTGAAAAGCTTCTCAAGCTATTTCACAAACATTAGCAGGCAACAGTCTGGCTCTTCACCTTGTCCAAAAGATGCTTCTCACCACGACCAGCTGCCACACCACACTGTGTCGTGCTGAGATCCCAGCAGGTCTGAGCATGCTAATGCAGGCTGGGCAGGCCTGATGCTTGCTGGGGACGTTTTCAAGGTGAGTAAGAGTAACATGGATAAGAAAACAGCACTGTCCCTCCTGCAACAGCTTGGAAGTAGCACACGACTTCCGTGGGGTTGACCACACTGCTCTGTTTGTTGCACCACACCAGAACGGGCATAGATGTACTGCCACTGAGACACTCTGTACCACAGCCCACAGCAGGCTGGGGGATGCCCAGTCACTGTCTGGGATCCCCAATGCCATGCTCTGAACCAAAACTTCAGCTGGAAAGTTCTTTCATGACCATTGTTCAGCCTCATCCACGCACACTCACACCTTCCCAGTTCAGACCCTGCAACTGTCGGCATTCAAAAGGAGCTCCAGTAAGATTTCCATCACCACTGCTCACAGTTTTAGGATAAACACAACCCCTGCACCAAACCCAGGGACTCACAGAGGAAGTGTGTGAGCCAGGCTGGCTGGTTGTGATGGACGATGGCCACACAGGCAGTGTTAAGAGCCACCAGGCTCAAGACAATCCAGTAGAAGACCTGGGATTTCACCATGTGGCGAACGGAGATGCGCAGGAGCCGCTCCTTGTGCCGTAAATAAGAGGCTCCATCCACTCCTTTGAGACCAGAGCGACTCAGGGGGTTACCTGAGGGGAAAGAGGGGGTGCCAAGGTGAGGAGAGGAGCTGGGATCTCCAGCCTTCATTGCAACATGGAGGTGAGTCAACCGTCTCCCAACGCAATGGCACAAGGATGTCCGACAGTGCTGCATGCAACCACCACAACTCAGTGTGCTGTCAGATGTTTGGGGAAGGAAAGCTTCGAACTGCACTGACCCAATGTGGGATGAAGAGGCCTCCTCTGTGCCAGCCTCCGCTCGCCCACGGAGGAGATATCAACGCAGTGCTCATCGCTGGAGTCACGGTTCATGGCATCTGTCCGGTTCCTCTTGATGGTGGCTCGCCTGAGCACTGGGAAGAAGAATAGGGTTGGACCACGGTGGGCCAGCTCTGCCAGCAACCTGATCATAGGACCGTGACCAGGTGATCAGTACTTGGTAAATACAGGTCTGGGCATGGGATGGAGATACGATCACACTCAATTGACCCCAGGCCAGAGATACTCCTGGCCTCAGGAGCCATCCGTCTCCCCTCAGCCCTCCACTGGGCTGCAGACCCCAATGCAGCATCTGTAGGCCCTTCTCCACTCATAGAGGAGGGTTTAAGGCACAAGGAAGGGCAGTAGGTGCTTTTGCAGGACATTCTCTTACCTTCTAAGGCTGAGGTCCCAGCGTTTTTGTTCTCTTCAGCCAGCATGACTTCCTCTATGCAAAACACACAGCTCAGCATCAGGAGACAAGCCACCATTGGCTGAGCACATCAGACTTAAGCTCTTTGCCTGGCCTGGAATTGGTTGCTAGAGGGTGCAAACTCTCATCAAGTATAGAGTAAGTATCCAAAAGCAAATTCTCAGGGGTGGCACGGAGCAACTACCACATTTCACATCAGAATGAGAAATGACTTCTGATCAACCCTACCAAATAATAACTAAATAAGCTGAATACTGCAGATAGAAAATCTTGTTTCTGAGTCATGCTTTCAGAAGAAACCCCTCGACATATCTCTGTGAGATCTCTGAAGGGCTCCTTGCCCTCTGCTAACGCCTCAGCTGATCACAACATCTCTTCTCCGCTCGCTCACAAGTTAGATTTGCCGTCACGTCTGCTGGGGCTGAGCTCACCCACACACCCATTGTGAGCACCAGGACCACCTTGGGGCTGCAAGGAGACCACTCTTCATCCCAACCACTCTGCATTCCCACTGCCCCCTGGGATCCCAGCCCTTTACCCGCTTTGTCTATCCAGGCCCGGTAGCCATTGAGCTCCCGCTCGATCTGCTGCTGTCGCCGCAGCTTCATGAAGGCCCGGCGGTTCTCCACGCGCTCACGTTCTTTGGCAAACTCCCTGCAATAGCACAGAGCGGTGGTGAGAGCACACATAGGGGTCCCGTAGACATCCCATCCACAGCACACAACCCTCACCTCGCTGCCTCCAGCCACAGTTTCTGCTGTTGTCACCCAACCGATGGCCAAAGCCAGCAGACCAAGAGTCTGGATGGCTGAATCAGAAGGAACAGCCCCTGGATGGTGGATTCACTCTTGGGAGGCATTGGATGAGCAAAGAGGGCAGAAACAGCACTGGGAAGCTCTCAGCTCTTTGTGCTCTGGAAGCACACAGTGCACGGGGAAGAAGGTGGGTGATGCTCCATCCAAGGCTCATCTGCTTCTCCAGCAACAGCTGCCAAACACTTCCCTTGCTCCAAATTCCACACCAGTTGGCAAATTTGCTCTGGGTTCCCTCTCAATCTCCAGCAAGCCATCATGAAGTGGGACTTTTATAGAATCATAGAGTTGTTTGAGTTGGAAAGGACACTTAAAGATCACCTAGTCCAATTCCCTGCAATTAATAGGGACACCTACAGCTCCATCAGGTGCTCAGAGCTCCAGCCAGCCTGACCTTGAATGTCTCTAAGGATAGGGCATCCATCACCTCTCTGGCCTCTCTCCTGCAATACCATTCACTAGTGCACATGCTTTTGGGCTCTGACTAAGGATCTTCCTTTCTCCCTCCAGCCTCTCCTTGGAGGGTCTTCCCATGGCTTGAGATACTCCTGTTGTCATCCTATGGACCTCAGAGCTAACACCATGCCCACTGCTCACACAGCTTCTAACGTGCATGGATATGCTAGCATCCACGTGCTTACATCCACCTCTAAACACACACACAAACATTCTAGATACCAGATCCATCGTTGACATGCACCAAGCACCTGGGGCATATCCGTTCACACGTTACAGCTCTAGCAATGAGCAGGTTGGCACACAGAGAGCATCCCCTGCCCCAGACATCCCCCAGCACACCCTTTCTGATCATCGGGATGGAATTTGCTGGCTGATATTCCCAAGTCCTGCAGGACTTTGGATTGCACACCAGGAGGAACACGATCGTGGAGAACAAGCAAAAAGACAAACATCTCTCTCCCTGGAGCCCAGCAGCAATCTCCAGCCTCAGAATATTCCAAGTAACTGAAAGAATTGGTCTGTCTGCTGCAGGGGGAGTTCAAGTGCATCACCCCAGCTGAGCTATTACACCCTTAATGCTGTGTGGGCTTTCGCATGTGTGTGAGCGCGTGTTTGTGTGAAAAGCCCTGAAATGTTCCCTGCATCTCTTGTTTAAGATCCGCAGACAATTCAAGCATTTTTAATTCCACCCCAGGAAGGTGAAGTTTCCTGCCGCTCCAGCATTGAGCATCAAATAACTCTCTCCTTCCAGCTCCGGCTTTCAACCCAAAATGAGACTTTCTTCCTGGGGCAGGGAAGGGGGAGAGAACAAAAGGAAAGGAAGAGAAAAGCAGCCTAAGTGCAGGGAAGGAGGGCGGGGAGCACCTCCCACAGCCGGCGGGGAAAGGCACTCGCTTTGGGCACGGCATGTGGAACAGCTCCTTGCCTTGCGCGGGGGAAAGGCAGGATGGTGCCGGCTGCGCTTCATCCCCCACGCCAGCTTCTGTGCACTGCTAACGTGGAGATGCCAAGGAGAGAGAAGATGCCATTGGCAGCCAGAGCCAGCGGGGACCGTGCCTTTACCCCGCTGGTGCTGTGCCCTGGTGTGACCCGTGTCGTTGTAGCATCTTCTCCAGCAATCTCATTGAGCCTGGGCATGGTTTGCACAGGAAAGCCCCCAGCCCCCTGCAGCCAAGAGAGATGAAAGCCGAATCACCATCTCCCCATGTCCAAGCATTGGTTTGCAGAACCCTGACTGCAAGAAGCTGGTGCCACATGCACACACCCAGGGACACAACAGCCCTTTCTGCTGTGGCAGCAGCTCCGAGGGAGATGCTTCCCACACTCCTGCTCCCTAATGGAGCCTAATTGCTTTTGTCCATTAGGAGAAGGAAAGGGGGGGAGTGGAGGGTTGGGGGGGGGGGGGGGGGGGGAAAAGTTAAACTCAACTTAATGAATTATTACATTTCAGTGAGACACGTTACCGAGCAGGGCAGCAGCGGGGGCTGGTGACATCTGAGAGTGGGTAGGCGATGCTGACAGATCAAGGATTGCTCAGAGCCAATTTGCAGCAGCGGGTAGAGATAGTGCTGTGCAATGAGCGCAGGGCTGGCCGTGCTGACTGACAGCCGCCTGGGAATGCTCCAAGCACGGGGCTGGCTGCCACAAAGGATGCTGCTCCCTATGGTGTTAGGGTTGCGTCCCGTGGAACAGCACTGTTTGGCTTTGCAAAGAGATCCAGCATCACTCCCCAGCCCTATGGAAGGTCCCCAGATCTGCACGGGCACATTCAAGCCTCCACCATGGAAAAATTCCCTTGCGATAGTGAAACCCACCTTGTGCCAAATGTGGGGCTGTGTAGGACCCGGGCACAACCTTGGGAATACCAACGGCAGGCACTGAGGGATGGAGGGAATTGTGGTGGGAGCTCAGTGCCATCTGTTCTCACACCAGCGAGGCAGCATCCAGACCCCATGCCCAGCCTGCCAAGGCCATGGGAGCAGATGGCTTGCTCTTCCCATGGCTGCAAATCATCCTTCGTTCCCACTCCTGTGCCCAGCAAGAGATCTTGGGGCAGCCTTCCTCTCCAGGCTGCTGCTGCAGCTGTGTATTCATAGAACCATAGAACTGCTTGGGTTGGAAGGGTCCTTAAAGACCATCCACTTCCACCCTCATGCTATGAGCAGGGTTGCCAACCACTAGATTTCTCTTCTTCATTGGTGTTCTCGGCTCAAAGCACTGCAGGGCCAAGGTCAAGTTTTAATAGGAGAGGAAACTTTGTGAAAGCATCCTCAGAACAACCTCCTTTGGGAAAAAAAATATAATAAGGCTAAGAGAAAAACTATCACAGATGCTGCAACCCACTTGTATTATACCAGGAGCATCTTGGAGTCCAGAGTGGATATATAGAATCATTAAGGTTGGAAAAAAACACTAAGATCATCACGTCCAACACCACCCCCATCCCATGCCCACTGCCCACGTCCCTCAGTGCAACATCTCTGTGGTTCTGTAACACCTCCAGGGACTGTGACCCCACCAACTCCCTAGGCAGCCTGTGCCAGTACCTCACTACCCTTATCTATAGCACAGGTCACACCAACACTGTGGTTTCCATGCTTTCAAAGAAGCCAACCACCTCCACACAATCACCTTTCACCACCAGTAAGCACACAGCCAGCAAAGCAGTTACCAAAATGGTCATAAAATGACACACAGCAGCAGATGGGGTGGGAAGAGGCTCACATGCTGAAGCTGAGGCAGCAGTAGCGTGCTGCTGTGAGAAAGCCAGTTGTAGTGGGCTGTGTAGCAAGGGATGCCATCTGTAAGGCACCAGGTAATGCTTCTGCTCTGCTCAGCATGAGGGAGGCTCACCGCTCCTGTTTTGAGCATCACAACTTCAGGAAAAACACTTTCACCTCCGGAAAGGTTAAGGGACAGAGCTGGCACCTAGAGATCTGGAGAGGATAGATGAGGCAGGTGCAGAACAGGAGGGTCAGCTGGTATCTACCCAAGAGGTGTAAAGGAACTAAAACAAGAGCAGGGAGAGCTCTGTGTAAGCTGGTGCTGGAGATTAAACAGAAGGTGCAAGCAAGCAGCAGGGCTGGCACAGCCAGCCAGGGGGTCTGGGCGCTGCACTGCTGAGGTCATGCCTTACATCAGCGACCCATTTAGCAGAGGCAGATGCTGATGGTTACCCTCTACCTTGAGAGAAGCTTGTGATTTAAAAGAGGTTTTCTAATGGGTATCGCTGGAAGCCTTCTGCCAGGTCCTACAGGGGCTTGTGTCAGACAGGGCTGACAGCGAGCAGCGTGAATGATTCACACAGAGCACGTCATGCTGGTTTGCATTGACACCGTGTGCCAAGAGGAGAAGGGTTTTCTGTGAACAAAACCAGAGGCAGAAGGGGAAAGCAATGCCCATGTGAAAGCACAGGGAAAAGGTAGTGCAAACAGGCAACCGTCCCCAACAGTGAACAGGGGATCGAGGGGCTCCAGTGAGGAACCACCAAAGTTCCCATCTCCAGAGGTCCTTTTATAAGCTGGTTCCTCCAAGAGGTGCAGATGTGTGGCCCCACGTAGGGCCCAAAGGCAGTGGAGACAGGGCTACCACTGGCCAGCTATTTCATAGGACATGTGCTCCTCCCAAGGAGTGACACTCTGGGATCTGAGGGGAAACGCACACATGGAGGTTTGCTGCATGTTTGGCTCAGCCCTGCTGTTCCATGCACTGCTACCTTTAAATGCAGACAACTTTCCCAGGACACAGGCTGGGCTCAGAGCAGCCATGAGCCTGCAGAGCTTATTGTTTTGAAGTAGAGAAAAACAAAGGTCATAGAGGGTAAATATCAAATGTTAAAAAAGCCGCTGACATCCAGCTGCAGAGCCTCAGCTTCAACATGTGTCTCGAGGTGACAAGGTGGGGGTTTGCATCTGTGCTCCCACTGTTCCAAGGACACGCTGCTCCTCCCATCCTCTCCTGGGCTCTGCATTTCATCCTCTGTAAACAAGGCAGGTTTTGTCCCTCTTTGCAAGTGACAGCAATCTGCAGATGGGAAGTGTGGGGCTAGTATTGATACAGCATGAAAAATCACCATTTTTCAGTATTTCATCACGTTAACATCCCAGCAACTTTCAAGCGCTCTAATTGATGGCTTCAAAACACAAATACAATGGATTCAGAACCAACCATCAAGTGCAAAACCCACAACAACTGCTAGATATGTCATTGCCACTGCAAAACAAACAAACAGCCGCCTACAGCGTACAGAGGACTGATAATGTGCATGATTCATTTGGGAGATCCTGCCCAATCCACCCAGCAAAGGTGTAAAGCACCTCTTTCAGAGAATCACAGTATGATCGGGTTAGAAGGGGCCTCAAAGCCCCTCAGCCCCCTCTGCTGTGGGCTGGCTGCCCCCAAAGCTCAGGCTGCCCAGGGCCTGGGACACCTCCAGGGATGGGGCACCCACAGCTCTGGGCAGCAGTGCCAGCTCCTCACCACTCAGAGTGAAGAATGCACTCCTAACATCTACATTTTCCTATATTAACCTCTCCTTATCATGGCCACCAAGGAGCTGGGCATTGCCAAAGCTGCAGAATCATCTGTGTTGGAGAAGACCTTCAGCCCCAGTCACCAGGCTGATCCATCTACCCAGTCAAGCAGCTCACGGATGCTATTGCTAACTGAAATAGGGAAGAACTGGAACAAACAGCTCCAAAAGCAATCTCCAAAAGCAAGAGCTCGCTGCCGAGTGCTTTCTGAAGAGCATCAAAGCAAGCCCTTCACCCGCAGCCTGCAGACCACAGGGAGTCCGCAGAGCACATCTGCAAGAGAACAGCAAACACGGAGCGGCTGAGCCATGCCAGCAAATAATTCCCAAGGAGAAATCAAAGGGGAGACACTTGCACTGCCTCGTGGCTGTGGGTTTTTCTCTCTCTGGTCCCGCTGGCTGCAGGAGATGACGACGCTCCCAGTGACATGGGGGACGTGGCACTCCTGACACGCTCCTCTTGTCAGGCAGCGTGTTCACATGGGGCCTGGGGCCTCGGGGACAGGTGGCACACGCAGGCGAGGCAGAGAGGTGCTCGATGAATATGGATGCCCACCTGGCTACTGAATATAGATGAGCATTGCTCCTTTGCATCAGCCGCAGAAGGTGCTCAAGTGCCACGTCGGTGAGATGAGAGCTACCCCAGGGCACAGCAACAAGTGCAGCCCAAACCTACATCCCCATTACAGCTCAGAAGAGCGAAATCCCAAACACGCAGTGGGCACAGACGTCCTGCCCTCCTCTAAACCACTCCGCAAGATGCCACCACTGCTGAAGAAAACACAGCGTAAGCTTCCAGCGCAATATTTCCTGGGCACATTTGTTGGCATCTTGCTGTCATTCATGACGTCCCCACAAGACTTCTCCACAAGCACCTCCAAGGCATTAATCACAGAACCACAGAGTCGGAGGGGACCTTTAAAGGCCATCTGGTCCCACTGCCCTGCACTGAGCAAGGACACCCACAGCTCCATCAGTGAGTGCTCAGAGCCCCTCCAGCCTGACCTTGGCTGTCTGCAGGGATGGAGCACCCACCAAGTGTTTGGCTTCAAACCATCCGACCCAGCTCAAACATGGGCCAGCAGAAACCCTGCTTCCATTGACAATGTGCACTTGTGCCTTTGATGCCCTGATCGTTAATTGCTAGAACTTAATCTTATTCATCATTTGTTATGCCTCAAAATTGGGTAGGAAAAAAAAATCCAAATGAAGCGAAGTGAAAAGATTTCAGAGATGGTACAGAAGGCTCCTGGAGGAGCTGAAGAATACTCTCAGGAGACTGGGAACGCAGTGCTAACCCAACCTGAAAGAAAGAAGATCTTAAGACAAAGAAATCTTGCCAAATTGATCCTTTAATTATAACATTAGTCGTTTCTTTCAAAGGCTTAGTGCAAGAGCTGAAGGTGGGGGGCAGAAAAGACTCAAAGGGAGAAAAGACTTAACATCACCAGGATGAGTGGAAGCAATTAGGAGGATTTAAATTACTCTCTTGTTTGGTACAAGGCAGATAGATTTCATTTCTCTTGCCATCGTTGCTCAACTTCTTGCTTTGGCATCACCCTGGGTTACACCAGCCCTAGGACACACGATGTACCGAGTCGAGCTCCTGAGCTCCCAGCCCCACAGCACTGCAGCGGCTGCTCCTTCCCTGCTCTCTCTGATGCTCCTGGCAGGGTTATTTCAGGAGCTTGTGGAGCTTTAAAAGCTGAGCAGTCACATCTCCTTGGGCTTTATACCTGCGAAATGTGCACAGAGAGGAACGGGGCCAATTTTTTTTTTTTTTTTTTTCCCTTTCCTGCTTTCAGTTGGAATTAATTGATCTGTAATTGCACCCATAGAGGGGAAAAAGTTAATAGACGCAGTAATAAATGCCAAAGCCCCAGAAGATCTGGCTCTCCAAGCCCCTGCCTGGAGCGACTCCATCTCTGCTAATAGCGGTGCATGCAATTCCAGCGCATGTGTGCGTGTTAGTATTTAGAGAGCAAACCGAGGGGCCTCGGCATGATGGAAATCATTGCTTTTCCTCTCCCACATACTTAGTGCTCAGGAGCAGATGGATCCAGGCTGTTTACATCACGGAGGTCATGGCTCAGCCTAACAGTTGGGGAACTGACTGTTGGGAGAGATGCGCATCGCAACCAGAAGATTGCTAAATCTGGGCTCAGGCAAACTTCTAATGGTGGCAAATGAAACAAATGTCCTCCTGCAGCCTCTTGGCATTCATGACCTGCCTTGGGTGGCTGGTTGGCTCCCCAGTGAGAACAGCTGCTGAGCTGTAGCGGGGAAGGCAGGAGGCCAGACCAGATCCCAGTGTAACCACCCCCTCCCTGCTCAGCCCAGCGCAGGGGGATGCGGAGTGGAAAAGCCACCCTTTGCCACCCAGAGCAGAGCCCAGTGCTCTCTTCCAGCACAACAGAATGGTGAGAAATGTTAAAACCAATAAAACCTCTGCAAGCAAAGCGAGGAAGGCAGCCCCTTGCATGCCTCCACCCTGAGGACACTGCATCTCACAGTCCTCCAACAGCCTCACCAGGAGGACAGCCAGCCTCAACCAGGTCCTGCATCCAGGGAGGCTGTGGCCTCACTGGTGGCCATGCACAGCCCATCTGGATGCCTCCATCACCTTGATCAGCCCTCAGGGAGCTGAGCAGTCAAGCTTTTCCTTAGGTAGCTGGCACACCACGAGAGCAACTCCATTGCCAATTAGGCCACCCACCCACTTGCATCCTTCCCCAGTACAAACCCTATCAGCAATAAACAAACATTGGAAATGCCAGCCAGCGCCTGGGAAGAGCCTGAGGTGACTGCATCCAATTCAGCGGATATAAGAAGGGCTGCCCCACACAGTCCTGCTGTGGACAGACATCAAGGGAGGACCATGCCATCGCCATCACACCTGAACTCACGGGGACATTTAGGACAGCGATGGAGATGGTCAGCTTCCACTTTGATCCCTGCATCCTGACATCACACACCACTCAAAACAAGGACCAAGGAATCGTATGATGTACAAGCAAAGAAGTCTTTTTTTCCTCACTGTAGGCTGTCTCTAGCCATACAGCCATCCCGTGCCCAAAAAAAAGCATCTTGGAACACCCTCGAGGTACTCCATGGGGTTGCTGATTACACCCCAGCAGGAGCACACCACCCACCATGCCCCACTGCCCTCACTCTGCACAGCCTCACCACCAGTCGCCCTCCCCACGTGCCAACCTCTGCCAGTGCTGGGGATGCGCTGATGCAGCCGCAGTTCATTGTCATGGAAACAAGAAGCCTTTTTCTCTCTAAGGCCAGCCTGATGGCTTGGAGGAAAATCTCTGTTCCACATAGACGATCAGGAATGAGACAGTTGTCTTTCCCCTCCTGTGTCCCCCTCCATGTGCAAGTGGTGCTGGGTATCCCCAGCCAACAGCCCCCAAACCCATCCCATGCCCACCACACTCCATCAGCTGGCGAATGTGCACCTGGCTACAGGCACATCCCAAACTCATAGGCATTTCTGTACCTCTTCCTCTCCCTCTTCCCTCCCAGTCACAGTCAACAACTTCTTGCACATCAAAACACCAAAATCTTCAGCCCCTTGTTGTGAGACAGGCATGGAGGGGAGTAGCAAGGTATGGGGACATAGCAGCTGGCCAGGGCCAGGCGCAGGGCTCAGGCACATTCCAAGAGGATGGTGACTTGCTTACCCTGACAGCACTCCCAGGACAAGGTTGAGGACAAAGAAGGATCCAATGATGATGAGGGGGATGAAGTATAGCCAGTTCCAGGTGGCTCCTAAGGCATCATTGGTCTGGAGGGGAAAGAAATCACAGGGGTGATGTTAGGCACAGCACAAGCAGAGGGTACATTAATTCAGGTGCAGGAGAATTCCCCTTCTGTACTGACCACACCAAGCTCCTTGGAGTGACCATCTCCTTGCCAACCCTGACAACAGGCTCCTGCCATCATCCCACTGTACTGTTCCATTCTGGCCGCGTGAAGCAGGCTGCAGCTCCAGACAATTATTTACCAAACAAAGCTTTTGATAAAAGCAATGCCCCCTCACCCCTCGCAGCCACTCCCCGGCCCCATTTGTCCCCTGGTGTAAGGCACTGTGCACATGATGCCAGGCTGGAGGGTGATGCGGCAGAACGTGACTGTCTGGGGGAGGTGGCATCAATCTTGTTGCAATGAAAGGCTCTTTCTCTTTTCTCTCTCTTTCTTCCCCCTCTCCCCGTGCTAATTAAGCCCTCATCTCCGTCTGAGTCATTGGCACCACGTCTCCCCATCGGCCAGCACAGGAACCTGCAAGTGGGGAGGTAGCCACCTCTGGTGACCACCATACAGATACTGGGGCCACCAGTACGTCAGCACACAGAGGGATGCTGCAGGGAGAGACACCAGTGCTGCATGCCAGCCCCTTCCCTGAGGTTGGTCTCCGTTCCGGGAGATGAGAATGATGCACCAAAATCCCACGCAGCCCATACTCACCGTTGCTCTCCAGAGATACTTGGACTCACCCATGAGTCCCGGTGCCAGGCCACTGCTCTCCAACAGCAGCATTTCCCATGGCATTCAAGGCACTGTGTACCCCTTGGAACAAGCTCATACTGGACTCCACTCTGCTGTCCAGGTGCCATTGGGCATCTAGCACCTGTCTTGGGATCACACCCCACCAAGACCTGGCCTGAGAGCCAGGGGCTTTCCCCCAAGCTCTCAGTGCAGGGGCTCCATTCCTATAGGTGAAGAAGGCGTCTTCCCCCAGACTCTGTTGTGCCCTGAAAGCACAGCTAAATTGGGGGCAATGGGGACCAGCATCACCCTGCTCTGATTGCCAGCATTTTCCCTTTCGTTCCCTAAGAAGCTCAGCATTTCTCGCTGCTTTTCAAACCCATAGTAGACAGTGAGACTACCTCCCCACCTCAAAGCTGAAGCGTGTCTAACTCTGAAAAATGCACTGTTCCCACTGGAAATGGCAACCACTCTAATGGTTGTCCCTAAGTCTCAGCCTAAATTTATTTGTGGACAGTTTATATCCATTTGTACTTTTGCCAACATTGACCTTTGGCTTACACAGCTCTTCTCTTCCCCGTTTCCCATCCTGATATATTTATAGATGGCGACTGTTGCCATTCCCAGGCTCTGCTCTGGTAGCTGAAGTAAGGTTCATCCAGTTTTCTCCCGCATGACTGCCTCTCCCTCTTCATTCATCCAGCAGCCCCTCCTCTGCTCCAGTCCAGGCTCAGTTCATCACCCACATACACGGGAGACCCAAGTGAGCAATGCTGACAGGTCCTGCTGCATCCGTGCATGATGCTGCTGACACCTCACCATCCTGCCCGAAAGCTTCTCCTCTTTCCCTTCCATCTCCATCCTGGCACCTTCCAGTACAAAGCCCTGAGTTTTTGGGAGGTATCCTCGCTATTCTCCAACAAGCATACAACTCACCCTGAGAGCCCTAAACCACCACCTTGGTGCTGCTCCCTTCCCACCAGCTCTGCTTCGCCAACACTTCTCCTTAGGGAAAGCATTACTACGACAAGCGACTCTGCATGTTTCCTGCACTTAGAAAACCAGCCCTTGGATGCCAGGTTAGCCCGGCATGACCTACCTTTGGCAAACCCATGATTCATTTTTCCTCTTTCGCCTCCAAAATCTGTTCCGAAATGGCATGCAATTGAGGTCAGGCTCGCAGCCCTATTCCTGCCTGCCTTACTTTTTCCTTCCTCCCCCCGCTTTTAAATATAGGCACTGCATTCACTCTTCCCCAGTCAGCTGGTGCCTCCCCCAGCACGCCGGAGCTGTTATAAATACGCAGGACCAGACCTGCCATCTATGTGCCAGCTCCCCCTAAATGCACTGGGGGTGATGCTTATCACCAAGCTGGTGGGCACAATGGGCTGTGGCCATGCTCGTGTTCTTGGTCACACAATCCATCCTTTTGTTGCCATTGGGTTCACCAGAAGTGTGGGTGAAATGCCCACCCGGTGGGGGGGTCTGTGCCCAAACATCCCCTTATTCCAGGTTGGATATGAGGAAAAATTTCTTCTCTGAAAGAGTGGTGAGGTGTTGGAATGGGCTGCCCAAGGAAGTGGTGGAGTCACTGTCTCTGGAAGTGTTCAAGAAAAGGGTAGATGTTGCACTGAGTGATGTTTAGTGGGCATGGTAGGGATGGGCTGATGGTTGGACTTGGTGATCTTTTTGGTTTTTTCCAACCTTAACGATTCCGTGATTGGCAGAGGTGAGAAACCACTTACTGCTCCTTTAAACACTCTGCATGAGGTACATGTTGCTTGAATTTTGGCACTTCCCAACTTCTTTTGCACAAAGAAATCGTTTTCTTTACCAAGCAGCCCCTTTTCCTTTATATTTGGAGCATCATTCACTCCTAATACCGTTCCACAGACAGTAATTCACCACCTTGTGCCTTCCCATAGATTTTCCACTTGCTCAGGACCCAGCAGGACATCTCATGCAGGGTCCAGGCAGGCCAGACCATGGGTAGTTCAATCCCCAGACTACACCAAAGCTGCAACTACTTTAAATGAAGAAAGTCCTTCCTGCCCTGGCCTTGTGTTGGAGATGGGCCTGTTGTTCACACAAAGCCTTTGGGAAACTGAGGAGCCACCCGATGTCTGGTCTTTCTTCACCTTTAAGGCAACAACCTTCTCATTACAGCATCACAGAGCCATTTAGGTTGGAAAGACCTTGAAGATCACCAAGGCCAACCATCAGACCGACTCACCGAGTCCCACCACTACCTCATGCCCATTAGTGCCACATCCACACATTTCTTCAATACCTTGAGGGATGGAGACTCCACCACCTCCCTGACAGCCCATTGTGGATGGCTCCATCCTAAAATACCACCAGCCACGCTCTTCCTTGGCCGCCTGACCACAAAATGTGTTCACTACCACCTCCAGGAACGCGTGAGACACTGACACATACAAAGCATACAAATGACCCAGGCCACCTCACCAGCTCGGGCCACCAGGGTGATGGTGCTGGCACCATACCCACCACCAAGGCTACCACATGGACCGGCCCTGTTACTTTGGCAGCTCCTATATTTCCAAAGGGCAGGAAAAGGCACAGGGAGCTGCAAAAGCAGGTCTCACTCAGGGGCCAGAAATCCAAAGAAGTCTAAATATATACTGCTGTCGAATGCAAAGCATAGGCTCGCAGCCCACACATACCCTCCCTCAGCATGAGAAACTTCAGGATTTTTTTGCTGTGCTGGGAAAAAATAATAAAACAACCACAAACTCAGGTTTTTTTCTACCTAAAAATTAGCAAAAAGCACCTTCTGCCTTCGCAGGGCACCCTTGGATTCCCAGTGGTTTGATAGAAAGTGCAAGGGAAGGAAGGGTGATGCTGGACAGACAAGCAGATAAGCTTTGCTATTGAGAGAAACAGTCTCAGAGATGGTCCCTGCTCTGAGCAGCAGCACAGCCACATCCCCTGTCCAAATCCATCTGCAGCAGGAGAGCCTCTGCGATTTCTGCTCTAATCCAGACCCAAATGGCACGTAATTAGATTGGAGTAATATTCTGATATTACCATAACCCACTTGCTTAGGGAATAAACACAGCTTGGGAGCAAGGCCCACAGGCAGATGTAGCAGGGCTGTGCACACCATCACCTCCCAGACCCCAACATTGTGGGGTCTGAGGATCAGAGCTGGTACTGAGCCTCCCTGGCACACAGATCACGAGAAACAGCATCACAACCCCACCAAAGGCTAAAAAAAAAAAAAAAAAAGAAAGAAATTAAAGAACTCTCCCAGCAGATTCCCTGACCTAACCAGCTCCTTCAAGACCTTGACACCCACTGCTGCTCCCCAGCACAGTAACAGATCTCCTTCTTCCCTTTAATAGCTATAATTCGATATCCTGCATGCAGGGCCATGCTTCACTCCCTGCCAGCTGTGCCTGGAATCTGTCAGTGACCCCAGTGCTGTACAAGATCTGAATGAAAATGCTTTTCTTCTCCAAATTAGGTTAATGAGGAAATTGGTATATTTCCTTCACAGAGCAAGGGCTGGCCGTATCCTATCCTGAGTGGGTGCCCAACGCTGTGCCCACAGCACTGTGCAGACCCCAGGGTACCAGGGCTCCCCACAATGGGATGCAGGATTCTTGGTGAACTGTGTTGGCATGCATCCTGCTGGGTAGGAACGGGGAGAACAGGGAAGAGCTCCCATGTATTTCATTTTTCTTGTTTTCTAAATGAAACATTTTGATTTCAGACTAAGAAAACAATGCGTTGCTAAAAGCATTATGAAAAATTAAGTGTTTTGAAAGTGCTTCATGTGGGTGTGGAGACTGACTTTGGTTCTGTTCTATTCCGATCTGCCAAGAAATCACACCCAGACCCCCCCAGCACTGCATACCATGCAGTGGGTATGGCATGGGACACCAATGAGACCTTCCATGGGTTGCCAGCAGGACCTTCCATGGGATGCCAATGGAATCACAGCCCCTGGGCTTAACAAAGAGGGGCTGAAACCCTCTGTCTTTGTAGGGCAGTGCCAGAGCATTGGGTTCTGCTCTGTTCCTCTGGCTCAGGACAGAGCTATTCCATTGGCAAGCAGGAGGAGGGTGTAAGCAGGCAGCTCTCAGCGGAGCAAACCTTCAAAGCTGCAGATCCAGCAGACACAGTTTGTTTCTTGCTGTGTCATTTCAGTGCGCACACATTAAAAAAAAATAAATAAAGAGGGAAAAAAAAAAAAAAAAGGAACAGTTGGCAAGAAGGAGAGGGTCTGGCTTTAAGTGCTAACAAACAGCTGAGCCAAGAGAGAGCAAAAACCAGCACCCTGCCCATGGCTGCTCGGGATGTATGCAGCAGCATCACTGGGCTCACCTGGCAGGGCTCAATGACCAGGAGCCTTTAAGGGAAAAACAGCACACTTAGCTAAAAGTTTGGATGGTGTTAAGCCCTTGGGGTGGCACTTCCTCAGCTCCTCTTCCCTGCAAAACCCAGCACTTGGCTCCCTCCACCTTCGCTCACCAACATCTCTCCCTCCTTGGGAATGCACAGGGATAAAGGCACGAGTGATGCTCAGGACCTCCGAGCCTAAGGCACAGCATTGTGACCCCCTGTATTTATCACCTCCCAACCCATCCTTCATGTCAACAAGGTGGATTTTGGGTTTACAGCAAGCAGCTGTGGCCCATCAGATCCCTTGACGCCTTGCCATGCATTTTTAATTAGCAGCACGGATGCTGCTGTAATGCCTGGGAGGCAAAATGTTTTTACCCATCGCTGCTAACAGCCGTGGCCCTGTGCACAAATCAGGGCTGTGCCAAGCCTTCTGCCTGCTCCCACCACCTTGATACCATCGGGGCTGCCCACTTCCCACCCCAGCATCAACCCCACAGTGACACCAAGCAGCTTTCTGCACGTTGCCTGGTCCCAATGCCACACAGCCAATGTCCCTGGCACACAGTGTGGGGAGGCCCATGCTTTCCGAAAAGGAATCAAAGCCCTCCAAGGATGGGCAAAGGGAAGGACTCCAGTTTGAGGTATTTTTTGCTGTTTTTTTCCCAATCACACTGTGATTTCTGCATAGCAAGGCGGCATCTCACGCAGGCAGGGTGAGGAAAACAAGGTGAGAGCTGAGCACATCCACAGAATAACACACGTGGAGAGCACCACAGGGCTGATTAGCTTTTTCATGATGCTTTCTACATATTCGGAGAGATGTGCTTCTAGACCGGGTAAAATTGTGGAAAAATGGCTCTTAAAATCACGATACAGCTACACGGGGGAATATTATAGTAAGCAATTTCTTTGAGAGATTGCTGAAGCACTTTGCCTGCCATCTCCTCTCCTCTGCAGAGCTCCTTGCTAACCCAAAAGGGCCCCAATTCTCACCACTGCGCCCAATGGCCGAACCCCCAAACCTGCAGGCAGCGAGCATTTCCCAGAGGACCTCAGCCTCATGAACATGCTTGCTCACATATCCTCATTTATAGCTTTTTTTCCCATTAAAAAAAAAAAGTTCCAAAGCCCATTTTGCAGCCTAGAGCCATGCATCCCCAAGAGACAATGGAAGGACAAGAGGCAGCTGAGGGAGAAGTGAATCAGCAGTGATTTGCCACCAAGCCCCAAACCCTCATTCAATTAGCAGCTGAGAAGGTCCCTGATACTTCCATTAAAGGTAAGTAATAGCTGGAGCTGTGCGAGGAGCAGGAAAGGGAGGCAGTGGGCAGTCACAGCCATCAGGGATGTGATGACAGAGCACATCTGGACGGTGATGCCAAGAAGATCACTTGAATCCCAGACCACCAGGCATCCCTGAATATCCATCTCAGCTATGGGCCCCACCCAGCTGCCATGGGGATGGGAGGGCTTAGAGTGGGATTGTGGGGATAATCAGGAAAGGAATGGGCTTGCCCTGCTTCCCAGCCATCCCAAAGGCAGTTCTGCAAGGGAAAATCCCTTTTCATGCTGTACACATTTATCCTGCCAATATGCACTGTGGTTAAGTCTCTAAGCCCACTGATGTAGCAGAAATGCTCTTATATTTCAATCTCCCAAGTGGTTCAGTTCTGCCCAGTTCCCCAACAAAGCGACAAGATGCAGACACCAATAGCTCCTTTAGGATGAGGAGGAACAGAACCTCGGGGCAAGAATCATCATAGAATGATAGAACCACTAACGTTGGAAAAGACCGCTAAGATCCCCACATCCAACTATCAGCCCTTCCCCACCGTGCCCACTGCCCACGTCCCTCAGTGCCACACAGAGATGGTGACCCCACCACCTCCCTGGGCAGCCTGTGCCAGCACATCACCACTTTTCAGAGAAGAAATGTTTCCTGACATCCAACCCGATCCTCTCCTGACACAACTTGAAGTCATCACCCCTTGTAGGTGAAGCCCTGGCTCCCCCAGTCCAGGTTTTGGTGGTCCACCTGCCTCATGGATGCCAACCAGAACCCCCAGCATCACCAAAACAAACAGGGTCCCTGATGCTGGCAGCACACAGCATTCATCCAGCTTACAAAACAGCCTTCCTGCTTACAGCAAAGCAAATATCGAAAAGCATTTCTCCATTGCGATCCATCCAATCTGCCTCCTGCAGAGCAATGCCACTCTGTAAATCTCCAGGCGTTATGGGAACCAGTGTATAAAAACATTCCTGGTGCAATGACGCCGGAGGCGATGCTGAAATTAGGCTGGGAACAGAACTGGCACGGCTGCTTCCAGACCATGAACTGAAACCCATCGCCCACAAAGATGCAGCCATGCACCTCTCCTCCTGCTTCATGTTCTGCCCAGAGCTGGGGATGGGATGTCCCCTTCGACATGTCTCTTTATTCCACATCTCCTCCCCAAATGGGATGCGCCGACCCCATCTCATAAAATCACAAAATCGTTTCAGTTGGACAGGACCCTTTAAGGTTATGTGGTCTGACTCCCCTGCAACGAACAGGGACATCTACAGCTATTTCAGGAGCTCAGTCTCCACTACTCAGGATCTCAAAAATTTCCAATCCAAGTAAATGCCACCTCTAGAACCCCTGTATCCCCACACCCAGCTGCCCCAAAAAGCCCCTGACTCACATTGTACAGAACTGTGGTCCACCCTTCCATGGTGATGCACTGGAAGACGGTCAGCACAGCAAAGAGGATGTTGTCAAACTGCGTGATCCCATCGTTGGGACCGATCCACTCCCGGCACTCATAGCCTGGCGGACAACCCTGCACCCCGCAGGGGTGGGGAGGGTCCAGCTCCTCCAGCTCACCTGCGAACACACAACATAACCAGTGGAATGGGAGTGAGAGATGGGGAGAACCTGGAGGCAACTGGGGGATGCAACTGCACGCAACTGAGGGATGCGTGCAGTGCATAACGCAAAATGCAGGTCACACACCCTGGTGGTCACTGCATCAGCACGTGGATAGCAGAGCATGGTGCCCAACCCAGGATGCAGGGTGCCTCCCTCACCTGAATTGTTTGTGTAGCAGGCTCGGTGCAGTTTCCCACTGTAGAACTCCAGGCCGATGATGGCAAACATGAGAATAGCAAAAAAGAGCAGCAAGCCGATCTGGAGGAGAGGCACCATGGCCTTCATGATGGATTTCAGCACAATTTGAAGGCCTGGAAGAGAAAAGAGTGAGTTCAGCTCAGCAGCCCCTACCCAGGCCATAGGCACCCTGTAGGCATTGGGAGAGCTCCTGGTGCATCCATCATCTCCTAACGCAATATCCCAACCCAGGCACCCCAATTCCCATCATGTCAACAGCCAGTAGGACAGGGGAAGCTCCCCAGCACCATACAGGCATCTTCTGGACTAACCCCCACCATCCAGCATGCATCATGCCTCTCATGCTGCCTGAGCTACAAATCCCATACACCGCATGTTGGGTGCCCAGGGAGGGGAGGGAGGCTCAGCCACAGTAGCAGTCTGGTTTCTTTATTTATCTCCATTCCTGCAGAGGAAATCTTGACAAAAAAGAAAGAAATATCCCCTGGAAGGATCCACCCACCACCTTCTGGCCATGGAGCTGAGCCCTATAGCGGGATGCACCAAAGCTCCACTGGGTTGAAGGAGAGGACACGCCACCAGGGAGCTTTTCCTCCCCTCCCATTTCCACACCACGCCACCAAGGTGGCACGAGGTCTCCATTGCAAGGCGAGGTAGATGGGAAGAAGAGGAGAACTGGGAGCACCCAACTTACTGGGAATGCCCGAGACGAGCTTCAGAGGCCTGAGCACACGCACGGCCCGCAGGGTGCGCAGGTCCACGTGTGTGTTGAAGTGTGTTCCAGCTGTGGCAAGGATGCTGCAGGCAGACATGAAGAGAGCTTGGTTACAGCCCCATAGTGCAGGGTGCTGAGAACCTGGTTCCCCATCCAATAAAGCAGTCCCCACCAGCAGGACCCAACATGGGTATTCTTGACACCTGCCCTAAGCCCACGTGCCCCAGAGGATGGGGTCCATGGCCGAGTCTTGACCCCAAGCACACGTGGAGCCATCAGCTGCATCAGCTCCTTCAACACGTGGTGTTTCCTTAGGGAATGAGCCGAGAGCCTCGCACGCATTCAAAAATATACAGTAATGAAAATTTGATGCCCTTGGAAAGCACAGGAAGGACTCCAGGGTTTGCTTTTAAAACACAAAGATTTCTCAAGCTGATCTCTGGAAAACAAACTGGGACAGTGGGGAGCCAGTACACTGCGAGTCTGGCAGTGCCCGAGGTGCCCATAGCGAGAGGGGAGTGGGGAACCAGTGACACTGGGAGCACAGAACGTGTCACCAGGGCTGGTGGCCTGTCCCATATCGGCTGAGTGAGGAAGAGGAGGAGGAGGGCTGCATGGTGGAACCACGGATGGGGAGGAGAGGGGGACAGAGGGTGGCAGCAACCTCAGGGATGTTTGCAGCAATCCAAAAAACTGAGGGAAATTGGGTCATTGTTCCACTAATTCATCTAATTACAGGCCAGAGCGGCTCTCTGGCACACAGAGCAATTAGCACAAGTTCCCTGCCATGCTCCCCGAGGTACGTAGGTCCCAGCCCCCCAAAAAGGCAGCTTGGTTTCCTAGGATACCCGGCACCACAATGCAAGCAGGTTGGTACCACCCGCTTCCCAACCCTCCTCTTTCTCCTTGCTGGTTTACCAGGCTGCTTACAGAAGGGGTGGGCAGCAAACCTGTCCCAGCATCATCCTGGCACCGCCTACAGCCCCGGTGCACTGAGCTGCACACCCATGGTGCAGCCCCACGGGGACCACCCTTGGTGGCATAGGGGCACCAAGCATCTCCCTGCTTCCAGCAGTGGTCAGACGCCCCAGCTCTCTGGAAGCAGACCCAGTGAGGAGCCGAGCACCCATGCTGCAAAGTCCTCTGCTAACCCAGATTCATCTGAAGGGCTCAGGAGCATTGGCGAGGAGCCTCCAGGCAAGGTTCACACGATTTCAGGGCGAGCCTCTACCGCGCTCCAAATTAGCTGCTAAGAATGGGACTCCTCTGTGGCAAGGTGACGTGCTCCTTGTCCTCACTTGGGGACAAGGGACATCACGAGCTGTGTCACGGAGGGGGTGGGTCAGAAAAATCACCAAGCATAGCAGTGCCGCTGCTGATGTTTCTCTTGACCGAAGGTGTCTATGCATCCTTCCTGCTCAGCATCCCAGGGCATCCACGCAGCCTAGAGCAGGGTCTCAGCTGCACGGGACTAAATTTAGATCATTTGAGGTGCTGGAAAAAGCAAGCAAGCATTCAGGCACGCGAGCCTGGTTTCTGTCTGCTTTCTCCAAGCCCTTCAGCCTCTAATAAAAGAAATCGCCCCTCCTTGATAGGTTCTCCCGTACACCCAAAACCTCCTGCTCTGGATGTCTCACTCAACATCTGTTAATTGCTCGTTAACCCTTACATGTGCCTTTTTGGTGGCATGACCCACATGGCACGGTGTGACCCACTTCTGCTCCACATTGCTTTCACCACTTGCTGCTCACCTCCCCAGGCCAAATTGCTCAGGGGAAGACCTGGCTCTGAAACCACACAGGGAAACTCATGCCACGTTGGTTTTGCAGCCTTTCTTCCCCTTTTTTAAAACCGCCACCAGAACTTTAAAGGCTTCACCAACTACAATAAACCAAAGTGAAATTGGAAGCAAGAGTTAGAAGCCAAAAAGCGAGGGAGAAAACCCAGGCATCACCAAGCCTGCTGGGGAGCATCACCCCAGGGCTGGGCAGCAACAACAACAGGAACACTGGCACACCAAGCATCCCCTTGAGGATGGGATGGAGTTCAGTGTTTGTGCAGGACTGCAGATCTGCTATCTGCAGAACAATTCAAGCCCTCTCCAACACTTACAATATCCACGTCTGATGTACTAATAATTATTCTTTATTTTTAGGCAAGGGCCCAAACTAAAATTACATCTCACCATCCAAGTTATCTGAAAAAAGCTGCCAGATTGGGCTATAAAAATCCCAATGATCTCATGCTTTTCATCATATGTACCAGAGAAAAAAAGGAAAAAAAAAAAAAAGTGAAGGCGTTTTTATAGGTCACCTAGGCAAAGGGGCGAGCTCTGCTTCTTCGGAATAAAAGGGGGAAGAGAGACTTCAGGTGGAGAAAGGAGCAGAGAGGATCTATTGGAAGAATGCAAATGAGAGAGGAGGCAGGATGGGAAATATATGCTAATCCGCAAAGTATAATTGAATAGTGAGCAATCACCAGCAGACAAAAACACACTTTGGAGAAAAAAAATATATGTATTAGAAAAGAAAATCCGATGCTTTGTGTTTGCAGCCTGGGCGGTTATTTTGTTTTATTTATCTGCAACCCCTGGAGCAAGAGATGATACCCTGAGGCACTGTGCAGCAGTGGGGAAACCATCTCCAAACTCAGTGGTGATCAATGCGATGTGCACTGGGTATGGCACAAGTCATGTCCCATGGTCACATTCCCACAACACCATTCTGATGCACCCAGCTCTGCATCATCACCCTAGCATAAACCTCAGCAGTGGGGACCACCAGGCCATGCTTTCTAGCAGGGTGCCCAAGCAAATGCTGATCTCCCAAAATATTTGGATGGAGCATCCCGCAATGGTTCCACGCAGGGGTGAGGTGGCAGAGAGCTGTCCCAGCAAGGGGACGAGGGAGCCGCCGCTGCAGCCAGACAAATCCCAGCTCCAAATCTGGGCCAGGCAGGGTGCTGGCTGGCACACAAATTAATATTTATAATTAAGTGGAAAGGCCCCTCAAGGCCTGAACCGCCACCTGACTCTATGAGGGAGACGAGTGCGTAATTAATAGACTGGTCAAACAGCTCACAGGAAGGGACCTGATGGATTTACCCCATTCTTCCCCTTTCTGGCTGGTGAACCAACCCCCTCCTCTGCAGAGATTAGCACTGGTTACACCCAGACAGATGCACTCAGCAGCCCAGCCCTGGGGATGCTGTGCAACCTGAAAGCCGCTGTCCTTTTTTTATTTTTCTCCACGCTCTTTCTAGGTTTTGGGGCCGCGACACAAGTGGATTGTGAGGCTGCAGAGCCTGCAGGTCCCATCTCAGATGGCACCAAAACAGTGCTTTGCTCCAGGAAACCCTGAGCTCAAAGTGATGGGAGCGTTAGGGTGACCGCTAGGGTTCCCCAGCTGGCCCTGCAGCAAAATGGGGGATGCCTGTGTTCCCAAACAGCACAGCTCTGCCTACACAGGGCCCCCCCAAAACCCTCTGGCTCTAACACATCCCTGATGCTTGCAGTCTGCCCTTTGTGCAAGGTGCCGGTGGCAGGCACGTCCTGTTGCCATGGCATATGGCCCATGAATCATTCACAGAGCTCAGGAATCAATTATTCATCCAAACGAAAGACCAAACACTTTACTAATTGTCCTGGAAGGGAAGAGCTGGGGACGGGAGATGTGGAATCACTGTGCTGGGGACTGGCTAAAGACTAAAGGGAAAAAGGGAAGATGACCAAGGCAAGCAGCCCAAAATCTTTCCCCTGTGCAGACAGACAACATCTAAGCCATTCTGCTAGCCCATTCTTGTGGCATTAGGGCTCCTTCCAGTCTGCCCCAGGCTGCGTTTTGATCATGCTTTTTTTATTCCCTACACTAACAGCAGAACCACTGCGTGTGCAGGGAGGTGATGCTCCATCACCAGTTTGTTCAGCTCCAACCTCTCCCTCCCAGGGCTGCATGTAAAGAACTGACCATGGTCTGCTTCAGGCCTGGGACACTGCACCAAGCAGGTCTCAAGCCCAGCTTCAGAGCCTACGAGGTGAGCATCCCCAGGGTAACACGTGCCATCTCCATCTCAGTTCTGTTCCACAATGCATGAAGGTAACTTATGCACGTTTTCTGAGAAAAATATATTTGGCTGGGGGAGAAGGGGCTGTTTTTCAGGCAGCGATGATGATTTAGAAACCACAGGTTACAAATGGAGCAGGTTTACAAATGTGCCTATTAGTTCCCCAGTGGAAGCTTTAGCATTAGGGAGTTTGGGGTGGGCGTTGATTTCCACCGAGATGAGAAATCTGGGTTTATTGACATAAGAAGCAAACACCAGTTGAACCTGCGCTGGTGCCATCTGCTCCTTCATGGGGTCCCAGGAGGCCATTCATGTTATCAGCTCCTCGTTAGGCTAATTTGTGCCTGCTGCCCACAGACACCCCAACACAGCGCCCAGGCCACAATGCCACCTGCATAAAGCACCTCTCTGATTCACGTAGCTAAATGAATGCTAAAAGAAAGAGCACCCCACCTGCATAGCGAGCGATGTTGGCCCATTGGGATGCATACCACTCCCACGGATGCCCTCTGTGTTGCATCACCATCCCAAACCACTCAGCGCATCCTGAGGACGCTCTCAACACCCCCTGCACCCCAGGCATCTCCGCGCAATCCCTCAGACCGTTTCATTCTCCCCAGCCCAAAGACATCTGGCCACACCTATCCATCAAATTTTAATCCACAGCCACGCTCACAAGGTGCAGCACTCCAACGTTGCCACCCGCCCATCACAGCACGTGCCCCTCCCACGGCTGCCTGCGAGCCGTTTTGCAGCCCGGCATCGCTCGCTGCAGAAAGCCACTGATAACTCACAACACCCAACGCAACGCACTGGTTTATCTTGCAGGGAGGCAAGCTGTCACTGTCACACGCACCTCTCCGAGAGCAAGAGCTGCACAGGCGATTCTGGGAGGGGTTTCCATCTGCCTGAGCAAAAAGCAGGATGTAAGAGGGGCAAGGTGGTGAAGCTGACTCTCCGTGCCCCGTGAGCGCGCTGGGGGACGGCACCTGCGGGCACGGCAGCAGCCTTGCATGGCCGTTTGCTCCGTTGGCACCGGGCCCAGTGCAGGCAGGAGCCGGCGATGCCAGCGGGTGAGTAATTGCTGAGCGCTGACTCAGCACAGGCTGGGCTGCAGCCGGCTCACCCCGATCCGTCGGAGAGGCTCACGGTGGAGCTCCCAGCTCAAACATGGCATTTCCCCTTGGCTTAGCCCCAAAGAATGCTCAGGTCAGCTGGCAGCCCATGGGCATTTCCAGCCACCCTGGAAATTCCACCTCATTCCCCAGTCCCTGCGTCGCCCTAGAGATGCCACCAGGATGACCAATCCTTCCAACCAGGACATCTCCAACAAGCACACTCCTGATCCATGCCATGCCACGCCACCGTGGGCACACAACGCCCATCACCACGTCCCAGGCACCAGGCTCAGTGTCCACCTTCCTCCAACAAACCAGTGCCACATCCCACATGGTGCCACCATGCAGGAGCTTGCATACCAGAAGACGGGACTGCAGCCAACAGCTCTGCAAGGACCCCAGATACCTGAGGTTCCCATGCCTCATTTTCCTCGAGCCACTTCTGCTCAAGCCAATAGCCATCATCAGTGAGTGCAAACCCAACAAACAATACCTGCTCATTTCTTTTTGTGTCACCAGCACAGCTCGTCATATCCCAAGCAACACTTGAATCTGGGCCACAACCCCAGCAGGTGATACAAGCGGTGACAACCAGCACCTGGCACAGTTCATGCACTGCCACCCCCAGCACGGATCCCACGTGCTGAGCCAGTGTTACCTGGAGCCGCAGCCCCACCAGGACCCTGGGTCTGACTAACACCTGTCCAACACCCACCTCACTCCACAACCAGGCCACCAGCTGAGAAAAGCTGGACGTGATGCCTTCAGAGCTTGCCCGACAGGGAACCACATCCCATTGTGGGAATCCATCCTCCCTTCCCTCAGTTTGGTAGAAGAACAGCACCAGAAAGTGGCAAAACATGGCTGCACCATGTCCTGCAGTTTGGTGTCACCACCATGACAAGCCCCATGCCCATACACCAATGTTCCCAGACTCACCCACTGAGGACCACGATGAAGTCCATGACGTTCCAGCCATTGCGCAGGTATGAGCCCTTGTGGAAAACAAAGCCCAGAGCCACAATCTTAATCCCAGCCTCAAAGCAGAAAATCCCAATGAAGTACGGCTCCGTCTTCTCCTGCAGAGAGGAATCAGGAGCACAGTGAGAGAGCACAGGGAACACATCACCAAGCATTTCACATGAGAGCAGCTTCACCTTGCATCAACCCCATTCCATATCCCATCCCACCTTCCTCATCCAGGAGCTTCCCCAGCCCTTCCTCAGACATCATCAATTTGGAGGCCAGAAATGCAGAGTTGCAACTTACTTCAGTGCCACTTTTTAGGGTTTTTAAACCCCCATGGACCCACCCACCACAAAGGCCGGTGGGGTCCCCTCCTGACCCGCCACCCCAAAATGAGCAGAAATCATCTGTTGGGAAAGGGGCCCCGACAAGGATGCTCACCAGTCTCCGTGACATGGGTGTCTTGTCGTCCTCTGGGAGGTGCTGCTCCAGGGCCAGCACGATGCAGTTGGCAATGATGGTTGCCAGGATCATATACTCAAAGGGAGTGGGAGAAGTCAAGGAGAAGTGGGATGGAGCCACCAGCCCCCCCAAGCCTCCCCATAGCTACCCCATTTTCTCCTATAGCTCTGCTGGGATGGTGCCCGTGGTGGATGCCCCAGGGATGAACGTGAGCGTGGAGGTGGGTAGTTGGGCTGTGATCAGGCTGGGCTTCATCTGAGAAAGAATTTGGGGTTGTGCACTGTTGGAGTTGTACGCTGTTGGACAGCCAGGCATGACACCAAGCCGAGCACTTGCCATGGAAGCTCCCTGCTTTGCCACCCATCAGAAAGGAAGGGAAGGACAGAATCACCGCAGGGAAGCACCCAGACCAAATCCTTGTGGTTTCCAGCAGTGCCCACCCACCAACCACCAAACACCTCCTGCATCTTGCCAAAACCCTGTGGCCACATCACTACCGTCACGGCACTGTCCAGGAGAGCTGCCAGGGGCAGGCAGCCCAGCTCACTGGAGCTGGGATGTGTTTAGGGATAGGAGCCAGAGCGGCTTCAGCCAAAACATTTGAAAGGCCACTCAGGGAAATTAATGGTTGATAAGTTAAAAACACACCAGGAGAGATCTCTGCAGCACGCAGGTTCCACGCAGAAGATCCGGAGCATCTCCTCACATTCAGCTGGAAAACTTTCCCCTCAAGGCTTCCTACCAGCAAGGATTCTATTGCCTCCTTTCCCTGCTCCCTACCCACAAACTTCAGCTAACACAGAAGACACAGCACTCGACCACAAGCCATCAGCCTATTTGGTGTCTGTTGTTTCATTTTCCTGAAAGTCTGTGAGCAATTAGCACAGCTTCCAAGGAACCAGAGCTCTGGAGGGGCAGCTGCACTGGGCACATGTGTCGAGATAAGAAGGGAGGGAACATCATGGTCAAACCCTAAGAGCATCCTGAGCTCCCCAACAAAGGCATTTACTACCACTGCATCCTCCCTCCTACAGTGCCCTGGGGGAAACACTTCACATTTTCCCACCCCACAAAGCTAAGGGGTCCACTCTAAACATAGGGTCCGCTCTAACTGTGGGGTATGAGGTGAGAAAAGCCTCCCCCGAGGACTGCAGAAACATCTGCCCAAACGATGGGGACATTCATCCGCACACATCCAAGTGTCATCCCAGCTCAGGGCCAGGCGGTGCTCTCACAGCCTTTCCTCTCTCATTAAGTGTCTAATTGCCAACCTCCCAGCCCCCCAGATCGCAGCACAGCGCTCGCCTCCCTGAGAAGCTGGTAATGAAAACCCATCTCTCTCCAGCCTTCTCCTCCTCCTTCGTCTGGCTTCTCCGGGCAGATCATTAGGGAGCCGATAAAAATAGGTTTTCTTATTGATTTATCTCCTTTCCCCATGCCCTCACCCCTGAGCAGCTGACTGGTTTCCTTAGCAAGTCTGCTAATCCCCAGGCACACCTTGCAGCCAAATCCCATCCAGGGCAGAGAAGGGTCCCTGAGGCCACAGTGTCCCCAGACAATGTCCCCATGACCATCTTTGTGCAGGCAGACATGCGATGGTGATGGAGATGCCAAACTTGCCCCTCTTTCCCACCCAGGAGATATTGCTCATGAGGAGAGCACGAAGATGGATTTGCAATGCTGGTAGCCCAGCGATGCGACCTCATCAGGTGGTTGGACTTCACCAAGTATAAGGATGAATCCATCCCTGGGTCCGGGTGAGGTGTGGGAGCTGCAGGGAACCCTCCTCATCCCCTTGCCTAGCAGGAGCCTGGTGCTCACGCCTCACCCAGCTTTCAGGCAGGAAGGTATGGAAGGAGCAGAAGAAAAAGGAGCAGAAGAAAAAGATGTGAAGCTACCTGGGCATCTCCAAAGGGTAGGAGTGGTTCCACCTTGCTCAGCCCCAACGTCTCCTACAAATGGCAGTCTCCATTCTCCACCCATCCCCACGTTTCCCCCAGGACCTGTTGCACTGCAGGCTTTTCCATGCTTCCCGTGTGTGAACGTGATGGATCTTCACCTCCACTGTCCACACACCAACACAGACCTTCTCCTGCCCCATATGCCCATCTCTTGGTCCTCAGCTCCACACCCAACAGGAAAGCAGGAGGCACCCAAACAGAGCAAGTACCACAAGTGCTCCTCATTCAGCTCCAGGTCCCCCAGCCCTGTTGCTTTTGTCCCCAAGGACACAAGCCCCATCCAGAGCAGAGCTGCCCGCAGCAACGTGGGCGCAGGCACTGCCTACCACGTGCAAGCAGCGCCGAGGAGAAGTGTTCTCCTGAAAACTGGAAACCAAATCTCTCTCCTTTTTTTTTTTTTTAACAAAAAAGAACCGCATCATGTGATTCTCCTGCCTTAACATCAGTTTTTTAACTTTGGTTGCCACGGCAACAGGATGCAACTTGGCGTCACCATGACAACAGCTGCCTCTGTTTAAATTCACCATCTGACAGGCAGCCTCTCTCTCCCTGGCTGTCAGAGAGATGGACCTGCCATTACACCTACTCGCCCCTCCCCAAAGAAAACATTTTAAGAAATCCGATGAATGAAGGGCACAGAAAGCAGCCTCAGTGGTGGAGGGGAGATGTTCCTAGGTAGCACAGCGTGGTGATGCTCTTCCTGCAGGGTGCAGGGAAAGGGGACAAAGAGGCTGTAGTGTCCCCAGGTGACACTCACCGCCCAAGCAGAGACATCCACTCACCCCCAAATCTGCCATATGGGGTGCACCAAAGCATGGATCCCTCGTGGGATGAGGCAGCAATGGGCACCAGCAATGGGATGCGGTGACACGACTGTCACCGGCTGCAGCGGAAAGCCACGGGCACAGGGAGGTCACCTGGGATGCAGGGAGAGGCTTTGAGGACAGTGTGCTGGGGACGAGCCAGCAGCACCCCATGTCATCTGGTCCTTCTGGGGAGGGAGAAGGATCGTGTCAAATGCGATTAAGTGGATGAAGGACGGAGCAGATAGAGCAGAGCTGCAGCCCATCTTGTGCACTAACTGAATTGCAGCTTTCCAGGCAGTGAACAAATGAAATCAGGGCTCAAGACCTGGCCATCAGTGGGAGCAGCGGGGCTGCATACAGGAGAAGCAAAGGGAAGAGGAGACGTTCCTGAAGCTGAGCCAGAGGCTTCCTCGTGTTTGGAGCACCAGCACCCAAAAAGAGCAGCTCCAGAAGAGATAGCAAAGCTCTCAGCAAAGGCTCTCCCCGTGGAGCCGAATCCCAAGCCCTGTTCCTTGTGTTTCTCCTCCTTCCCCTCCATGCATCATCCCTATTTACACTGGGAAGCCAAACTGCAGAGGCTGCTGGTTATAATTATACAGTTACCCAGCAGATATCCAGGCCTGAATCACCCGTTATTTTTAGCCCTATTACCTAGTCAACTGGAGCTGGGTGAAGAAGAGCCTTCACCCTCCCCTCGCCCCATCCCAGCCCCCTCTGACCCGTGAGCCCAGCACTCTCAAGTACAATACTGGGCTGCAGGCTGCAGCCAGGTGCTCACATCCCATGGCCCTGATGCACCATTTCCAAGAGGAGAGCAACTTTCTTGGCCAATGACACCAACAACAGCATGACCACACTGCTTCCACCCAAGGAGACCTCGCTACAAGATTAGCACAGCCCAAAGCTACACTGATGCTAGCATGACATCGTGGTGTAGCACAAGTTGAGGTGGCACTGAGTTCCTCTTCACCAAATGAAGCTCAGGCTCATGCAAGGCTTACAAGAGGTCATTCCACTCGACCCAGCATATACAACCAGCATCCAAAGGTCCCTTTTTTCCAGCCCATCACACAGTGGGCACAAACCCATCACCAAAAAGCTTTGCCTGTAGCCAAGCCCTCAAAAGCTCAATACACAACAAGCCCCGAGGTGGGAAAATTTCCTGGAAAGAGATGGCAGCTACGTATGGCACGGCAACCAAGATGCAGCTCCCACTCCACACACTTGCCTAGGGATGTTTCCTTTCTTTTTTTGGGGAAAAAAATTAAAATAAATTAGCAAACGAGCCCATCTCCTTCCTGCAGTGCAAGTCCTAGGGAGGAATAACGCCGTGGGGTTGCTGCAGCACGGTGGCCATGCACCAGCTGGTGGGTGAGCACGGCGTTGGCATGGGACCCCGGCCCATAGCCCTGCTCAGAGCAACAGCCAAGCAGCGACAGCCCTCCCACATCATGCTGGGAAAGCACATGAATAATTTGGCATATTCTGGAAAACAAGACCCGGCGGCCCAGCGAGCGCCCTGCAGTGCTCTGAGTGCAGCTGCTGCCTCGCTGATGCTCTGCACCCAACACAGGGCTGGGCATGGCACGGCAGGGATTCGGAAAAGCTGCCCCCATCCCACAGTGCCCTGCACCCCTATGGCAAAGCTGGACTCCCAACAGGCCCTGGAGGTGAACCCAGAGGCTGCAGTGCACCGATACAAAGGGTTATGCCCCCAGCAATGCTTAGAGTGGGGTGGCAGACCCATGGGTTCCCCAGGGCACCTGTTGCATTGAGTCACCCTATATCTGCTGGGCACCTCTGTCCTGCACCCAAGGAGCCAGCAAGTTACCCAACAAGTTGCAAGGAGAGGAAGCAACAGCGAGAGCTGCACATAATCACCACTGCAGAGAGCGCTACGGGGAGGGTCCTGGAGCCAAAGCATGGCCACGGGGAAGTTTGTGGGTTTGGGAGGGAAGCAAGGTGCTGAGCAGAGGTGTGATGGAGAGGGGTGTACAGCAGGGCTGGGTACCAAGCCCAGTTCCCAGGGCACCTGCGGGGAAGGTGGGAGGCGACAGAAATGCATGGGGGTGCAAAAGGATGGGGGAGCAGGGGAAGGAGTGGGAGATTCATGCCCTCTGTCCGGTGTATTCCTAGGGTAATCCCTGGAACAGACGCAGCAGGAGGCAGGCAGAGGGGGTCAGCACCTCTGCGCAGCACAGGGAGGGAGCATCCCACTTCTAGAGGATGGGATGAAGCTGCAGGGTGAGGGCAGCCATGCTCGTGCCCAGCATGCCAGGCTGCAGGGGGGTCTGTCCCCAGCAGGGTGGGGGCTCTGGGTAGGGAAGCAGAACCCCCACCAGCCACACGCATCCTAAAGCCAAAATGGACCAGAGAGCCTCTGGACAGCACAGGAGTGATCCAAAGCCTCAAGAGGGGCTGGGGTCAGCTGGGGGGGGAGGGGGGAGAGAGGGAAGGGGCTCTGCTCCCTCTGTGTGATGGAGTAATGGGGGGGGGGGAGCAGCAGCAATAGGGTGAGGAGAGCATCCCCGGGGATGGGGCCAGGGCACCCCTCTCCGCATGCCGAAGGAGAGCAGAAGGCAGGCGCTTACCTGCCGGCTGCTGCCACACACGTGTCCTGGGCAGCCACCAAGGCAAATCCGGGCACGGGGAGGAAGGGGGGGCTCGCAGGGGGTGCAGAAAGGATATGGCCAGTCGATGAGCTTCTTGGCGTATTTCCTGACTATGTTATCTTCCCCAAAGAGGAACAATGATCTGTTGACGGTGAAGCAGTTCTGCCGGACAGGGATGGGGTTGTACAGAGCCATAGTCCGGGCTCGCTGCGCTTTGGTTTGCTTGAAGGCTCCCGGGGACCCTCCTGCCGGAGCAGCGGCTCCTTGCCGGCTGCGGTTCTGCTCGGAGCCCCCATCCCCGGAGCCCAGCCTGCCAGCCACCGCCTCCCCGAAGCGAGCCATCCTGCAAGAAAGCGCACAGGTGAGCCGAGCGGCACCGCCGAGGCGGCGGGGGGGGAAACAGGGGGGGCTGCGGGGCTCCTTCCTCCTCCTTTCTCCTCCTCCTCCTCCTCTCCGGTGATGCTCATCCCCGTCGCTCCCGCATCCCTCCGGGAGAGCATCGCGGAGAGGGAGCGGCACAGCGGGGGGGATATCAGCCCCATCCTTTCTCCCCCTCCCCCCAAATCTAAACCTTTGGGACCCGCAAGCCCAACCCAGGCTGCTCGGAGCCCTTCCACCCGCCCCATCGCAACCCCACCGCCGTTCGGTACAGCACCCAGCGCAGCGCAGGGGAGGCCGGCGAACAGGTTGCAGCGCGATCCAGCCTAGTTGAAGCCAAGTGGCCAACTTCCTCCCGCCGCCTCCATCTTCGGCAGCCCCCCCGGGAGCCCCCCGGCCCCGCTGCAGGCCCGGCTGCCGCCGAGGGATGGACGTCGGCTTTCTGCAGGAACGGGGCCGCGGTACCCGAGGCTGCCGCGCCTCTGCAGCTCGGGGCTGGCTGCCTTTAATGAAGTCGGCTGCAACACACACGGGCGGGCGCGCACACACGCGCACGCACGCCCGGCTCGCTCGCTCGCTCCATCCAGTGCATTCTTTTGGCAAGCGACGAGCTGCTTGCTGCAAAGGGAAGGCAGCGGCGAGGGGAGGGTCTGCAGGGAACAAAGGCGACGCGAGAGCCCCCCCCTGCAAGGAGAACTCCCTGCCCGCAAAGGGGTTTTTGGCACACGGGGGCTCCCGGGTGAGTGGGGATGGAGGTAGGGGGGCACTGGGGCTCTGCTTCCCCCCCTTGTCTGTGGGATTGGTGCACAAGCACCGGGGCTGCCCCCAGCTACCTCATCCCCTGGGGCCGAGGGGCGTCCCCATATCCACCTGAATTTGATATCCCCATATCCATTTGCCTCCAGCATCACTGCTTACAACTGTGCATCCTCCAAGGGATGTGACCAGCACCACCAGTGGGTCCGTGGCTTCTCCATGCCCTTGGACCCTCTGTGTCCACAGGATCAGCACCCACACTACAGCCCTGCAGTGCCCCACATCCCATCCATGCTCTTCCCCCAACACCGCTGATCTGCTTTGCAGAACAGCAGCAGGCACCTGGTCCATGTCCTACAAGTTTGCCGTGTAGCAACTTAGGTTAAGTCTTAATAAAACAAAATAAAATAAAACCCTTAATCAGCTAGGTCATTAACTCATCTGCGACAAGGGACGTTCCCCCTGTGCAGCCCACAACACCTCACCATGGGCATCCCCTCCTCCAGCTATGGGGCTGGCTTTATGATCCAGGCTGCCACAGTGCATTGCTGGGAGGGAGAAGGATCAGACCCTCTCCAGCAGGATGAGAGGAGCATTCAGTACAAAGGCCACAGGACGGCTGCTCCAACCTCAGCCAGACACCAAGAGCCCACTGCTCACCAGGACACCCATCTGCTGCACCCATCCTCAGCTCTTCTCCATAGGCCATGTAACAGGTGGGGGGTGCCCGTGGGGGTCAGCCAGCTCCCAGCTATGCCACCAGCACAGCACGCAGCGGGCATCCCTCCCTACCAACACACAGAGCTTTAATTCACCAGCCATCCTAATTACAGTCCCAGGATCCACTCCTAACCAAACCGGTGAGGATCTGCAAGTCGTTCCCATTGCCATCTCCCCGCTGCCACTGGAGCGGTGCTGCTCATCTCACCTCTCAGCCACAGCTCATTAAGCTCAACCTGGGTGACCCTGGGTTCCCAAGCATCCTCCCATCCCCATGAGGCATTCCCCAACGCCCATCTCCAGCTGGCACCTAGGGGTGGGAGTGGGAAAGACCAGACACCAGCAGCACTGCCCAGCCCATATGCACCTCGCTGCCTTCCTCCTGGCCCCACAAGCAGCTGTACCCCTTACCTGGACACCCTGTACCCAGGCCTTGTCTCCACTCTCCTCTGTATTTGCTGCAGCAGAGCAGAGCACAGGAAGACCCAATTGGGAGCCTCTCTCCTGTTCAAATGGTTCTAAAGGATGGGATATTTATGAGAAAGCAGCTCCTTAAGAGAAGATTGAAAGCAAAAGAAGTCCTGGCGGTGCCAAGAGCTGCAGGCTCTGCTTCCCAGGATGTTTATTGCCGCTCTCGGCTTGACCCTCACCTCAGCACGCCGGGATCTGTGAGTCAGGGAGAAGCAAGGCTGATGCCTACATGATTCAACACAGCACGGGGACTGGGAGCCAGCTCTGTGCGGGGCTGGCTTGAGTTGCAAATGAAGGAAAACCAACACAGGGCAACGGGGTGATGGGGTTGGGAAAGAGCGGGGCTCGCAGCTGTAGGGCAACAGCAAAATGCAAACCTCCTCCCTGCTTTCCCCCTCACATCAGCATCAGGAGGTGCAGGCAGCCCATTCCTCAGGCGGAGGCAGGAGCCCCCCAGGCTGCAGCGTGCGGTGCGGGGATCTCGGAGCTCCGCTCCGGCATTGCCATCTAGCGGCTGCTGCCCGCTCCCCGCCCGCAGAGCGACGCGATACGAGCATGCGGTGCTCCGCCCGGCGTCGGGCTGCGGGAGGAAAGTTGCATGGAACCGTAGAATCGTTACGGATGGAAAAGACCTCCAAGATCCCCAAGCCCAACCCCAGCCCATCCCACCGCTGACCGTGCTGCGTCCAGCCACGTCTGGGGGTCGCATCCCTATTGCACACCCTCTGCTTTGGCAGTTCTCCTATTAGGAAAGAGACTCCAGGCATCGTGATTTCATTATATATCTTTTAAAATAAGGCTTTAACTGTGCACAGAGGGGGGAAAAAATAGGATCAAATGAGAACAGTCTCCATTGCTCTGGCCGAATTTCAAATTGGGATTGGATAGCTCTGACTCAGAAGCATGTTTATAACCATGCAGGGATGGAAGTTTTTTCCAGGAACAGATTAATTACCTGCAGGATTAGGAAGAGACATCTCTCCCTTTGCCAGAGCCTGCCCAGCCCTGCAGCCCCACAGCTGGACACAGCCCCAGGGTCTGGGCTGGCATCTCCTGGAGGACACTGCTCACCCCACACCCCCATCCCAGCACTCCATCACTGTGTGCTATCCTTACCACAAGCATTTCCCTAAGACTACCCAGCCCAGAGCATCCTCAGCCCTGTCTGTAAGAACATCTGACAGCTGATGTTCAAAATGCAGCATGAACGTATTGCACTGGTACAGCTTGGCACCAGTCCTGCTTGAGTGCTTGAGGTGCACGAGTGCCCCAAAACAAGCTCTTATTTACCTCCTGAAGTCACCAGAGGGTACAAATACAACACTGAAACTTGAGGACAACTGCTCCCCACGCTGTGCTGCAGTGGGACTTGAGCATCCCATCCATCAGATCCACCAACAGAGAATGCTGCGTGTCCAACTGCATGCTGAAAGAGTTAGAAGAAGTTTAAGGCCAACCAAAAAATCTCTGGTCCTGAGCATTTATGGGGATGCAGAAGCCGTGAGATGCTTTAGGGGTTTGGTCTCACTCAGCCACCAGCAACATGCTGCCTTGGGTCACGAGGTTTCACAGCTCAGCTGAAGAGCCCTGAAATAATTACTCATTAATAAATTGCCTGGAGTGTCCTGCTGCTTTATTTAGCCTGGCAAGTTGGGCTTTAATTGGCATTCACAGCTCTGGCTGCTCCAGGCAGGTGCACTGCAATCCCCACACCCAGAGAACCGCTGCCCTTCCATCAGGTCTAAAGGAATCCCCAATCCATTTCCAGCCCCAAAATCCCCCTGCACGACTCCTCCCCTTGGCCAAGGGCAGTCTTCACTAGCCAGCACCCAGCTGGTGAGCTTTGCTGCTGAGCCCTTCCCAGCTGGGTCCAGTTTGGGGCATCACATTTCCAGAGAAGCTGGCTGGGAGGGGATCAGAGGGAAAAGAATATTAAGGAGATTGGATATTTGGGAATGGCCATGCTGAGGGATGGACATGGGCAGCATGGAGAAGGGGAGCTGGGAGAAGGAGAGAGGGAAAGAACCTCCCCTTGCCCCCACATTGTAGGCGTGCACCAGGCTCCCCGTGCCCAGGGAACATCCTTGGATCCCATCAGGCAAACATGAGTGGGATGGCTGCAAATCATGGAATCACAGGATATCCCAAGTTGGAAGGGACCCATAAGGGTCACCGAGCCCAACTCCTAACTGCACACAGCACCACCCAGAAATCAGACTATCAACAGCCCAGCCATGCATGAAACTGAGCCAGAAAACCCAGCTCCATCCCTAACACAGCAAAGCCAAACAGGGTGGCTTTGATAAAACCCCACTGTCTGAATAGGAGCCAGGAGAAGGTGGAGCTGCTGGCATCCTCCAGCAGCAAACACCTCCTGCATTGGGAAGGATGAGCTGAAGGACTGTGACCCATACGAGAGAGCTGAACATGGACAGAAAGCAGAATGGCATTCACAGCAAGGTGGAAGTGCAATTCCATGCAGGAACAGGAGAGGCTTCGCAGCGCTGCCTGCATGCACTCCAACAGGGAATTCCTGCAGGGTGTGCCCAAAGCCAGGCTCTGAGCACTGCGGGGAGGATGCAGCAGCATTGCCAGGACACAGGGTTCATCCCGGGTCAGAGAACAGCCCCCTGCCCTGCTGTGTGCCCATAGAGGCTGAGGGACACCCCTGGGAGGTATGCAGAGCTCATCTGCTGCTGGAGGCCGAATTACCATAACGAGAGCCATATGGCATTGCCCCAGGCAACGAGACAGCGCATCCACAGCTCATTCCGCTGCCTGCACTGCTGCTCTTGCAGGGTAAAACAGGCAGGGACAGTCATCCTGAAGCCATCCCAATGCACCTCAAGTCATCCTATGGCAGGAATGCTGCTGGTGCCCCAGGTGTGCCCACATCCCTCCTTCACAGCAGCCAATGAACCCCAGGTGGTGCCAAACGGCAGCAAAGGGCCCTTTGTCTCCTTCAGCACCGAGGAAGAAAAAAAGATGGGAGAAGAAGTAGGTTTCATTGGTAACCTG